TCTTACAATACACACAGAGATGGGATTAATAGGAAAATAAAAGTAGACATTTGGCAACAAAATTTAAGTTCTCTGAATTTATTGGTTCAGGTCACTGGACATAGGAGACCTAAATTTTCAACTTTAATATAGAGCATTCAATATAAAAACCGATGCACGTCAGAGATGACGTCAGTGACAGTCATTGGTACCACACACACTAATAAAAATAATTAAATTTTATTTTGCAAATAAATGAATAAATTTAGACGCATGGAGTTCATTTTTATAAAATTGCATATTAAAAATGTATTTTTTATCATATCACAGTAGTAAATGTACTGTAGGCAGATTATTAACGGAATACTTTCTAGTAAATTTCATAATAAAAGTTGGCATCAAATGTGTCAGCTTTCAGTTTTAATACATTGTTGTTAATTGTTATTTGTTTTGTATTATTTTGCATCGATCGATTTCTTTTCAACAAATTATTTGTATTTTAGATTAAATTATTAACAAACTGTTCATTTCAGAACAAATTTATTAGGAATTTAATAGTGGTGTTCGTTTATTGTGTATTTTTTCATTGAAAAATGCCAAAACAATTATTAAATAGTCGCTGCAAGGAACTAGTGGCTTCTCTAATAAATTATTTTGAGAAAGAACGTGATAATAATGGGCCTTTGTTACCTTTAATAGCTGTAAGAGAAGTGAGTTGATTAATAATGTATCACCGTCAAATTAATATAATTATTTTGTTTCAGCGTGTCGCAGAAGCACTTAATCTCAATTTTTCTACTGTTAGTTCTATTTCACAAGCTGTAAAGAACAGTGAAGTTCTAAAGTCACCCCCAAAAAAGCGCCCTAGGCAAAACAAAGTTACCAACACAAGAATTCTGAATACCAGTGCTATTCGAGATGTTATTTATAGCATGTACGAGTCTAGTAAGTGTATATGTTGTGACGAAGTCACTAAATTTTATTTTTAAATCATCTTAAAAATGTATATTTAAATTATTTCCCGCCTGAGAACATGTAGAAGTTCCCCCGTATTTCTGTTTTCCAGGAATTACCATTTTTCAACAATTGCGAGTACCCTCGTAGATTCGTAGATTAAAATATTCTTATATTTGCCGAAATCCGAATGGGCATTTTTAGAGTCGATTTCGTATGGATTATCTACCTTTTATTTGTCAAGGACTATAAGGGCATTTTTTTATTTTTAAATTGTAAACAGTCGGCTGTAGTAGTGGTATCCCCACTTTATCGTACTGGTCTTCCATCTTGCTTTACCGAAAAAGCATAAATTAAATCCCATCTGGGAATTACGCTTTCTTTTCGCTTGCCAGTTGCCGTAAGCTCTTCTCTCGTGATTGCCGACAGCCGAAAACTATTCACCCTTAGTACCTAGTGCCGTGAGTACCGTGATTTAGTTCATCGATTATCTGCTAAGGTAGGAACCGTATATTATTTTTTTTTATATTGGCTTTTATATAATTAGTTGGGACACCCGTGTGACAAGTAAATAATTTTGATTCACATCCAGGATATATTATTTCATCCCTCAGTGGGAAACCGTTGGCAATTTTTTTATTTGAGGTTGGACCTAGACTAGACACGGAGAGCTCTCTTTGTCAGCGACTATATCCAATTTCTTTTAAAAACCGCCAATTAACATCGAAGTGAGAGATTCGATTTTTTTATTATTTTATTGTTTTATTTTTTTTTCTTTTTTTCGGAGGTTCGATCCGTTTCTCGGGCTAGAGTGATCTCTCTCCTGATGACGTATCTAATTTCCCCAAAAGACGTTTTAAGTAATTTCCGCGCCTCACTTCGTGTAAAATTTCTTTTCTTTGATTTATTCATTCAATTGTATTTGAATCATTCCGTTCTCCGTCCAGAACTAATTATTGAACGAAGCCGACGACTTCTGTAAAATTAAATTCACACACACGCTCTCGATAGACGCTGGGCAAAATTCATAAATATTATTTTCTACGATCGTTGTGGTCGCCGTTCAAAACACCGCGTGAATAATCATATTTATCAGTAGGCGAAAATGTTCGTTTCCCATCGATTGGTTATTAAGATACAAGGGGACTCCGACAATTTTAATTTCATTTATTTGCTTGCATTTGATTACCGTCATATTTAAATTGTTTTCAAGTGTATTAATTTATTTTCATACATTTTCCGTATACTGGGCGTTTCACACTTCCCAGTCCGATTAGCCTCCTGAGCTAATAAACCCTAATTATTGTTATATGTTTAAATAATTTTCAATAATAATAATTTATTTTCCATAAATATTTCCCTACGTTTAAATAATTTATTTTTAACAAATTTTCCGAATAGAGGGATCCGTCAATATGTTTAAATAATTTTCAACTTTAATAATTTATTTTTATTAAATTTTCTGAGTATAGGGATCCGTCAATATTTAACCAATTGTCAACTTTAATAATTTATTTTTATTCAATTTTCCGGAAATAGGGATCCGTCAATATTTAAATACTTTTCAATTTTAATAATTTATTTTTACAGAATTGATTTTCCGAATACAGGGAGCTGTTCATATATAATTACCATTGTATTTATTTTTTTTTGTAAATATATATTTTAGTACCTATTCCTGTGTTTCTATTATTGCTGGTTCTTGACCGTTCTCTTTCAGGGTACCGTAGGGTACGAGGTAGAAAGAAGATAAGTGTTTTATTTTTATTTATTCTAGTATAGTGGATACCTAGCAGTGACCGCCTGGAACTATTTTTACCTCCACTGAGTTTATCTTGAGTACACTCTGGTGTACTTCAGGGTCGCAGAGCAAACTGCGATACCAAAACTGGCGCCTGAGCAACCCCTATTCGGGAATCACCTTCATAGCGCCACACAGACTCGCTGATTCACTGTAGGTGAACCAGGAGCCTGTCACAATGTATATAAATTATTATTAAACAATTACAAATTAATGTATGATTTCAGAGGATCATGTAAGTTTAGATTCTTTGTTGGTGAAACTTAATGAGAAGGAGTTGTTCAATGGATGTCGCACATCATTGCATACCTTATTATTAGACATAGGTTTCAAATGGCAGAAAGATGAACCGAGGCGAGGTCTTATGAAACTTTCAGATATTGTTGTGAAACGGGCAGAATTTTTAAGAAAATATACCAAAGAAAAGGAAGCAAATTTGTACCAGTTTGTTTTTATTGATGAGACTTGGATTTTCCAAAATGGCACCATAAACCGTTCTTGGCAAGACAGCAATAAAAGAAGTGTAAAAAGTACAAAAGTTGATGGTAAAAGGTTAATAAAAAAAGACTAATGAATATATACATATTAACTGTATATTGATCTTTTTTATAGATATATAATTCTTCATGCTGGAAACGAAAATGGATTTATTGATGGTGCTTCAAAAAGCAATGATTATGATTATCACGGTGAGATGAATAATGAAATTTTTTTAAAATGGTTCGAAGAACAATTGCTTCGAAGACTGCATGAACCATCTTTAATTGTAATGAACAATGTTTCATACCATAGCACATTGGCACACAAAAGACCGAATAGTAATTCGACTAAGGTTCAATTTCAAGAGTGGTTGACGAATCAGAACATCCTTATTCAGTCACCATGTTTAAGGCTGATTTTTTGAACCTTGTTAGACGGTGAGTAATGGAAATCTACTTTTTCTGTATTTTTTAAATGATTTTATTTTTTTAGTAATAAACCACCAAAAATATATGTAGCTGATATGCTGGCTGAACAGTGTTACGTCTTCCTCCTTACCATTGTATTTATAATCCAATAGAACTGATTTGGGGTATTTCAAAACAATATTATAACAGGCACATTGGTCGGGATGGAAAGACACAAAGAGATTATATAGACATGTGGTCTGAAGCACTCCGAACCATTACCCCACAAATGTGGCAAACAGTGTAAGACACACTGAAAAAGACATTTTTAAATGGTGTGAAAGAGAGCATATACTGGACCGATTGGAAATTGTTCCCATTATTGTAACACCAAATAGAGATTATTCAGATTTTAGTTCTGATTATTCTGACTGATTTTAGCTTAAATATTATTTAAGTTTTAAAATGTCATGTGTTGTTAATTTTATTACCTAACTGTTCTAATTATTGTTACTTCTTTTAAATATGGATGTTTATAAACTAACTGAACATAATTATTTTTTATTGTGAATTAAATCAAGCCTAAATAAAATTTGTTTGTTTTTTCATCCTTAACCTAACCTTTTTTTGTCATTTTAAACCTCTTGTGCAAAATTTATTACTATTAAATTCAGTGTTTTTCTAAAACTTGACCTTCATTGGTTTTTATATAGAATTCATTATACATTTAAAATTAATTGTCATAGTTTTAAAAATTCCTACATTCTTAGACTATTTTGAAGATTGGGCAACACTGCAAGGCTATGACTTCACAACTGATTGATGACGTGTATCGGTTTTTATATTGAATGCTCTATAATTATTTATTTGACCTCCAGTGATATCTGAACGCCAAAATGTTCCTTAATTACCTACTAGGTTAAAGTTTAAAATAGACTAATAAAAAAATTTGACAGGTATAGTCCATTATCAAACGACAGTTTTTTTGACGTGTTTACAGCTTATTTAAGAACATGCGCAGAAAAATGTAGGCCTATCATAAACAATGAACTGTCGCTACTGTATTATTTATACTGGGTTTAGGGGGATTAATCAATTCTATTTAAAAATCATCAATGTCGTCATCTCGCTCACAATAAAGTCACGCATATGAAAAAAAGAAAAATCCCGTATGATTTATATAAAATATTTGATAAATTCTCCATTGTGACATTTAATACAAAACTGTAAAAAACATTCGGTTAAATACATCAGTCCTATATTGTTTACGAAGATATCAATTAAATTTAAATATTTACAATTTCATTAGATTATCAATGCTTATCGCAAACTAGAAACAAGTGATAGATATATAAAAACTAAATGAATCTTATTTTTAGCAGTTCATGTTTAAAATCAAGTCGCATAGCCTGAGAATATGAATTTATTAATTGATTTAATAGCAACTTTTCTCTGTGTTGCCCTGGTACATGGATATATCGAAAAACCTGGCCCAAGATATCCACCCACCAAGGGAGAAGTGTGGCCGAGGCCGCAGACACAAATTAAAAATGGCAGTTACTTCATTTTGAAACCATCACTTTTTCAATTTAAGGTAATTAAATAATATAATTTTTTTAATAAATCTTTATAATTAAAGAAGGATAACGAAAGCAGTCTCTAATTTAAGTGATTTTCAACTCATTTTTTTTACAGTATTTGTTGAATAAAAACGACAAATTTTGATATTAAAAAAACTTCAGTGGCGTCTAAAAAGGTATTCAGTTCTGCCTTCTCAATTAAAAGGCCGTATCTACAAACAACATAAATCTGAGAAAATATGGTTTATAGTTTATTGCTTGGACTCCTTACTTTGTCTCTTTTATTTATTTAAAAAATGTGCTATAGTAATTAGAATAAAATTCAAAATATGTAATAATAAAAAAAATTATGTTATCTCATCTACTTTTAAAAAAAAAGCATTTTCATTAAGCACAGGCAATTAAAAAATTAACACGATTTTGCAGATACGGCAGTATTTTAAGTATTTTTACCATTTAATTGTTCAGATACCGAAATTTCAGGTTGTAAGATTATAGAATAATGTCATAGGAATCCATATATGTAAAAATCTCGTTTTTTAATTTTTTTGTAGATACGGCCTTATAATTGAGGAGGGCAGAGTTCGCGTATAACATCTTATTTATTCAACAGTTTAAGGATGGGATTATTAAGAAAATAAAAGTAGCCATTTGTCAACAAAATTGAAATAAGAGACATAAAATTTCAATAATTATTTCTTTGGACTCTCTTGATATCTTAACTGCAAAATTTTGGTAAAATACTTTGTAAATGATAAAGTTTCCCATGGACTAGTATAAAATATGACTATTATATATCACTGTCTGAATATTATGACATCACTGTCTCACTAGGAAAATCCACTTGAGTTTAAGAGAAAATATAAGAAAGAACAAAAAGCAAATCATCTAAATTCTTTCAGAGTCCTAAATGGCCTTGCCTCAAGTAAGCCTCATTCCAAATTGCCTTAAAACAATCAATGCATCAGCAAACCGTAGCAGGTATTGAAGGAAATAAAAACTGATGTACTCGTCAAGTAGGGATGCACTGGACATAATTCTGTGTTTGGGATAAACAAAAGCTCACCAAATATCAAATACGTTGATAGAAGATAAGATAACAAATAGTAAGATTATGCTAATAACCAAGTTCGCACATGGCAACGAGTTACTACAACTTGAAAGACTCGAAATGTTTAACATAGGGAGATTGGATAGAAAACATCTTCGCGTAATGGGATTATATAACAGTTACACATGATGTAAAATATAAAGGAACCAGTGGCGCAGCCAGAATTTTGTATTAGAGGGAGGGTTTGAAAAAAAATTGGGAGTAAATAAAAAATATAATAATGTATTACCTAGTTTAATTTTTCAATTTCAAAATCGTCTGGGTCGGGGGTTAACCCCTAAACTCTCCCTTTCGCTGCGCCACTGAAAGGAACCATATACCATGTCATCTTTAATGTGAAGCTCTGGCTAGGAGATGCTATAACCTTTTCAGTCTACAACAAGCAAGAGCTCCACGAAAAAAACAGGAAATTGCAATAGACTCAAGAAGTTACAATCACATCCTCTAAATATAACCCAAATTTGCTGAAAATCGGAAAAATAGATAGATAGTAAACAGCTGTAGTAATTTTTATATCATAGTTTTTACGTTATTGGTTGAATGTGAATGATTTTTTAATTTAATTTATTGAGCTAGTCCGAGATCCTACTACGACCGTTACTCACAGATCTCTTTACACACTATTTTCCTTTTTGTACTACGATTTCAAAATAATAGACAATGAGAAAATTTCAGGAATGTGTGATTTCTATGATCGCTTCAAAATTTTACAGGTATACTACAATTACAAAAAACCTAAATAGAATATGTGTTATATTTAGTAATTTATTCACGCATAGGAATTCTAATATAAACACGAGCCTTTGATCAAAGATAACACCTAATCTCTTTTAAATAATAAATTATGATTATTTTTTTTATTAAAAATGTTATTTTTATTTCCAGCTAACAACAAAACACGGTGAATGTACCCTATTAAAAGATGCTATTCTTCGATATGAACTTCTCATCCCTCATGCGTACGCCATTGTACAGAAAACGTTGGATACATTTAATCATACTAATCATAAAAAAATATGGCACACAGATAAAAAGTTTTTGGGGAACATAAATTACTTCGATGTTGAGTTGACGAGTTCGTGTAACGATCTTGAATATCCAACAGATATTTCATACGAAGGATGTAAGTTTCACTATTAATAATTTTTACTACGATATATTCATCTCCTTTTTTTGAACTGCAATAATTTTTTAAGCGTGCGAAACATGTCTACGAAAATACGGCTACTTCTACCCCATTTTTTTTATAATTATCACACCCACGTGGTCTTTTTTGCATGGTAAACTCTCAGCTCTAGTTTCTGACTGGATCTTAATACTCAAAGAGGGAGAGGAATGATAATCAGCTTCCTTTACAAGTTTAGAAGAAGATAATATTTATTTTGAATCGAATTTAATTGTTTTAAGTTAAATAATTTTTTAACTCTTTTTGGGTCCTTTAATAGAATTTTGGACGCAAAAAAATAAATAATTATTTTTGTATTAAGTACGCGAAATCTGTGTTTTTTTAAGGGCGTATGAACAAGGGCGGTCCAGGGGAGTGGAATTCATGAGCCTTTTATCAAAAAAATATGCTAAAAAGGGAATGGCTGCAATAAATTTGTTATTTTTAGAAATTTTTATTATTAATTTTTATTATTAATTTTCATTATTAATTTTTATTATTAATTTTTATTATTAATTTTTATTATTAATTTTTATTATTAATTTTTATTATTAATTTTTATTATTAATTTTTATTATTAATTTTTATTATTAATTTTTATTATTAATTTTTATTATTAATTTTTATTATTAATTTTTATTATAAATGTTTATCATTAATATATTATTATAAAACGATCCGGCTGAAAATCACCTCTTTGAAGGTCAATGATGGAGTATGCAAATCGTCAAATCGGCAAAAATATTACAAATTTGAGAGCGCTTGACATCCCTTCAGCAGTAGCCTAGCTATCAGACAATTTGCATTGACCTTCAAAGAGGTGAATTTTCAGCCGGAGGTATGATCGTTTTATATTAATATATTAATAACATCAATTAATAATACATTTATGGCCGAATCCATATATTTTTTTTTATTTAAATTTTTTATTTTTAAATGTATGTACTGAAAGTTTTAAACTTATATTGACTTTCTACTATTTTTTAAATAGACCCTCACATTTTTCAATAAAATTCAATTTTTTATGGTCTGTGGGACGACTTCAAATAAAAATAATATGAGCGCCCCCGGACCAAAATACAAACGGGCAGCCGATCATATGTGTTTATAAAGATCGCTAAGCCAATATATGTTAAAATGTCAGACGAAGATAACAAAAAAAAACTCAATAAGAAAATTCCAACTTAAATGCGTCTGACATACATTTATCAGTGGCCTAGCCATCTAACGATTTACATACCTCATATTTGACCTATAAAGATATGTAAATTTTAAGCCAGAGGTACGAATGTTTTTTTTTCGGTATTTTCGACAACTTTGAGTCGTCTTGCGTCACATTTGCAGGTGTTCTAAACCATGATACTATAAAAAGAAGGTATGATATTACGCCGATTGATGATACTACGTCACGGTGACGTATTGTGTGAAGGCGTAGTTTTTACGAATTTTACCTATCAGCTGATCGAAAACAGCGCGCAAAAATAAATGGCAATGTGCTCATGGGCAATCAGCCAAATGATACAAAAACCTACAGTGGTATGATACTTAGGCGAGCCGAGCTCGCCCATGACGTATTGTGGTGTGAAATATAGTTGGCCATGAGGAGATTAAAATTTATTTTCGCGCACTGTTTTCGATCAACTGATACTTCAAATTCTTAAAAGCAACGTCTTCCACCTCAATACGTCACCGTGACGTATAGTATGAATCTGCGTAATATTATCTTACCTTCTTTTTATGGTATCATGAGATTCCACATCACAATACGGCATGCGCAAACTAAACGAGATTTCGTCGGCTAAGTATCATACCTCTGTAAATTTATATATCATGGTTCTAAATTAAATCGTTGCAGATGGCACTTCCTGATAGTTCCGCCATCCACTTCACAAAATTTCAGCCGGAAGTACGATCGTACCACCACACGGCCACTAGCTCTCAGTCTATAAATATCACCTAAAAAAGGAGGTAATAATAATAATAAAAATTAAATGAAAATAGTCTTGTGACAACTGAATTGTCAGTTCTGTCAAATACGTCAGCGGCATTGTTTTAGGATTACTGCTGAATTTCTACTTTTTAATTGACTTTAAAAAAGGAGGAGGTTCTCAATTCGTCGCGATTTTTTTTTTATGTATGTTCAGCGATAATTCTTTAACACGGTGTCCGATTTCAATAATTTTTGTTGGAAAGGGGGTACTTCAGGGGTGGTCCCATATAAATTTGTTTAAAATCTAATAATTGAGTCCATGATAAAATCCTCAAACTCTTCATTTTTTTATGTATGTTTAGCGATAATGCTTTACCACCTTGTCCGATTTATATGATTCTTTTTTTGCTAGTAAGGGGGTACCTCAGGGGTGGTCCCATATAAATTTGGTTAAGATGTGGCATCTGCACGTTTTTGAAGTCGGTTTTTTTAAATTTTTAATTTCTAATACTTGTAGCAAACTAGTGACATCAATTTGGTGAATTTTTGGCGTGACATACGGGTATTATTGAAGTATCTGTAACTATTACGTTATTTTAATAATTTCAGATAGCATCGTGATATCAGAAGGAACGAAGAGATTAAATTCTACATCAGTATGGGGTATCCTTAAAGGGTTGGAATCGTTTTATCAAAGTATTTACCTAGCTGACGATTACCTTTCGGTAAGTTAAGTTATAAAATATAGAATTTGAATGTATAGACAGGTACTGCGTGATAATAATGAGCTTATCACCTTTTAAACTTCACTACTTTATTGATATACAATACATAATTAAAAAGTAGATCAATGGTTTCCATTATGTTGTTAACTAGCAATTACGGTCATGGTGGAAGTATGATGGGCAATGAATAAAAGTTGACAAAACTAGCAAGGTAAATTATATTCATATGAAAATTGCATTATAATAGGTGAACGTGTATCTACATATACATGGTGTTTTACTTCGTTAATAATAAAGATATAAAAATTTATTTTTTATTTAATAGAACATTTGGAGTAAATACTTTATGAGCTGCTAAAATATTATGTGACGCAATCGCTTACTCCTGTTTTTTATTCCATATTTCTTGTTAAATTTGGATCCCTAGAACATATTCGGTTTCGATTTAAAAAAAAATATTTTTTATGAGATGTAATGATGTATTGGGTTGTGAGTTACCATGTGTGTTAAAGTTTGGCCTTTACTCAAAAAATGTTTATTAGGGAATTAAAAATAAATGTAGGATAAGGGCCTAGGTATCCTTTTTAAAAAACCACCCCCAAAGGTTAATTATTTTAGATTTTCTCCATTTTGTTCGAAACCTTCGATTTTTTGAAAAAAAAAAAAGGACAAGAGTACCTATCGATTTAGAGAACATAAAATTTCCTACCGACTGGTATGTATATTGTCTATATCGGTAAATAAGTAGTAAGTATTTCCTTCTTTTAATAAAGTTAGAAACTAAATTTCTAATTACCTATTAAAGAAACATTGAATACATATGAAGGGTTAAGGGAAAAAGGAATGTCCCATTTTTTTGGTTTCGAGAAAACCGGAATTTAAACTTTTGCTACAGTTCTACTTCAATGAGCAGCTTCATAACAATCAATTTTTTTTTATTTAGAAACATATTACCTGCAAAGACATTTTTCAGTAAAGTACAGAAAAAAATTGGAAAAAACAATGAAAAGCTCAGCGTTTAATTGTAGGAACGGAGCGCAAAAGTAGCGGGATCGCTGAAAAAAAGGAAAAAAATATGAAAACGAAATCTGTGAAGAAGAAAAATTATATTTTACCTGAAACTACAATATAATAATGATGTGGCAGCGACGTGAAATAAACTTGGGCCTCCTGGTTGCAAAATCTCTTTGTTATTAGATTTTTGTACTTAGCCGCAGGAATTGAGAGTTAATCTGAAAAAAATACATCTAAATATTATTTTGCGGCTCATTTTAACATATTATTATATTATTACCATTATATGCGTGACTTTTTTGCTTCTTTGCGGGCCTTTTTAAAATCATAAAATGCCTGCGCTTTACGCTTATGCAAATCATTTTCCGTGGTTAATTTACGAATATGAATAGCATCTTTTTCACGGTTCAATGATTTTAATTTCGCTTGAACTTCGTCACATGCAGTACAAGTTCTTGGATAACCAAACGAAAGATTGAAAATCTCTCTATATGTTGCATACGATATAGTGACAGTTGGATACTTTTCTTTAAAAAGCTTATACATTTTTGTGATGTTCAGATCCTCTGGCAAATACTTTTGCTTGGAATCGTGCAAACTGTAATGGCATAATCTGCTTTTAAATGCATTTATGTGATTAAATACTGTATCAAAAGTTGCTTAACTCAATCTCCTGTGGCTTGAACTATGCTTACCACGCTTGTCTTTCCCCGGAGTTCCTGTAACTCAATTTTTTTTTGCAGATATTCAACTTTGCCTTTACTTATGCCATGGATTGACTGGAAACCTTTAAAACAGACGTTCACTTCTTCTGCTTTATCGCCACGTTTAATCCTAACTTTGTACTTAAAAAAAGCATTGTGAAACATTGCATTACCTTTTTCTTGACGATTCCGTCTCCTTTGTACTGGCACTAGAGACATTCATCCTGCCAAATATGCATTTTGTTCGTCATTTGAACTTTAACTGTTAAAATATTGCAACACTTCTTTTCTCTCTACTGCAGTTATATTTTCAAAACATTTCAGTCTTTTACAGTTACATGGCGGCCCTTCTTCGTGAGATTGCAAACGTATTTTTTTCATCACATCGACCATTCGTCCTGTTTTTTTCTTTTTATTGTTGTGCAATCAGGGATAACATTAGAATCACTTTCAGAATTCATTGTTTATCAGCACAGACACTAGAAACACCTATTTTCTATTTCTTAAACTGCATAGAATAGACACGTTCCTTCTAACCTGTGACAGTGAAACGTAAGCAATGCGTTGAAACTGAAATAATAAATTTTAATGCGTCGCATGTTTCTCATTTCACATGGACACTCCTACTTTTTAACCTTCACGAGTGGACATTCCTTGTTTTTATCCTTCGTACCGATATTTTAAATAGGCATATTAACTAGACAGTTCTAGTTTTTACCCGCTATTGTCTTGTAAGCATTTGGTTTATAATATAGCTAATAGATGGACACTATCTGTAATGTGTGGAGAGTGGGTTATCCCACGGTACTTAGGCCTCATTAGGCCCATTATGCATCCTCCTGAGAAGATAGGCACCTCCTAGCTCGTGAGCCAGCCTACAGATTTAATGTAGTTGACAACGTCGCGCGTCGCCAAGAGGTGCAGCTCGTTTGAGAGGGGTCTTGAACATTTGTATTCTTATTGTCATGAATTCCTAATCCAACCCTGTGTACGCACGCAACCGACTCGTGATCGAAGCAACGCTGACGTGTGGAAACAGCCGGACCGCGTCTCGAATATACAAGAAACGACGAAATGCCTGCACTGATGCCCTAGAAACAGCTGGAACGACGGGGAGTGCCGTTTAGTCATAGAATAGAATCTTCGCGAGCCTCTAGCATTTTCCAGTAGCGGATTTGGACTAATATAAATAGCCGACGTATCAGCGCCGAGTTTAGTTAGTGTCTGAATATTATGTGTGTTTTTAAATAAATAAACTTTAAATAAATTAGACTTTCGTCACAATATTTTTTGTTTTTTTGGATAAGTTGTTATTAGATACTATTAGATTTCACTTCTATAATGACTACTTAATTTTAATAAAAGTGTACTTCCTAATTTCTAATGATGTAGGCAATTAATTTTTGTTTTTATTTCGAAGTATGAATTAAACATGGAAACAATATAGCTTATGCCAAAAATAAGGCTTTAAAAAATAATAAATATTACAGCTAAGGATTAACAAAACTTTCATCGACGATCATCCTAGATATTCGCACAGAGGTCTTCTTTTGGATACTTCAAGACATTTCATCCCGTTGAATAAAATTTTGTTGACCATCGATGCCATGTCTCAAAACAAACTCAACGTTTTCCACTGGCACATCGTTGACGACCAAAGTTTTCCATACGTCAGTCAAAAGTTCCCAGAATTAAGGTACCTATACGCATTTTTTTTTATAAGCTTTTATTTAACTTGCAATTTTTGTATGTTTGTTTGGTCATCTTTGATTATTATTCCTGTTACCAGTAGAAAAAAATTTCTTTAATAAATAACGTTTTGGTATATTTTAGTGAAAAGGGGGCATATGTGTCATTCTACACATACACACCTGCTCAAATTCAAGTTGTAATAGAATATGCAAGGATTAGAGGAATCAGAGTTATACCCGAATTCGATACTCCTGGTAAGATTTTTTTAATTATTGACTTGAGGTAAGAAAACCGGTAATCGACCGTGCACCAGTAATCGACACTTTAAAATTAAAACTCTCGTAATAAGGGCATGTTTTCAGATTTGTACATAATTCGCTGACAGGACGAAAGTCTAATCTCTCTGGCAATACTGTAAGAATCCTCGAAGGTCACAGTTTAAATTATACGGCAAAAAATGGGGAACGTAGAGTCGAGCACGTAAATTTTTTTCTAGAGAAATTTGTAAATGTAAGTACATTTTACAATAGATTGTTTCTTTTTACATAATTAAGATATGTACGAGTAAATTAAATTTTGTATAAGGCATCTTTGCGTTCTAAAACACATGTTTTTGCTAAAATTTCATTGCTTACTTGGATTCTAACCTAAATTTTATGGGTATCGATAAATGGGTTTGTATACGCTTATTATTCATTAGTGTTCGACACTTTATATCGATTATTGTGGTATTATGGGCCTCCAGTGTTCAACTGCTTAATGTTCTGTCTTTATAATGTCGATAATTTGGCCAATTTGGGCGACAATAACTGGTGAAGGTGTCGATTACTTGTGTATCCAAAATTACATCAAATTGTCCTAAGATGTTCTACTAACCTTAACTAATTACGAAGTTAAACAGTAGAAAGGTATAATATATATTTTTGTTGTGTTATCAACACAGAGTTAGCAAGATGAAATCTACGGTCCTGCTTTGCTTGTGTTGGAGTGAATAATAAATGACGTGCACATGTGCAAGAGAGGAAACTATTTAGTATCGATGTTGCCAGTAACAAATCGGTAACGCGCTGCCGACCAGTGACTGGAACTGTGACTGGCAACATCGAGACTGTGCTGTTTCTTTTCATGCATGTACGAGCGCCATTTACTCTATCACAAACAAAGCAAGTCCGAAGGTTTGGTCTTGCCAGCACTGTTTATGCAACTAAGGGACATATTTTTGACGTTTTAACACTACAAATCTTTCTTAATTTCAATATAACGTGTAGTAAACTTCTGCATGCTTTTACAGATGTGGTAAGAACAGCAAGCTTCTAATAAAATGTTTTATAAAAATAGAACACTATAAGGTAAAGTCTCCAGTAGTTGACACATTAAGAAAATAAAATTGGTTATATTTTTTATGGCTATAGTTTTTTGGGTATTTTATTAAGGTTTTGGTAATCTTTGATCTTTTTGGAAAAACGTATTAAAAAAAAACGATTTTAGTTTTTTTATGGCTTATAAACTTGATTAGAAAATGTACAAAAAAGTACAAGTAGTTGACATTACATGTTTTGAAATCTTTAGTAATTGACACGTCAAAGGTCCAGTAATTGACAGCGTATTTTAGACAAGAAAGGAAACAGTAACAATTATTTATTTTCTTTAATAGTGATGAGATGAAAAATTACAATAGAGAGAGACTACTAAATTACGTGAATTGATTCTATGGGCTCCAAATATAGAATACCTATAAATCTATAATAGTGAAATATTGGGCACATGAACTCAAATTTCAGCTATTAATGGCAAATAACACTTTTATAAATTCCGTTTGTAGAAAAAACAATATTTAGAGTTTTCAGCTCTTTAATAATCTGGCTTGTGTTTATAACACTTAATCCCTTTCTTTAAGTCTAAAAATATTCTTTGCTTTATTACTATACAGTAATTTAATCATGTTACTTCAGTTTCGAACTGGTTAAGGTTGTTTTGAATATTGCACATGTCATATACTGATGTGACCTTTGTTATCTGGAAATGAAACACACGAAGTCTTCTTCCTTAAACTTGAGGTCACATTAATTTTCTACATAATTTTGTGAATCCAAGTCATTAGCTTGTACATTGAAACTAATATCTTCCATACTACTATCAGTTTCTACCCATTCCTCAGATTCAGTATTATCACTCGATGCATGTCTGCTTATTTTTTTTTATGGATTTAGATTCATTTTCTGTTGCAGCTAATCTGTTTTCCGTTTTTCTTCCTTCTCAGCCGATTTCGAGTCTCTTTTTTGCCTCTCCACGGCTGTTTGCAACGTTTGAACCTCTTTATCTTTCTGTTATTGTGTATTCCTTTATCTTCCAGTACCATTGCCATGTTTTCGACGTTACTGACAATACTGGGTTCATTTCTAAAATCGACATCTGGATTAGAAATTTACTCTTTTTTTTTTAAATTCAACCCTACTATAAATAGTTTGTTACCATCAAACTGTTGGTGGTCTATTCAAGACAAAAATTAGGTTAAATGGTCCCTCATCATAAAAAGATTAAGAACCACTGCTCTACAGAGATATATAAGAAATATCAAACTTTTGTCGGCCATGAAAACTTTATTTTTTCCTGGTTATAGTTTTCAAAACATAGGTATACCCATAGTATACCCTTTGAGGTACTATAAAGTGGGTTTTTCAGAAATCGACAAATACATATCTCTTTAATAATATAAAATTATATTTAAGCCACAGTGAAATTATATCATTACTGGGTTTTCGTTCCAATAAAACAAAAAACAACATAAATTCTCTCAAATCTCAATATCAACAAAGCATCATGATTTGATAGTATACCAAAAATAGGCATTTTTTCAAAGAACTGGAAGACTACTACCGAAGCAATTAAATCTGGTATGGGGGACTCGCGAAACTCACCTTGTCTACATCAAATATACTTAGGTCTTGCCGCGCCGCTGTCCCTTTATCTGTATCTGTAACGTGCGGAGGATGGGCTTAGGCACTTAGGCTTCACTAGACCCATTGTGCATCCTCCTAAGTACATAGGCACATCCTAGCTCGTGATCCAGCCTACAGATATAATGTAGTTGACAACGTCGCCAAGAGGTGCTTCTCTTATATCGGCCGGTGTTAGACAATTCTCGCCGAACACAAACCTTCTAATAAATGAAAACGACGGGCAATCGTAGAGGATTACGTAGCGATTTTGTAGTTGTCATTAATCTACGAATTACTACCACTTTTACTTTATTCCTACATTGATTTACCATGTAAATGTTGATAACCACTACCTTAGATGCCAGAACTTCACCTCTATACCTCTTCGCTGGATGAAATATTAAAGTAGGTTATTTCAAAAGTACCTACCTATTTTTATTTTAGGACATACAAGATCTTGGGGCGTAGCCCATCCAGAAATACTGACCGCTTGCGAAGGAGATTTGGCTGGAAAATATGGACCCATAAATCCTGCAAGAGAAGAGACTTATGACTTTTTAAACGAGTTATTCGGCGAAGTCAAAGAAGTTTTTGCTGATAATTACATTCATTTGGGTGGAGACGAAGTAGAGTTTGAATGTTGGTAAGCGTAGCATTTTAACAGCTACAGTTTATTTTCTCCAACAATATAACACAAAATTTAACGGGATCTTCTATTTATAAACGTTTTCATAAAAAAGTTTTTGTGAATTGAAAAATTCCTTGATAAGACCATTTATTTCATATTAAAAAATGTAGGTACTTATACATTTTTTTTATTTTCAGGGAAAGCAATTCCAATATCGCTCAATTTATGAAGAAACACAAGATCGGTGATTATAATGCATTGGAGAGTTATTACATACAAAAAGTTATTAATCTCGTCGACAAATTAAAATATAAATCAATTGTATGGGAAGAAGTGTTCAATAATGGAGTGAAGGTACCCAAAGAAACTATCGTACATGTTTGGAAAGGCGATTGGACAGATACATTATTAAACGTAAGGGAAACTAAATCATTTCTGAAATATAATTTTAAATTGAATTGTCGACAAAAAATATAGACTTTTGAATAAAACTTTACCACTTACCGTTAGGAAAAGTATTTTAGGCTTGCTTGAGAGGCAATGGATAATTACAAACATGTTTCTATTCTAAATTATTTTTTTCGCAGAATAGTACATATACTAGTTAATAATTATCAATTTACTGTTCTATACTATATCCCTTCCGTTTATCTACCTGAGCCTGCATGAATCTTTCAGACACCGTGGCGAAGTTAGGATGGTCAACTTCATACTCCAGACCGTGAGTAGTCAATGCAAGGTAGAACTGGGATGCGACAAAACGGGATAGTTAAGTGAAATTAATAACCGGCATATTCTCGGGTTGAAATGAGTGGTATAGAATTGGGAGCGAAAGAGTTGATCAATCTTCCTCTTGCTAACAAGACTATAAAGATCTTTTCGGATAGTCAAGCACTCCTCGAGGCTCTGAGCTCCCTTCAATCGAGTTAATTCAAAGCTGATTTCTAACTCTATGCTCAGAACAAAGTTACTTTGATCTTGGTTTTATAATAAGAGTACAGCCACAGGAATTATCTCAAACTGGACATGTACTGGAGAGATACTATAGGGCTAAATCATTGGAAATCGTTTATACCAAATCTTCTTATGAACCCTCCGAGAATGGAGTAGAAACGATGTGCGCATTCTTACGAGACTGATGATAGGACATTGTCGTTTAGACGATTCTGACAAATTCGCGGACATATCTCTCTAATGTGTATTACGTGGAGGAACTGTAAAGGTATCTTTAAAGTACCTAGCCATTTAGCCCGTCTAAACGTCTCCAGGTACTAACCCGAAACTATTAACTAAGGTGTTTATCTTCAAAAGATAAGAATATTACTCACATATGAAATTGTTTATTTTTACATTTTACCTTTTCTATTTTTATTTTTAGGTAACTCAGAATAGTTATAAAGCTATTCTTTCATCTTGTTGGTACTTAGATCATCTGGACAGCGGCGGCGATTGGGAAAGTTTTTATTACTGTGAACCCAATATGTTCTCAAATGACACTGTACTTCAGTCACGTCTTATTGGAGGTGATAACATATATAAAAAATATCGTTATTAGGTACTACGTTAAACATCAGTAATTAAATTCCAGTTCGTGATATTATATCGTCTAACTCTATTAGATTCACTGTTATCTACTGGATTACTGATCTGTAAGCTACAGATACGTTTAGAAATTGTTTGTGAATTGGTATTTGTTTTATTACTGTAAGGTTATTACTTAGTTTCAAAAAAAGAAAGTTAATTTTCTAACGCGTGTTTGAATAAAGCAGAGTAAGCTTTTGCGATTCGAAATCTGCCCACAAAATTGACTTTTTCTGCGAAATGACATTAAGTGAAAACTTTCTCGATCTAGCACAATATTTTCGAAACGCTCCCCTAATTTTATTAAGGTATTATCAAGGGTAGGTATATTTATTTAATACAGAACTCTAAAAAAATAGCTCAGTTTAGTGGGAATCCTACATACTCAATTGTGTGTCAAAAATTCGTTGCCGCGTTCGACAGATTTTCCGAGCTACGATACGCGTCAATTTTCGCTCCTAATACACAAATAGCTATTTTCGTACCCTTTATTAAATAAGATAACAAGAATTCACTTTTTGTGTAATATTTTTGAATATTTTTACATATTTTAATACAAAAACTATTTAAATTGGCTCAACATAATTCGAACTCTAAGACGTACCTATTTATTCGCTTTGTCTCTTCACTAAACATAATCAATCGATAAAACATACTAAAAATTACATTAAAATATATTTTTTTTAATAGAAGTAACTAGCCTTATTTGAACTTAATACATACAATTCACTTTTCTTACCAACCATAAATTAAATTAAATATAATCTCAATTCCAATGAATTTAAAGTCGTCACTTCCAATACACATGAACGCCTGTGCTAACTTGTTTCAAAGTTTCAATAAACCAAGCAAAACTTACATCTACATGGATCTATCTTACTCAAACAACCCAATTCACAATGCATTTTTAAATATTTTCGGACCTTAAAATCCAAAAGGTAGACACGTCCACGTCAAAAGTAAATTTGGGCGATATCGTAATTTTTTAAACACACTGAAGCATTACTGTGGTTAATAAATAACATTTTGTTTCCTCAAATCCATCAAAAAAATGAAATGTCCGTTTATAAAAAAAAAACATGGAAACAATCTCATTATTTTTAATATCAATATTTAAGTAACAATTCGTATACTATCGCCCAACTCTATACGCTGTACAGTCGACGTCTGACGTCTGATAAAGCGCAAAAAGCCTTTCGAAGCTAAAAAAACTGAGGTATAACCAAACGGCACCTTTTCACGTTTGAAAAAGCACATTTTTTACATAGAAAATGGAAATTGACGATTCTCTCCATTGGTCGAGACAAAAGATATAGTCAAAAATAGCTATACGCACCTTAAAGGTGCCGGGACAAATGTGATTTAAGCAGGTCCGTTAGCTTCCATGGCGCGGTAGATATACGACACCGTACAAATCTGACGAATCTGGGTCCGTTGTTGGCCTGGATCCGGCCCGGGCCCAGTCCGTTATATCTATACGCACCTTAAGACATTAATTACCTTCCTAAGATAGTTTATGGATATGTAATAACTTACCCAAACGTTTGTAAATATTTTGTGAATTTCGGCTGTAAAACAAATATGTTTCAATTTTCTAAATGCAAACATGCATTTTGATCGCCATCTCTATCTTGTCAAGAAATTGTCTCACCCTGTATATCTGAGATATTTTTATAACAATGTAACATCGTCTTCCTACAAGTAATTATATACAGTAGAGTAGTGCAGAGTAAATAAATTACATTTGTTATGAGCCAATCCATAACTTAATCAAGTTAAAGCTAGTCTGCAACTGCCTTGGATTAACAAAGGATCTGGTAAGCCAAAATATGGTAAAATTAGAGTGATACCAGGATATAAAGGTATCGCAAGGAAATCAAAAGGCCGACGAGCTCGCCAAAGAAGGATAAGAGCTAATATTTACAGGAACCAAACCTTTGTTTGGGATAAGCAAAATATATGGGACATAGGTCGATAACCACTAAACACCAAATTTACTTGCAACAAATAAGAGTACACAGAATCAGTAAGCTCGTGCTAGGAAACAAAAGCCACTCATGGCTGCTGAGGTATTACAGCTTGCAAAGTCCCAAATCTCCACCATTGTGGGATTACTAACGGAACACTGCTTATTGATGTAATGATCCCACCACGTGTAGACTCTACATAGAAAAAAGAACTTCATACGCTATCTTCGAATGTGTTTGTGTCGTTTGTGTTATTACGTATATCTGGAAACTTAACACAAAGCATGGATTAAGCATATTTCCTTAGACAATTATGTAGTAGTGGTTAAGATTATTCTGTCACGGTTTAATATTCGAATCTTATATTCAAATTATCAATTCACTTTTAGGTGAGGCGTGTATGTGGTCCGAAGTTGTAGATACCAACAACGTAATTTCTAGAATTTGGCCAAGAGCTTCAGCAACAGCCGAGAGACTGTGGACCGAACAAATAGATGACGAAGATTTCGATGTAGTCAGAAGGAGATTGGAAGAGCATACTTGTAGAATGAACAGAAGAGGTATTGAGGCACAGCCCCCTAATGGACCTGGTTTTTGTGTAGTTTAATATTTGTATTTATGTAAATAAACGTACTAAATGAAATACGTGACTTTAAATTATATCCTCACGACATGACTGTAAAACTAATAAGTGACGAAATCAAAAGTACCCTACGTATGGTAAATTGCTTTATTTCACACAAATCATCTTTAGATTACAGGGTATCAAACCTTTCAAGATTTTGTTACGTATTACTATCAACATTCTCAAAATAATATATCTCGAGTATTTAAACTCTTTCTAATTAAAAGGGATTTTTGTGTGGATTTAGGTTGTATTAATTGTATGGTGATTTTTTTCACCCTTTAAGACATCCTTCTGTTCCCCCAATTAGGCTTGAATTCCAGCCTGCTTCAATGCTCTGGGACTCGAAAGGCGGTACTGCAGCTCTATGCGCTTATTGTGTCACCATTTGGATGCCCTACTCCCAGGAACATTCTTTGCGGGCCCAAAAATATACAGGGTGTTCAATTAAGAATGGGACATAGAACAACTGAAGATTCTCTGATTAAAAATAAGATGATTAAAAGAAACATGCTTGGGCAAAATGTTACTCGTTTCCGAAATACAGGGTGGTAAAGTTCAAAATTAAAAAATTATTAATGGCCAGATTTTTTTTTACTCAGTATAATTTTACCAAATTCGGAAAACGTTTTTGATGTCATTAGATACACTGTTACGTGAAATTAATTTTAAATTAATTTCAAATTTATTTTTAACAACTTCTCCATACGCCCTCGTAAATGACAAAATATTAAAGAAATATCGCGAGCTTCCTTAGATAAGTAAGATTTGCGCACGTACCCAGCGTTTCTTCTACATTCATGCTAAGATAAAAATCAGCTGGCGTTCCTTAAGAGTCCTTTTTATTTATCGAACTCAAACTTCGATATGCCAGTATTGTGTTGACAAATCTACTAGTTTGCAGTTATTATGAGTAGATTTAAATAATTTTCGTATGTGCTTATGTGTTACCATTGGGATAATAGTTAGAAAATGTTTTTTTCAACTTATATTTTAACTCTTTGCTAGATTTAGTTGGAAAGCCGAAGGGTCGGCCATTTGCTTTTTTTATTACCACCATGCCGGTTATTATTGTTTTATTTTATATAGATTATAGCTACCCTACCTAATAATATTTTTAAGCTTTCTTTGATATATACGCGGGGTGGCAACTAAATAATTGAATTACAAGTCATTCTGGAAATACAGTTTAAACGGAAATCTATGGCTCTTAACTAATTTTGGCCTTATAAATAATTTATATTTTATTCAGGTGATGTAAAACTTATTGTTATAACTTATTTTGGCCTTATAAATATTTTAAATTTTGTTCAGATGACGTAAAACTTATTGTTATAACTTATTTTGGCCCTATAAATATTTTATATTCTGTTAAGATGATGTAACTTTAATATTTGTCCCGTTTATGCATAAGTCCGTTAGATTTCCAAACTGGCCTGTAGATGTACTATTCAGCTATGTTACGTCACCGATGGTACGTAATATTTTAGTTTGGCAATCCTATCAATATTTTTGTAATTGATTTTCTGTATCCATATCGACCATGTTTGATTAACGTTTGTATTGAAATAAATTAATTAATTTTTAAACTGTCACGAATCATTTGAACAAAAACCACGAATTCTTTATACAGTCCATTGCACGATCGCACATTTTTGAGGTTCTTTTTATTTCTGAACCTGTAGTGGCTTTAAACTCCACGATCCAGGTTACGTAGCTTCCCCAAACAAGCTCTAATTTTTCAAGTAATTTTCGACGTAGCTCCAAGTTACGTAGCTTCTCCAAACTCCAAGTTACGTAGCTTCTCCAAGCTCCAAGATCGAAGCTTCCAAGTAATTTTTGACGAAGCTCCGAAGTAGTTTCCATGTAGCTTCCAAGCTCCCCAAGTTTCCACGTAGCTCGAAGTAATGTCGAAGTAGCCTCAATTATTATCGGACATACTTCATCTACCCAGGAGACGATTTAACAGGGAAGTACCGCTGTGTAATGCCACATGGTCGAAACAAAGCAAACAATTTTTATTAGTATTCAAGTTCATTCAGTCATTCAAGTCATTAATCAGTAATTCATTGTATAACTAACATTAACAAACTTTGCATTCATTTAATCTTTTTTTTTTTCATTAAAAGTAACATTGCATTCTTTTCATTAAATGTATTAAATTTTCTTAATTTCTTTTATTTGCCTGAATTTGAGGCACCAGAGACCGACTCAATGAAACAGGGCATTTAAAATTAGATAGTTTTTCCATAGTTTTTACTCAAAAACTTGGTGTCGCTCAACATTCTTTTGTCGTTATATATAGTACCAATTATAGTAGATTTGGCCTGCGAACCGGTCAAGCTACTCTGATTTTATTTGTCCTGGTCAATTTTTTAATTGCTGGTACAGCGTGTACCAGCAATTTGAGCTAAATCACCTAATTTACATCGTAGAATTCAAATAGAAGGTAACAACACCTATCAGCAAAAAAAATCAGTTAAGGAGGTCCTTTCGCCACCAATGTTAAATAAAAAATATTAGATTATGACTAAAATTAATTTTTTTCTAATAGTAGATGTCCTTATTTATCTAATAGTGAACTTTTAACTATACCTTACCGTGCAAATTTTTGAGAATTTTTTTTTTAAATGTGTGTGTTTGTACAGTGTCTTATGAGAAAGTAAGACTTCAACAACAATTTTCGAATTATAATTAATTTTACTATTATTTATTGATTAGATGGAGTAGAAAAAAACTAAAAATAAGGTTTTTGAAATATTTAGGTTTTATTTTTTACAATAAAATATATAGGTTACCGTGGAATTTATTGAGAAATTATTATTAAAAAATCACAAAAAATTTTCAACTAGGTTACTTAAAAAATTTTTGTGATTTTTTAATATTAATTTCTCACGGTTTACTATATATATTTTATTGTATAAAACAAAATCTAAATATTTCAAAAAGCTTATTTTTAGTTTTTATCTACTCCATCTAATCAATAAATAATAGTATTGTTCGAGAATTGTTGAGGACTTACTTTCTCGTGAGGCACTGTACAAATACATTTAAAAAAAAATTCTCAAAAATTTGCAAGGTAAGGTATAGTTAAAAGTTCCTTATTAGATAAATAAGGACTTCAACTATTAGAAAAAAATTAATTTTAGTCATAATCTAATAACTTTTTTTTAACATTTGAGGCGAGAGGTGTGGCGAAAGGACCTCCTTAAACGAACTTTGATGTTTTTTATAGTAGTGATAGTTATTTATGTGCCAGGTCAGCAAAGTGATTCTTTATCGAACTAGTCTGAGAAGCGAGCGAGTCGAGTAAGTTAGATAAAGACACTTTGCTGACGTGGTCCATACAAACTTTTATCGCCAACCGTAAATAATTATAATTAATAAAGAACGAAATATTATAACATCACATTTTAGTATGACAAAGTAAACAAACAGAAGAATAACGGCGAATACAAACCAAATCAGTTACAGACACATACTTTAATTTTCTTTTACTATACGGAGAATGGTCGCACTGCGCAGTTTTCTGAGTGCCTTTTAAAAGGAGATAGAAAACTCCGCCATTTTGATCTTTTATTACGTGTTACCTACATCTTGGCGCAATATTTTTAATAGGTGCTTTTTAATCATCCGCTTCTGCTTCGGAATTGTCGGTTTTCTTGTTTTAATCTGACAATTCCGGAAGCAGAAGCGGATGATTAAAACGCACCTGATATTTTGCTTGCTGCTGTCAGTGTCAGTGAATATTATTTTTGGAGTCACAGTTTATTGCTAAAGAATCAGTTAGCTCACTCGGAGCAGTTGAAAGTTCCAAAATAACATCCACTCCAGAGATACAAACTCAGGATACGCAGAAGACTGCTGTTTTATTATAGGCGGTTGTCATATATTGTATTATCCGAGTTGCGCAGTGTATAAACTGGAACATTGAGATCAAAAGTGCCGACGCAGAGTGAGCGATCTGATTCTTTAGCTATAAACTGTGGCATAGGAATCAAAATGGCCGCGCCGGACCTCTCTCTTGCACCGTATAGTAATCAAAGTATGTGGTTACAGACTATTGCTTTCAGACGGTCATGGCTATGTTGACAAATATTAGCGGCAGATAAAATATTTGATTTTTACAGTGCGACGTTTTTGTTTACTTCCGCAAATCGCTATAATAATGCAGGGCTTTAATGACGGTTGGCGATAAAATAAATTATGTTGGAAACTTATAAAGTAAGTGGTTGATTTTCGAGATATTCGCACACAAAGGTGAATGCTTTTCGACAAGAGTACATGATTTATTTAAGAAAAAAATTTAGAAGGGATGGTTTTACTTACCCATGCCGGTGCGCCACTGCTGAAGTTATTTAACTTAAACTGATTTTTTGCCGATAGGTGTATCTTATGACATCAAAAACGAATTTGGTAAAAATATACTGGGTAATTAACAAATTACATATAGCCATTACATTTTTTGCGAATTTTCATTTTTAACAGCCTGTATTTCGAAAACGAGTAACATTTTATCTAAGCATGTTTCGCTTAGTCTTATTTTTAATCAGAGAATCTTCAGTTGTTATTCTATGTCCCATTATTAATGAAAAACCCTGTAGAAATATGCCAGAAAAATCAAAAATATACACGAACGAGTAATTCCTACACAAACGATGGATAGAAGGCCGCAACGAAGTTATAGGAACACTGGAGATCTCGATTCTTGCTAGGCCGCTCTTGAACCTTCGAGTGTCCAACCTGCTGTTTTTGCGGCCCGAAACACTATTATTAAGTTGTTTTTTAAAACTATGTTTTTAAAATTTTGAGCAAAATGCGCGAAAACATTCATCGGTCGCTGCACTAAATATCACGCTAATTTTTAAATAAACGTTTAGATCATAGGGATACTGCAAGAACAAGATGGCTCCTTTCAGAATTTTCGAGTTAAGTACACTTTCGTCTCCAAAATATTTTAAATAATACGGTATAAACAAGGCAAGTGTGAACGGAGCCCTATATTAATTCACAATATGTACAAAAAAGATAAGTGGCATTTATACGGAAATATAATCATAACATTATTCAGTTGCTAATAGTGTGTCTACCAAAACCAGATAAGAGACATATAACTTATTTTTGCTAATGTATTTAGTCCGATTCCTAATAATGTTCCTACCAAAACAAGATAAAGGCCAGAACTCTTATTTTTTGTGAATGTTTTAGTTGTAATACTTCAACATTTTCCCCAAGCCATTTGTTTTGCCTGGAGCAGTTTCTGGATTGGTTTGAAACCGATAAGGTGATTATGTCACCCTTTCTTTCCACGATACAACCAACCTTCAAAAATCAATAGATGATAATACGTGATGCTTGAATCGCCATGGTGAATGATTGGTTGGTCAAACCGTAACAAGTGATTGGTCAAGCTGTAACGAGCGGGGATGCCGATGCTCGCCTCCATATTGTTTTCGCCAAAACAACCCGAAACACCAGCTTTCGCATTGCTTGAGAAATAAGCAACGGGTTTTTTTTTGTTACAAATCGACAAACTAATTATGTTTTTTATTGGAGTTATTGTTTGAAGCTTTTACTGATTTTTTAATCAGTTTTAAACTTTTGATCAGCCTTTTCTCGAAACTCAAAAAATGTGAGTTATCTCGTTTTTGCAGTAAGCCGATAGGATATATGTTTTGTGTTTTATTTATTAGAAATGGATGGCCTAAATAAAGGGTAATCATCCAAAAATATTGCGGCCCGTGTAATAGCATATATACGCTTATGACTCGAAGGAAAAAATGGTTGAGTATGGCTGGAGAAGTCGTTCGCGTGCATTCAAGGTTGAGTCAAGCGGGATCCTAGAGTTAATAGTCTGGAGTAGATACTTATAGACATAAAAACGTTGGATACGGTTCGCGAAGTTTATTGTTCATTTGTTTATCATTGTAGTTATTTTGTTCATTCTGGAGTGCGGTACGCGTAGCAACTCAATTTAAGCTTTTTTGAGTAAAATATGTCTTCGCAGAAAAATAACGAACGAACATCCGATATATAATGACCGTTGGGAATCAGACTATTTATCAGTTATATGCAACATTACCTTACAAGAGAAAAAGTTTCAGCAAGTATCCAGGGGAGTCTAGAAATGCTATTATTACAGATTAATAGAAAAAAACTAAAAAATCAAAAAGTCTGACACTGATAACAAACGCAGTATTGCCGCTTTTTACAAAGTAGCGCTGGACATTATCAGCAAAAAAACTTTCAGTGATGGAATGCTTATTAAGAATTATGCAATGAAAATTGCCAAAAAATTTAATGAAACAAAATTTAACAAAAATTTGAAACACTCTGATTGTCGCATCCAACAATTGCTTGTATTGTTGACATTATTCAATAGGAATAAAAAAAAATATACGACTTGTTACTTTACGCCGATATTCGTTGGTTAAGCGCTGAAAACTGCAATGTTTCTTCTCTCTCCGTAAGATTCCCATTTTCCTTAAAAATGAAGTGTCTAGGTAACCATATGAAAAGGATAGGTCTACATCAAATGTCGAAGTATCGATTCTGTAGAATAGAAGACGATTATACAGAGCACATTCTATGTGCCTGCAGATATATTTTCTCTATTGCTTTTCTCTGAATGGTGTCAAAAACTGCTTTTATTATATGAAACCTGATACCTACTTGTAGCCGGACTCTATTATTTTTATTAAATTTCTACAAAGCTATTGTCCATAAGTTCTCTGTTTCTTCTATAGACGACTGTTTAAAAGGATAAACTTCGGGAACGAACAATAAAGGTGGAATCGCATTAGGCAATCGTGGTTCCGTCGCATCGCGGTCTGAGCGCGCGCGGTGAAGTTTTTTTCCCATATTTTATAACGCATACATTTGCACTTGTTGTTTTCGAACTGTGCTCGCCCGCATTGTGTACTCCTACCTTGTTCATACAATATCGAGAGACCGCACAGCCCACGATACGACGTCACCTAATTCGTTCCTTATTTGTTATTTAAACTTCGAAAGAGATGCATAAACCATCAATGTGCATTTTTACTTTTTTTAAATCAAATGAAACCTTAGGCGACGAGTCAATTAAACCTTTTTTCGATTATGTTTAGAAGTAAACTAGATATATCAACAAAAAGAAAATATATTTTTTATAAAACAATTTTGAGCTTAAAGCTACGTCTTACAATTACCATTAGATTTAACAGACTTTCTTAACACCTTATAGGTATTTTTGGACATAATATAACTTAAGGCAGAGGCTACCGTTGTTGTGCCAGTTACGTACCTAAAAACAAACCAATGATTATTATGAGTATACTCGATCAATTTTTTTTTTTTTTTATTTGGTGTACGGCTTCAACATCTAAGGTCATTAGCCTAGTGTTCTATGTAGGTTATGGATTGTATTAGTAGTCTAATACTCCATAGTGCAGGAGTATTAGTACTCTAATACTCCTACACCCCTACAGACAGGCCTTGTTACTGTTTCCTTGCGCCACTTTAGGAACAGCACTGTTAATTAGAACCCAACAGTGAATGGTCGAGTGAGGAATCCTACCAAGGCATCAGAATTAATTTTAAATAATTAAATTAAATAAAAAAATCTGGGACCCTTGGATCCACAGGCAGAGACTCTACCACTGAGCCACCCACCCCCACTCGATCAATTTGATTAATATAAAAATCATATAAAAAATCTTAACCATGAATATTTTGTTTGTTAAATTACACATTTTATTTACCATAAACACTCGAGTGCTGGATGGCCAACATAGTTAAAAACTGGTGCTCCTAAGGTTGATCCTACCAACAATAATTGAACAGCAGTATTCACTTTACTAATGAAAGTTGGAGCGAGTTGAGCTGTTGCATGAGTAACATCAAAGTATCTACTCAATGTTCTCTAAAATCAAAATTTCCCATATTTCTAACAGTAAAAATATTAATTAATTTTTTTCAGATAATAATTTAAAATAAACCTTGAAATGTCGCCCACAGAAATAGAAACCTTGAAATAATGGACTAAATATTGAGTTACTTGAAATACTGTTTGACCATAACCCTGGCCCAACACACTAATATGGCGGAATGATTTAAAGTGTTGGGACATATTTTAATTAATTGGCTCTATTTTATTGTATATTAAGTGGGAATCATACTTTTCTCAAGCGATTTTTAAGCATATTTTTAAACCTAAGGTAGCAATAACATTTTAAATAACATCATGTTTGCCGGGACCGCCGTGACTATGATATTTTTGAACTATAGATTCGATCAGTTTGACAATGTTCCAATGTTGGTAAATGCCTGTCGGAAAACATCTTACACAACCTGAGGGCTGTGTCTTGTCAAAAGTGTAATATATTTTTCATTGTCAGTTTTCCTTTTCCCTTCTGGTCATTGTTTGATATTTTTTTATGCCTCTAGGTGTTTTCTAATATTCATCAATGCCATCTAGATTTCATCAAAACTGTTCTTTTATCCATTAAAATTTTTTAGATGAGTCATACATCATATTCTTAAATTCAACCTAATTCTCAGATGGTTGTCACCAAATCCATCAACTCAATTATGTTGATGCACTGATGGATCATGTGACATAACCTCAAATTATTAATTAATATTAAACAGATAAGGAAATAGGAAAAGTTTGCTCAAAATTCTTAATAATATAAATGAAGAAACTCACTGGCTTTTTTAAACGAACCTTTATGTGGGCTAACTTGTATAATAAGATTGTTAGCATTAGATACACAGCAAGCCAATAATTTTCATCAGATCCATCATCAGTACATCATTTTGTTGAATATTAGAAAACGCCTACTATTCTAGCATTTCTAAGTAACAGGGAAATGTATGCTAGAAAAAAACGTCAGGCGTAGGGATGCTGGGCAGTGTAATCTGTCACAAATGCTACGCTGATAGCTCAAGTATTGTTCACATGTATTGTGCTAGTGTTTGGCCATTAATGTGTATTTGCTGGGGATAAACTGATAATTGTTACATAATAGTTTTAGAAATACTTACAGGCGGTGGTAATGAAAGGTATCTAATTACAAAACCACAAGCTACTAAAATTATATCTCTTGCTATTATCATCCCAGTTAAAACCAATGGAATAAGATCTACATAAGTGAGTGATAGGAACAAAGTTCCTATCAAAATTTTATCAGCCATTGGATCTAAAAAACTACCCATTTTTGAAGATTGACTTTTCCATGTTCTAGCTATCCAACCATCTAACTAAAAATTGAATTAAAAAAAATATGAATACAATATTTTAAACCAAATATCCAATTCCACTAATTATTTTTTTGATTAAATTTAATGTGATTCTTTTGACTTACCAAATCTGTTACAGCTGCAATACCCAATACACCAAGTGCACCATCAAATTGTGATTGCACTATTAAATATCCCAAATATGGTGACAATGCCATCCTAGCTATACACAAAAAATTAGGTACAGTATATACATTTTCACGCTAAAAGCAAAAACATATCAAAAGAAATAAGTATTATACTTTTAATTTTCAGAAAATTTAAAATAGTATGCTTCATACAACTATTATGAATTAAGAATTATCTTATGAGTTGACAGTTTTAACTAAAGCTCAAATTACTTTAAAAAATATATTGCAATGTGTAATATGCCAGGGACCAAATGAGATATATGATTGTGACCAAATGTGTACTTTTGAAAATATATATTAATTTGTGCCATTTGATGAACTGATCAACAAATATATAGTTTACAAATAACTGTGAAGCTATGGTTTTAAGGCATTCTAGGGTATTTACTAAGCAATAATAATTGCAAAATAAGTAATAATTGTTTAAAAATTATTTTGTGATGTACCTATTTTAGATAATTAAAAATTTTCTGAAAATATCATTAAAGATCTTACATTTGGTTGAATATATTAAGCTAAAAAACAAAACATGCCTCCACAACCTCTTCCACTTTCTCCTTAACCTTATCCTTAGTTTCTTTAATATCTTTTAAAATCATTGTACCCTTCTCTTTAAGCTTCTTTTCTTTTTCTTTGAATTTTTCTTTTTTCTTTTCTATAATAGTTTTCAGTTCTTTTGATACATTTTTTGTGAAATGGACATTTTCCCCTTTTGAATTGGAACATATTGATTTGTTCTGATTTGAAAATCCTACTTGGTTAAGACATGAAAACTTTACATTTTCTTGAAATAAACTAAAATTAAAGGTGTTTAAAGTATAAGATCTTTGGCAATAATGTTCCAATCTTCTTGATAATGCCAATAAAACATAGTGTTTTGATAACATATTAAATTTATTCTATTTTCATTTCAATGTCAATATTTACAACTGACTACTGGTTCTTGTCTTCTGTTCTGTTTAAAAAAAAAGATATATTAAAAACCAGTTTTTCTTTTTATAAAACAAAACACATGTTTACTGAACTTTGGTCTCTTTCCTTAAGTCACGTGTCACGTGGTTACATATGACTGTCACTGTCAACTTGAATCCCAAATTCTGAAAGTCGACAGATACGAGGCCAAACAAATTTGCTTGCATAAATATAAAAGAGAAGAAATTCAAATAAATTAACCTCTATTTTTTGAAATGTTTATATTAAATCGAAATGTAGGAAGTTTTATATGTCGAAATTGTTCGAAAAGGGCATTTCATACTTCGCCTATTTTGACCACATTTTGGGAAAGAGATGACAAAGGTGGGTACAGAGATGAATCAAAATTGCCCCAGTTAAAGGACAGATTGAGGGAAGGCCTGAAAGAACTAAAACACGAAGTTGGCTTATGGAGTGAAGAACTAAAGGAAAGGTTTGAAAATGATCCAATACTGACTTACAGGCCAGGAGAAGTGGATGTGCAATGGCAATTCGGCACAGAAGACTCTTTAAAAAAATGGTTAGTTACAAGTGATAGTGATAATAACGAAGGCTTTAGTAAATCTTCCTTGACACTTACAAAGGAAGGAAAAGGCTTATTTTCTGGAAATTTAGATATGAGAATTCCAAAGGATGGTAGAGTAAAAAGAGCTGGATATTGTAACATGAAAACACTTAGAGTCAGGGTATATTTAGCGAAACATTTTCACTATACTTTACTAATTTGTTCTTTTCAGAAATCATTTAAGAGGGAAGCCCACATAGATTGGACAGCTTATAATATGTTAGTAATGAGAGTAAGAGGAGATGGAAGGTCATATTTATTGAATATTCATGCTAAAGGTTATTATGACTTAACTTGGAATGATATGTACCACTATGTCCTTTTTACAAGAGGTGGGCCTTATTGGCAAGTAGCTAGGGTAAGTGTGCTTAAATTAACATCCTTTTTTGTCTTAGATACCATTAAAAGAATTGTAAACTGTCAGGTATGTAGTTAACATTTTTGGAAATTATAAATACAAGTTTTGATAATTTGTTTCCTAAATACATAAATCAAATTTATACTTAGCTAATGTAGACAACAGAGCACCTAGCAGGAGTGATGATGTGCTGTGCAGAATAGCATTGACAATTGAATCATATTGTTGGTTCTTGGCTCAGTAATAAAATCTTTTGGCATGAAATAAATGGACTGTATAAGTTTATTTATATTTTATGGTGATAAGAAATAATGCTCTCCTTATGCAACACATATCTTGCTTTTCTAATAGACAACCTGTGTGTGAGGAATTGATGAATAAGATCTTGCTAGCTTGTTATTCTATCTTTTATACCACAGTATTTTAAAAACCTCTAACCGCATTAAAAGTTTTCTAAATCTCAGAAATTGATTTTAGTTTCAATACAACTATAATGTCCTAACTACCTCTTTCCAGAATAATTTATCTTCCTTGGATCTACAAATATACCAAATAGTCATTTAAAAAAAAAAACATTCAGTATGTTAAGAAAGATAAAGGATTGTGATATTTGGTCATAAATATGGCCCTGTAATTACATTTTATAGTAATGTAGATGTATACAAGTACAAGTAGCAACATAGTATTTCTTTTTTAAGAATGACCTTAGTTAAATAATCTTAATTATGAAACAATAAAATCAACAAAATCCCGTCCGTTTCCATTCTGTATCCACAAAATGTTGAAAAATAACAATTTGGACTTAAAATTTCAGTAGTAAAATCATTTGAGCAAAAATAAGCACATCATTGTGCTCTTTTCAAATATGAAAAAATTAAAAATTCAAATTCAGACGTACAGTGTTGTTTTATGGACGGCGAATTTTTTCAATTTTTATATAGAGGCAAATATTGAACTGATTAGTATTAAATCCAAAATTTGGGTAAAATAAATATTCTTAAAATACATGAGAATCATTTTTTCCGATTTAAAACATACTATAAGTAAAAACTAATCCGAAATATCCATGACCATTTTTGAGTTAATTTATGGGCCACAAGTGACAGCTGTGTGTGCCTGATATGTGCATGTTACTATTATACCTAATGATATACCCATTTTAAAATTTTCATGCTTGTATACTTATTAACACCCAATATAATGAGAGGTTTAAATAAATCTAATATATTGACTTGATTTTTGTAGATACCCTTCTCAAAGTTTTATTTTGGATCTAAAGGTCGAATTCAAGATAGACAGGTTTCGGTTCCTCTAGATAGAGTAGCTAGTTTTGGAATCACAGCAGGGGAAAGATATGGAGGCGACTTCCATTTAGAAATAGACTATATTGGAGTAGAATTTGATCCTAATCACAGAGAAGAGTTTGCATATGAAATGTATAGAACAGCCAAAGGAATTGCATCTGTATAGAACGGTTTTTGAATACTATAAACTGTAAATAAAATTGTTTCTGTTTAGCATGTTTTGTAGAATATTGCAATCCTTAAATTCCACAAACTTTATTTTTCTTCTACATTTTTTTTTATTTTGGAATAAAATTAAAATGTTCTGTAAATTAAGCAGCTTAGGGAATCATTAGATTTTTTCATTAAAGTATATTCATGTAAAAAATATATTAATAAAAAAAATACAATCTTTTAACACATGAGTAGACTGACTAACAAACAAAATACTGATAAAAAAATAAAAAAAAATCAAACTATACTGGTAACAGTTATACAAAATAGGAGTAAAATAATAGAGGTATGTATAAAAATGTTCACTTAGCTTTGATGGGGAAACTTGGTTTGATACAAATATAAACAACTCATACTTAAAATTATTCAATCTGAATCACTGTCGGATTCATTAATAGGCGCCCTGCGTTTCTTTGTAGCAAATCTAGGCCCTTTATTTGGTTTTTTATTTCCTTTACCACCTGTTGATGTGGAAGTTTCTCCTCCAAAATCATATCTAGCTTTTAACCTTTCTCGGATTAGTAAACCTTTAATGAGTTTCTTCCAGTTTGTGTACACTCTCTTTTCTATTTTTTCGTTTTCTTTCTTTTCAATCTCTTCTTGTTCCTAATAAAGTGTAATTAAACAAATAAGTATAACTAGTAACAATTTAAAAAAAGTCCAAAGTCTAAAAGTTACTCACTAGATGCCATGCAGCTATACAAGTATCTTCAAATTCCGAGCATACAACAAATCCATCATATACAGGGTGGCTCCAACCTCCATGAAAATCAAATCCAGTTATAGCTGATGCACAATCGATATTTAATTTTCTACATATTTTATTCAAACCGGGCACTAAAAACGTTAAAATGACAAATCAAGACTATTTTTTAAATAAACTAAATTTTGATATTTCTATTTAATAATTTAAAAAACTACATAATAGCCCAAGTTATTGATCCTTGCAAATGGCTTATCTGATTTTTTTTTTTTTTTGTAAAACAGCTCAAAAAACAAATATACTTACACTGTAAAAGTACAGTTCCTTTTGGTAACATACATGGTTTAAAGAGTTCTACATTACCATATGCATTTCTAGGAACAATACCGTTTTCTGCTACAGGTGGGTCATAATCTGTAGTTTGCCAAATACCAAATAGTTCCAAAAGTTGTCCAGTGATCATAGTGTTAGATAGCTAACAAAAAAGATGGAAATTAATTAACAATGAAAGTTACTTTATGTATAATATATAACAGTTCTATATCTCCATAAAGTGTTTGGGGTGGAGTTAGCCTCCAACTAGTCTATTGGCCACAGATTTTTTGTAACATACATAATTAAGATAACAGTTCTATACCTCTATAATGAGTTTGGGTTATGGTTGGCCTCAGACTAATCTGTTGGCCACATATTTTTTTTTTATATTTTTTAGACTAAATTCTCTATAAAATGCTTAAACAATATTTTAACTTATTGATTTAATATTAAAATAAAAACGACTAGATATATAAAAAGACTTACTCTGTCGTACTTAGGTCTGGCCTTCACAATTTTATAAGGTTTTTCTCCAGCTTTTACAACTCTTGCATCCTTAACCCATATCTCTCTTGATTTACAGGTATATATAGAGTTCCTTGGATATACTGGTTCTCCTCTAACATATCCTAAGGGAATAATGTCTTCAGGATATATTGCTTCAAATTTTAGAATATGCCTTTTAAGTGCGTATAGAGGATGATTTTTGTATCTAAAATAGTTGACTATTAAAAAAATAAACAAAGAAAACAAAAGGTAATAATAGTAAACTATTCTTACAAATAGCGGTAAGAAATAAAAAATAGAATTATTAATAATTGGTAAAAGGAATTACTCAGATATAGTTGTTGGTAGTGGTTGATCAAGTTGTTGCCTACTTAGATCACCGTCTTCTTCTGTACTTCTTGGTGAGCTCTTTTCCAAAAACGGTTTTAAAGAATCTTCCCACCACTTTGCATCTGTTCGAAGTTTTCGTGTAACTGTGTTAAAATTTTTGCAATACCGCATTGTGACATCTTTTAAAGTATTATCATTATTCCAGGCTACTACATAACTGACTGGATGAGAAGCCCTCATCTAAAAAAGTTATTTATTTATAAAATAATGAATTGTCTAGCGAGTAGTCAGCGTGACCCAAATGTGAACACTCTTTGTTTGTCATGGGATTTTTTAATGAAATTCATTTTTGGCCTTGGGTAGTGTGGGAATGAAACTCAATCGGTTATAAAATACAGAGGCGGATGAGTCCACCAGGAGTTCGGGAGAAATATTAATTTTAAAATATTTAAAGAAATTCTGCTCTAGGTGAAGAATTGGAAAAGATGATAAACTGAGTCGGGATCGAACCTAAATAATCAAATTGACAACTAGGAGGCCAGATACATAAGCTGTGGTGGTCTAGCAGTCAGGATGTTGGAATGGAAATACAGATATCCCGGGTTCGAGTCCCGCTGAGGACAGATTTTTTTTCAATTTTTCTTCGGTTTGTTATCGCCCCCGATCTCTCTAGTATTTGTTTCGGCAACTTAAACCGACAAAATGTTCACTTTTTCAACCTTACAGATATGCTTGAAATTTCCACTTTTTAATTTGGTAAATTTGTACACAAGAATTAGAATTTATTATATGATCCACAATTTTTTTTATATAAAGTAGGCAAAAACTAACAAAAACAGGTACGAGTCACTTTCTTGATAACTATGAACAGCTCTGGCTTAATCAAAACTGTCATTTAAAAAGAAGAATTGTACACTCCGACATACGTAATATTTCCTTGGTCTACTTTAGAATACATTAAAATAAGTAAACAGGAATTTTAAAGGACCAGATGGAAATAGGAAATTAATGATTTGGAGAAATGGATATAATTTAATATCTTATATTTGTTTTATTTTGTATTAAATAAACAATAGATCGTACCATGATCCGTTTGTATATTTTTAATCATACTTTCATCATACAAACAGGATAAATAGAAATTGCATTGAATACGGCCCTGAGATGTCAACACTGACAAAATAATCCTTTTTTTTTTCAGCTGTGCTTACCCTTTCCCAGGCTGGAGATTACCCTTCCCATTTGTCCCTGATTAAAGCTACACAGAAATAAGTTGAAGAGTGTATACATTTACTAATTCACACTCTTAATGTAACATTCTATTTTGACCTATATTACTATGGAAAGCATTTGAAAGCTATATACTGTTTAACATCAACTTCTAGTAAAATTTTATCTTAAAACAATGTTATGCCAAATTTTCATAGTTAACCTCAATTTTAAAAAAATATTTAGATACTCACAAATAATTCATTGACGCAGTGAACTTGTCCTCTTACAACATCGGCGGTAATCCATTTTTCTTCAGCTTCTAGAAACACTTCCAACCAAATATTAATTCCCTTTTTCTTCTTTTTTTCCACTTCATCATCACTTGATAAAACCTTTAATTTTTCCCCTTCTTTCTTTACCCGTATCCTTTTTTTAACCTTTGGTTTAGGCACAAAATAATCAATATCGCTGTCACTATCGTGAGGTTTCTTTTTAATAGGTTCTGGCATATAGTCGCTATCAGAGTCACTGTCGTTGTATTCATTTTTTCTTTTAGTAGCCAATTTCCTTGAGTCCACAACTTTTTGCTCTTTAATACGGCCTTTTATTAAATTTATGATATCGCTTTTGACATCAAACGAATTTGAAAATGATGAAGTAGAAGCTGATGATTTTAATTTTGAAAAATTTATTCCTTTTTGTGGGGATTTTTTTAAAGGACTAGGAGAGAACTCACTCTCAGAATCGTCATCATTAAATGATGATGTTATACGCTTGCTATGGGTTTTTGATTTACAAACCTTCTTACCCTCAGTCATTTTGTTTAATTTTTCTAAATGAACTTTATCTTTTTTCAATATTCTTTTAGGTTTTTCATCATCATTAGCTCCATCTAACTGTGGTATCATATCTTTTGATTCGATTCTAGGAATCTTAGGCAGTTTTATTTTTATAATAGCTTTTTTCGGTTTTTTCTTTGTACTTTCCTCAGATGAACCACTCTTAATCATCCTAGGTTTCATATCTTCAACAGTTAAAGTATGTCTATTTGTGTTAGTAGATTTCTTTGTTTTTTCCTCAATGTTTGTTTCACTTTTAGATCTGGGTTTCTTTTGTTCTTTAGATAAAATAGCTTTACTTATTTCAACAGATTTACTTTCTTTGACAATGTGTTTTGACGCAAGTTCCTTCGCGACATCTTGTTCAGTAGATTCTTTATTTTTATGTTTTTTTAGTGTGCTTGAACCATCTAACTGTGGTAATAAATCTTCTGACTCACTTTTTTTAACACTGGGAAGTTTTAATTTTATATCTTTTTTAGGTTTGGTATTAGTACTTTTCTCAGATGCAGCACTCATAGACTTCCTAGGTTTTATATCCTCAACTATTAAAATATCTTTATTTTTGTCTGCAGACTTTTTTGTTTTTTCTTCAATGTTAGTTGTACTTTTAGATCTGAGTTTCTTTTGCTCTATAGATAAAATATTTTTACTTGTTTCAACAGATTTCCTTCCTTTTGAACCAGGTTCCTTAGTGACATCTTGTTCAGTAGATTCTTTGTTCTTCTTTGTCTGCCTACTTGGACCTTTTTGAATACCTTCTTTATTTATATTATCTTTTACCCTTCGTTCTTCCAAATTCTTTTCATTATCTTTTATTCTTCCAGAAGTTCTTGTACTGGTAGGCTTATTCTCTTCAATTGATTTTTTTTTAGATGTTTGTTTTATATCTTCCTTATTTGATGAAGAATTGTCTTTATTTTTAGTATTATTGGTTTTTTTATTTTGTTCATCAATTTTTGTACATTCTTCTTTAATGGAACAACTTTCTTTTATAGTACTTTTTCGGGTGTTCTTTTGCTTATGATCTTCTTTTTTTGCTGTAGTGTTACCTTTGCCAGAACTTGAACTGGCTTTCAACTTATTTAAATTTGGTTGTTTGTCAGTAGGTTTACTTTCCTTGGTTTTGATTGAATCCTTTCTGTCTTTTTTATCAATTATACTGCTTAAAGTACTCTTCAAACTACTACTGTTAGTTTTAGAACTGACTTTACTTTTGTTCATGTCAGATTTTTTTTTTGCTTTGGATACTACTTTAGTAATATTTGATTTATTAAGATTGCTGGTTTCAGATACTGATTTATTCGTACTTGAAGAACTTTTGCTCTTATTTTTATCACTTTCTTTAGTTGATAATGAGTGCATTTCACTGTTAGGAGGTCGAAGTGGTTCAACTTGAAAAGACAAAACCAATCTGCATTGTAGACCCAAAGCCCTCAATATTGCAATAAAAATTAAAACAAAACAATTCTTATTAAATGCTTCCTTTTTCTTTATTTGCAGTTTCAAAGAATTTTCCAAGGTAAGTTCCTGTGATAGAGATTTGTCTGTTAACCTGATACTTTTCTTGTACCACTGAACGATTTGTTCAAGATACCCTAAATCTGGCCTATCTGCTGGAAAACTTTTTTCTGAAGGTAATAGGGATAAACTTTGAGTAAGTATATCAGAACTGTTTATCACAGAGTTTAGAAAATTACCATGTGCAATCCAACAAAGCAAATGCACTTTGTGAATATATATTTGGTTTTCTTTTCTTATTCTATTAAGCCGTCTCTTCATTGCTGCTATAAGATCTAGACCTTTCTTTTTCTTAACATGATTTGGCATGTCCCCTACTCTGATTTCAATACTTTGTTGAGGAACTACTGATTTTTCTTCAGGGGTATCTTTTACTTTTACTTCTTCCCATTCTTCATCTGTGGTTTCAAAATCACTAGAATGTAGATCTTCTTCTCTTATGTTTTCTAAACTTAGTTGCTTGCTTTCCCCAGCTGCCAGTAAGTTTGTTATATCCAGTTTTTTTTCAACTATCTTCTTTTTTGCATTATATTTTTCTACCTCTAGTTTAGCTTCTTCTAGTTTTCTTGTAAAGTCTTCTAGTTGTTGAAAATTTAGTTTAGGTGCAACAGTGTTATTTTTAGAAGCATTCTCATCAATTTCTTGTTCAGATTCTGAGTCAGATAACCTTGATACTCCATCAAAAATATTTTTCTCGATTTTATCAAATTCTTTTTCTTTTGATTTTTGCAAATTGAAAAACGATGAGGAGAAATCTAGTTTATCTATCGGCTGTAAATAATTTTCTATGTCACTCTCACTAGAAGAAGAATCATTTTCATCTTTTGCAATATTTTTTGATGTTACATTTTTTTCTTCTGATGAAAGTTTTAATTTCTTCTCTGGGCTCCCTTCACCTTCGCTATCACTATCTTCGATTATTGGAATTTTGTTGATGGATCTTTTTGGTCGAGACATTTTTCGCCCTAAATAATATATATTTATAAAATTAAAGTTAGTTTTGGTCAAACAAAGTGACTATAAATTGTAACAAAATAAGTTTCAAACAAATAAGATTGGAATTTAATCTTTTAAATAGAATGAAGTAAAAAAAATGGATTCAATAAAAATTATAAAACAGGCATAACATTCTTGTTTCTGCAAACGTCGAAATATCGAATGTTAACGAGATTTGCCTTAAATTTTCGTTTGAGCTCAAAAAAAATACGCTAAATAAAGATTTTATTGATTTACATTTTAAAGCGCGCCAAAATAAAAATTAAATTATTAATTTGGAATAAAACGTCTCCTTTTTATTCAAATTTTAAAAATATATTTTTGCCACTTACTGGTTATGGTAAAGCATTCAAAAACTTTTTATTTCACAGGTTCAAAAACCAAAAAATGTTTAAAAAACTCATCATAGCTATGAAAATAACCTACACAAAAACAAAATACTCCTAACCCTTTTTTTTCTTCTATTTTTATTGCTTGACTCTACTCTAGGATCCCGACCCACGAATATTTATTTGTGGTTATACAGTTAAAGAACAAGGCAGAAGAAGAACCGTTTAATTTACTTGGCCTTTTGCTTGAATTACTTCTTACTTATCGATAAAAATTTTTAATAAATTTATTTATATTTATTGCAAATTGCAAGAAACTAATTTTCTCCCTTGTCATTATATTGTCAGATTATTTCGTTTTGCAATTTTTATCTACAAAAGCGACATATTAACGAAATGATTAAGGGTCTATTTATACTCCCTTAGTATTAGTATTTGTATTAGTATTATGATTAAGCATTAAATTTGTTAAATCATTCAAAAAAGGTATTTATACTCGTTTTATAATTAGTATTAGTAATTCTTTTTTAAACCTAATACCTAATAAGATATAATTCTGCAGTCAACAAAATATGTGGTTACTGAAGAAATGTGTAAGAGGCCGGTTGTGTTCTTTTAAGATATTTGAGTTTTAAATGTGTTCCTATTAATATTTTTACTAGTTAGTTTTATTTAAAAATATTAGTATTCAAAAATAGGTTTAATTAAGGACATTTTAACGGATTTAAAACTCAAATTTATAACAAATAAAAAGAAGCAGAAATTTGATACAAATCAGACAGAAAAGAGGCCTTTGCTTCCTCATGGTGACATGTCATTTGTCAACTTTATAATCGGTAAACACTGCTGATACACAAAAATTGTATATAGAGCATGATTTGTACCGAAATATTATCATTTTCGAGCTTGTTGGAACAAACATATAAACAACATAATCATATGTGTATTGTCAATTATCCTTATCCGTTGTCTATTAAAAACAAAGGCCAAATACGCAATTGATTATTTATAGAAAAGAAGAAATTTAATATTTAATTTAAAAGTTAAACCTGTCAATTATTAAGCATAAATATTAATGCTAATACTAATCATAAATCGAGTATAAGGGTCTATTTATACTCCCTTATTATTAGTATTTGCATTAGTATTATGATTAAGCATTAAGTTGAACCTTCACAATGTAATGGGGACATTTATACTCGATTTATGATTAGTATTAGCATTAATATTTATGCCTAATAATTGACAGGTTCAACTTTTAAATTAAACATTAAATTTCTTCTTTTCTATAAATAATCAATTGCGTATTTGGCCTTTGTTTTTAATAGACAATGGATAAGGATAATTGACAATACACATATGATTATGTTGTTTATATGTTTGTTCCAACAAGCTCGAAAATGATAATATTTCGGTACAAATCATGCTCTGTATACAATTTTTGTGTATCAGCAGTGTTCACCGATTATAAAGTTGACAAATGACATGTCACCACGAGGAAGCAAAGGCCTCTTTTCTGTCTGATTTGTATCAAATTTCTGCTTCTTTTTATTTGTTATAAATTTGAGTTTTAAATCCGTTAAAATGTCCTTAATTAAACCTATTTTTGAATAATAATATTTTTAAATAAAACTAACTAGTAAAAATATTAATAGGAACACATTTAAAACTCAAATATCTTAAAAGAACACAACCGGCCTCTTACACATTTCTTCAGTAACCATATATTTTGTTGACTGCAGAATTATATCTTATTAGGTATTAGGTTTAAAAAAGAATTACTAATACTAATTATAAAACGAGTAAAAATACCTTTTTTGAATGATTTAACAAATTTAATGCTTAATCATAATACTAATACAAATACTAATACTAAGGGAGTATAAATAGACCCTAAATGTCCCCATTACATTGTGAAGGTTCAACTTAATGCTTAATCATAATACTAATGCAAATACTAATAATAAGGGAGTATAAATAGACCCTTAAGGTCGTTCTAACTGTTCTAAGCTAAGAGTAAAGTGTTCTTAGTAAGTGTTCTGTGGTGTTCTTGAAGTGTTCTTTCCGTTCTGTGTTTAAGAAAAATTTCTTCGGAACTTCTGTATTATTGGATTATTGGCAACATCTGTATTATGTTTAGAAGTACTTCTATTTAAGATTTAAATCTAAATGCTCAAATAAGAATACAAAAGTAATTATTTAAGAAGAGATTATATTAGTACTGCAATTGTTATATACGTACTTAAAACATTCTTTAAATATGTTCACATTTCAGATTCAACAAAATGGCAAAACAAACAGCAAAGAACCCGGCAATGGTTTTACAAGAACTTACAGTAAAGAATAATTTAGCACCACCAGAATATGAAGTAATTCACAGTATTATGGGTTCCCATGAAAACAGGTTTGATTACATTGTTAGAGTTGCTGGAATAGAAGCACTTGGTACAGGAACATCTAAGCAAATAAGTAAACACGGTGCCGCCCACAATGCACTGCTAAAATTAGAAGAAATGGGAGTATATGACCCCAAAGAGAATCCAGTTGTAGAATTTAAAGCAACCGCTCTTCAAAATGCTGCGGGGTGTATACCTGGTAGCCCCTCAAACTCGTCCTTAAATTGTATTGGTATGTGTTTCTAAGTAGCATAAACAGTTTAGGTAATCCCAAAATAAGTGTATTTAAGAGAATATACCTAACTCTTATTTAGTCATAAAACCAATAAAACACCACACACAAGACATATAAGTACAAGACTAAAATACTTAAAATATGTAGATTATTGATATGACTTAGATTATTTATTAATATTGTATTTAGAAGCTTCAACAGAATAATATAAGTCCACTAAGGAACTATTTATTTCTATTAGTAGTATAAGTGCACTAAACAACAGACCTGCAGCCCTATTCTTGACCACTCTCAAATTTCAAGGTCACTCGTAAAGTCTGATAAACGAAATAGCAAATTGTGTATTCTTGATTATATATGCCACCCATTCGATGCATAAAACTGTGAGTGGGTATTATCAATCGCAAACTACTTGCATGTGCATTTAATGAATTGACTTGTGTCATATGTGTTTTTTAATTAATTTATTTATTTACGGGAAAACCCCATTTTACAATAAAAAATATATGTTATATGCACAAATACAAAAAAAAAATTGTACTATGTAACACATTTGATTAAAACATTTGATTAACAAGGCAGACAATACAGTACTTTCAAGTGTCATTAAGAAAGTGGTTAGCAATACTTCTTTTAAATGAAGGATATGAGGAACCAAAAAAATCCAAGTCTATTTCTATACTGTTAACACTCCTAACCAATCATGTTGATGGACTATAAAAGCTGTAATTTTGTCTATGGTGTCTAATAAAAAAAGTTTCATTAGCTCTGGTGGCACTATTAATTTTAAGACCAATTTTTAATAAAATATCAGGAGAATATATTGACCCAGACAAAAGTTTGAATAGGAAGCATAGATCTAATTGAGTTCTCCGGTTCTGCAAAGTTGTGATCTCTAATCTGGAACATAGGTTAGCATAATCATAATCGTAATTATTTATACGCACTCCTAATTTATATGCTGAGCATCTCAGAAACTTATGTTGAACCGTTTCAAGTCTATTAATGTGAATGCAATAACAAGGGTTCCAGACAACAGCTGCATATTCCATATTAGAACGAACAAGAGTGCAGTAAAGAATTTTAAAAGAATTTATTGAGAGACCATTAGAGATTCTTTGTATATAACCCAACAACTTTCTGGCTTTTAATGATATCATTGTAATGTGTTCTTAAAAAAGTAAGTTTTTCATCAAACATTACACCAAGGTCCTATATTTGGGTCACCAATTCAAGATCTAATGAATTGATACAATAAGTATAGTCTATAATAGTATGGCACCTATTAAACTTAATATAAAAACATTTACTTAAATTCAAATTCATACAATTTACATTACACCACAATGCTAGGTTGTTAATATCAGTCTGTAAATCAAAATAATCAGATATACTTTCAACTGCAAATAGTAGGAACTGACTTTTTTATACAACATGCAATATCATTTACAAATAGATTAAAAAGAAGCGGACCACAATGGGATCCTTGAGGAACACCAGACAATACTTCAATCAAATAAGAAATGTGATTTCCAATTTTGACACACTGATACCTACCAATTAAAAAACTAGATAGCCAATTTAAAAGTTTACCATTGATACCATATGAGCTCAACTTGGCGATCAACAATTTATGGTTAACTCTATCGAATGCTTTTGAGAAGTCAGTATAGACAGAATGTACTTGATAACCCCTTCAAAAGCACTCAATATTTCATTTAACAAGGCAGTTACTGTAGATTTTCCTTGTAAAAAACCATGTTGTTGATCAATTATTAGCTCTTTACATTCACATGACAAATATCCTGCAATGAGTGAATCGAAAATTTTTGGAATGTTAGATTGCAAACATATTCCTCTGTAATTTTTAATGTCACGATTACATCCCGATTTATAAATTGGTCTTATAAAACTGTATTTCCAAAAATCCGGAAATACTCCTGAATCAAGTGAAATATTGTAAATAATAGAAATAGGAGTACTAACAGTACAGACACATCTTTTTAAAAAGTAAGATGGAACTCCATCTGGACCACAAGAGAAACTATCTTTTAATTGAGAAATTTTAGAAAAAACTTCACTCAATGTCACTTTTACATTATTTACATTAATGGTTTTTTCATTCTATCATTCAGCCTGTCATTTTAATATAATTGCAACGTTGCCAAAGTGAGAATGCAGAACATTCGCAAGTAATTGCGAAGGGGTCTCAAGATTCTCATTTTAGGAAAGTATGGGTAAATGAACCCTTCACAAGGTTGAGTATACGTGTATTTGCGAAGAATAACGCTGCTGGAGCTTACATAAGGTTGCCAGATTATAATTACAATTTTTTGGGAGACTCACTCACTCACTCTCAAATTCCGGTATTTCTTTAATATTTTTTTTTATTGGTACCCTATTTTGCTAATTTAAAGTTCGCCTCACACGTTTAAATCCAACTTTTAAAAATGGGCGTGTTTTATAGTCACCATGGCAACATCAACAACCTGAGAAACGTGAATTCTAAATGTCAACTTTTTAATTATTGATCTGACAGTAGTACCTTGTAACGTCAAATAAAATATTACTAACAAATATTTCAAAAGCTCTATTTAAATATCTAACAATATTATGTTTTCAAATGAATATGAAAAGTACAATTCGTATTGTTGAAATATTGCTCTCGCTCGTGTTTTAAATACCTTATTATCTATCCACTTATGCTTTAATATACTATTTAATCATCACTAATAATTTAGTCTGTATAGCAGGGACAGAAGTTGAAAAGGCGTTTCGCAGTTCTACTTCGTACACAAATTGACAGTTTTGCGGGGGAGCTAACGGAAGTGGACACAATACATTGTCCTACAAAATTATTTTATAGATTGTAATAACAATTTCGGGTAAATAATTTAATTAATTGTGAATAGCTGTTCAAATTTTGTAGAATTATGGTTTGGGATATTATAATACTTGTTTCAATCTATAAATACATGCGATTGTCCAGTTCCGCCGGTAGCAAATTAAAATTACTTATTCTATGAAACACCGCTGGCAGATAACCATTACCGCGAAATTATCGAAGTTGTCTGACGTAGTACCCTCTCTCTACCTACCAAAAGCCTTTCCAACTTCTGCCCCTGCTTTAAAAACTTGCATTTCTAATTCCACTTGTATGTAGAATATGATTTGGCTGACTACATTAACTCGATGGTTTCTTGTTTATCAAGAGTGAGATTACAGAACGTCTTCAACTTTGCAAATCTGCAAATATGGCGGACTTACAAATGCAAGTATTCCAAAAAATATCTGCAATTTCGCAATATTTATTGTGGTTTATTACCCCCAACAACACTAAACCCAAATTTTGAATACGACAACTTGATACTTGCATGTGTAAGTCAGTCATATTTGCAGATTTTCAAAGTTGCCACCATATTTGCAGATCTGCGAAGTTGCAGACGTTCTGTAATCTCACCCCAAGAAAGGCTTCAAACTCTGAAACAATTAAAATCAAAGTTTATTCGCACAATATTGTATTGAGTCTTGCCAGGTTTTAGGAGTCGCTTTTCTGGAAAAACTGTTAGTTTTAGACCAAGTGGATTTATGATTTAAAATTTTTGGAAGAAATTCGTAAATTGCGGGAACCTGGCGTTTATCTCTGAATCTGGGAGACTCCCGGCCACTTGGCAACCCTAAGCATGAAGGCCGTGAGATACAAAATTGAATAATGAAATAATAGAATAATTGATTAAAAATTAAAATATTTAGATTTTTTTAAAGCGGACTAGTCTGCAGCATTCTTTGAAATTTTTTTATGCGTGGACGGTTTGTTTGGGCTTTTATATATGCTCCGACTTTCCTTGGTTAGTCGCACATCCAAGTACTAACTGCGGGCGACTCTGCTTGACTGCACATATCGATACACAATAGTGAACCTGCTAAGCCGGACAGCTGCCCAAATTCCGTGTTTAAACAAGTTTAATAATAATGATATATTATTCATTTTATTTAAACATACCTCAAAGTTAACCCCATAACAAACTATCATCTTTAAGAACCCTATACTGGAACAACGTTACAAACCCCACAAAAATTGTTTTGTTGGGAAATTAAAGAAAAAAAAAACAAAAAACGGTCGTTTGTTTTATCAACTAAAGTGAATATATGGCTAATATGAATAACAAAAAAGAATGTAATCATTGGCATTGCAGACTTGACCAGATACAGATTTGTAATTTGTGAGCATATTTCAATCAAACAACGTTGTATATCCTCATCGGTTACAAAGATATTTTACAGAACTAAGGTGGCTACAACGTTGTTTTAAGCTTCCACTTATTAATATTCATTTTTCGTCTTTTGCCTCTATTTAGCATTCATTTCTGCTTGTAACAACCAAGTACGCACCAAACACATGTAAACAAAGTAAACGGGAGCAAAACTAGAAGTCATGGCAGCGCATACAACGTTGTTCAACAAAAATAACAATCTGGACTAACCGAAATGACACCAAAAGACCGCCAGAAAAATTATCTATGTCCCCACTAAGACGTATGCGGCTTTTTTAGGGTGGGTACAAGATTTTTCCACGGAAATACCATATTTACACATATAATGGTGGTTACAACCATAGATATGTTACAACGTTGTTCCAGCATAGGGTTCGATTAATAAAGTCACATTCAATATAATTAATGTCTTATGTTAAATAGAAGCAGTCCTAATATACTCTCTTGAGGTACTCCTGAGTTATTTTCTAGCAAATCAGATGTTGATTTACCTAGTATTACACATTGTAATCTGTCAGCCATATACTGTTCAAACCACGTCAGGACTCTTTCTGCAAAGCTATAATATTGCAATTTATTAATGAAAATTTAACGATCTATTGTCTCAGAAGCTCATTTAAAATCAAGAATATTACACAGAATGTCTCATTAAGAATGGGACATAGAACAACTGAGGCTTCTTTGGTTAAAAATAAGACGATTAAACGAAAAATTCTTGAATAAAATATTACTCGTTTCCGAAATACGGAGTTAAAGTTGAAAATTCAAAAATTATCAATGGCTATATTTTTCTATTTCTTGGTGTAATTTTACTAAATTTAGCAAACATTTTTGGTATCCTAAGATATACCTATCGGCAAAAAATCTTTTAAATAAACTTTGCCAGTTGCGTTCGGCATGAATAAGTAACACCTTCAACTCCTCTACATTTTACGCCACTATCCAAAAACTTATCTAGACTATAATTTTATATATTTTTTTTAATTCCCTACAAGAGTACATGATTTATTTAAGAAAAACATCCAAAAATTCAAAATTATAGTTCAAACAAGTTTTTGGCGAGTGGCGTAAAATTTAGAGTGGATGAAGGTGTTTCTTATCCTTGCCTTGCGGTGCGCCACTGGCATAGTTTATTTAACTGATTGTTTTGCTGATAGGTGTATGGAATCATTTACATGTTGTTCGATGCCATAAAAGTCTTATGATAATTACAAAATAATTAATTTTATCCCACCGTTGGCCGGGATTTTTTTAATTTAATTTAATTACGAGCCCTAACAACTATACGAGTATGTTCGGACGACGGACGTAAGAAAATTAAAAAATATATTTATGTTTATTTTAAACATTTTGTTTTCTTAGTGAAAAATCAACTCACATACTCTTTACATAACATAAAATCTGATCATAAGAAAATACTTTTTTATTTTGTATATACTACATAACAAAGTTACGGAATTTGATCAAATTTGCCGACAAATAAATATTCGGACGCTAATCTTTACTGGCTTTGAAATCAGTAATATGCATGCATTTACTAATAAATCTAGTGTGCTTTGGTCAATAGCTGTCAGTTAAAGGTTTATCCGTCAAATTTTGATATAAATTTTTAAGACAATGGCGCGTGGAATTGCGACAAACAAAAAACTACCACAGAGGTAAATCAATGCAAAAAAATTTCGAATGATTTAAATATTGCAAAATCAACGATCGGGGATATTATTAAAAAATATGGAGAGACAGCTAGTGTTGGCGTTCGTGGTAAAAGTCCAGGCCGACCGCGTACTATCACAGAAAGAGAACGCCGTGTTCTGGTAAAGATTTGCAAAACCAACAGAAGGGCTACTCTACGACAAATGCAAGCCCAATGGAATCATGAGGCAAAATTAAATGTCTCTAGGGAATGTTGTAGACAATGGTTGCATAAGTCTTGGTTACAGTTTTTATAAAGTTTGTAATTTTTTGTTTTAATACACAAAAATTACACACATTCCTTATATGCGAAGTAAAAGCCATATACACAAAAATTACACACATTCCTTATATGCGAAGTAAAAGCCATTACTGACAGCTATTCAAATGAAAAAACGTTTGGATTGGGCAAAATCCAAAATATCCTGGACAACGGAAATGTGGAGTAATGTCATCTTCAGCGATGAATCGAAATTTGATGTATGCTTTGGGGATTTTCGAAAAAGGGTAATTCGTACAAAATCCGAAGCTTTTCATAAAGACTGCTTAAAGCGTACTGTAAAATTTCCCAAGGGGGTTATGATATGGGATGTATGAGTAGTAAAGGGGTTGGCAAATATGAGTTCATTGATGGTACTGTAAATGCAGAAAAGTATCAACAAATTTTATCAAGAAGCTTAATTCCAACAACAGAACTAAAGTTTTGGAAATGATAGTTTTATCTTTCAACAAGACGGTGCACCCTGCCATACGGCGAAAACAATAAAAAAGTGGTTTGGTGACCATAATATAAAAGTTTTATCGTGGCCTTCGAGTAGTCCCGACTTAAATGTCATTGAAACATTATGGCATCAGATGAAGAAGTCTTTGCGTAACGATCCTCAGCGTACCGTTCCTGCATTAAAGGAAAAAATTTCACAAATTTGGAACTCTTTCACCCTCGAATATTGTAAGACTTTAGTAGATTCCATGCCACGACGCATTCTAGCCGTTATTACCGCAAAAGGTGACGTTACTTCGTATTAAAAGTCGATTTAAGCTATAAAATTCAAGTTTGTCCGAATATTTATTTGTCGGCAAATTTGATCAAATTTCGTTATTTTGTTATGTTGTTTATACAAAATAAAAAAGTATTTCCTTACGATCAGATTTTATGTTAAGTAAAGAGTGTGTGACTTAATTTTTCACTCAGGAAATTCAAAAAAATTGTTTAAAATAAATATCAATATATTTTTTTAATTTTCTTACATCGTCCGAACATATGGCTCGTATTTAAAATTAATTCTGATGCCTTGATAGGATTTCCCACTCGACCATTCACTGTTGGGTTCTAATTAACAATGCTGTTCCAAAAGTGGCTCTGGGGAACAGTAACACAGTCTACACAGAACACGAGGCTAATGCCCTTAGTACTCGATGCTGATGACACCAAATTAAAAAAAAATATATCACCCACAATAAGTGGACTGCATTATGCAATTACGAATTAAGCGACAACATTCAAAAATCAAGTAAATGGTGCCATCCTTTAATAACCATTGAAACTTATATTACAAAACTTATTCTTAGTTAAAATTCCTTATTTTAAGGACACGTGTATTAAGCGACATTTTCATATTTGCCAAGAATTTTAAATGGCTTTCTATTCCTGTTTCTCGAAAACACGTAAATGTCACATAATTCACAATTACATAACGGGTTCCAATTATAGTATATTATTAAACGAGCAATTTATGGTAGCCATTATTCACGCAGGGTGACGTTTGCGTCCCGAGCCGTAGGCGAGTTTTTACACAAAAAAATTTCTTCTGATAGTTTTTTTAGCACGTAGATTTTGAGAAAAATTACGTTTCTTTGAGAAAACAAAAAATCTGATGTGTCCAACACATGACTTTCCTATCTAATTATTATAGACTTTTTCTGGTTATTTTGTACAACCTATTGCAGCACCTCTATAAATGTTGAGGGGATAAACTAAATATATACACTTTCCACATACATATAACTTGAAACATTTTTCCATAGATATTCATTGAAAACGAAAATACTGAAAACTTTAAATTTAGTACTATTCCTCCAATTTTTCTATTACGGTCCATTTTAGAAAAATCATGTAAAAAACAAAAATTATAGAGATCGATATCGAAAACAACTTTTAGTTTAACAATTTTCTTAAAAATTGAAATTTTGCACATTCTGTCCAATTTCTCGAATACGGACCATTTCAGGAAAATTTGGCATATAACAAAAATTATAGATAATAATATTAGAAGTAATTTTTATTTAAACAATTTTCTTCTCCAAACATAAATAACTGATATATTCCATAAAATATAAAAACGGCCTCCCATAAAGTACCCCCCCAGATGTTCCGACTTTGTCCAAAATCTAATCATTTCACGTCAGGCCGAAATAAACCTTAAGTTTAAAATTTAATGTTTTTTTCTTTATCCGTTTTTGAGTTTTCTTCAAAATTCGAAATTTACACATTTTCTCAAATATCTCGAATACGGTCCATTTTAGAGAAATTATGTATAGAATAAAAATTATAGACAATTATATTACAAACAACTTTTATTTGAACAATTTTTATAAAAAAATATTTTTTTACATTTTGTCAAATTTCTCGAATACGGACCATTTTAGGAAAATTTTGCACAGAACAAAAATTGTAGATAATTAATATTAGAAGTAACTTTTATTTGAAGAATTTTCTTCTCCAAACGTAAATAACAGATATATTCCATAAAATATAAAAATGACCACCTATAAAGTACCCCCCCAGATGTTCCGACTCTGCCCAAAATCAAATCAGCTCATTGGACGCTGAAACAAAGCTTAAGTTTAAAATTTGGTGTTTTTCTGTGTATCGGTTCATGAGTTATGCGTTATACAGACACACACACACAGAACAGACATCATCGCGAAAATAGTCAAAACGGGTTCAGGGGACCTCAAAACGTAAAAATTCGTCGAAAACTCGAGGTCGAAAAAAATCATGATTCCTATACTTTCCTTATATCTGTATACAGATAGGAAAGTAAAAAATTAATGAACTGTGAAACAATTATTAACAAAACAAAAATAAAAAATATGTTTATAGATTTTTTTTATATTTTTAGAAGTACTACTAATTTTTTGCACTAATTCTGGGATTCCCTGCATTTATCAACTACATTATGGACAATGTTGATTTTTTTTTTTGTTTAGGCAAGCTGAAAGATATATGTATTGAAAATAAAATTGAAGATCCAATTTTTACAGAACTCTCAGATGTGGGACCTCCACATGCTAGAGAGTTTACTTATGAATGTAAAATTGGCTCACTTAGAACGGTTGCCACAGGCAACACAAAGAAAATGGCAAAGCAGCTGACGGCAAAAGACATGCTGGCCAAGTAAGTGCGAATCTTCTCAAACTTCGAGCGTTTTTCTAAATTCCACTTTTTTTAGAATAAAGAATGTTTTACCAGACATAATTTTAGAAGCACCTCGCAGAGATGAAGAACAGAAAACGTTACCACATTCTGAACAGGACCAAGCCACTTTAGATTTATATAATAAACTAATTGGAACTATTGTAGTGGATAAAAAAACCAAAGTTGAAAATTTTGGCCATGTTTTTAAGAGGCTCATGGTTTTTCATGATCGGAAACTACATGAATTTTTAGATGTAAGTAATGTATATTCATTTACTGTAAACTTGTTTTTTGTTCTAGGCCTCTCTAACATAAATTACATTATTATTGTCACGTATATGGCAGATTCAATTTTTGAGATATATCGTAAGTTTGTAATCAAAATCACCAAATTGGTGTATATTTTACAAAACAAAAAGATTCGGTTTAAACTGCCACTTTATAGTCCAGTATAGTTAGTTAAATTCATACACGTACTATCTCATAGAAATCATAAATCTAAGATTTCAACCATCAACTCCTTACAGGTTTTGCACCACCTTGAATTTAATGACGGCCGCATTTTCTGTATGCTCTTAAAAAATAACTCGATTTAGAAAACTACATGTATACAGTAATAGCAACTGAAATTTAAAAATTGTTTCTAGGACCTCAATGAAAAGACCGAAGATTCCTTAAAAAGAATATTGGATAAAATAGAATTAGAACATGAAATTTTAGTTTTTCAAGAGAAACCCTGCATTATGTCTTTGTTTATAAACTGTGACGTCCCCTTTGCTACCATGGCATGTGGTGATTCAAAAGAATCTACAAAGGCAGAATTACTTGAAACAACCTTCGAATTTATGGATTGTTTCTTTCACCTTAAAGATGAATGTTAATATTTTTGTTTTATGTATTACCAATAGTGTCTACTTAAGTTGGAATCATATGGAAAACTCTTTTTTGTTTTCCTTAGTTACACGGCACTGGTATAAAACCAAATAGCAAAAGCTTCTTAATAATTAAACAGGATTATATTTATCACCAATTAAATTTTTATTTTGAAAATAATTGTCTCGATGTGATATTTTTTAGGAACTTCCTGAAAATTTTTTAATTAAAAAAAAAAAAGAAAAAATGTTCTACATGTGTCATATAAGGTTTGTTCCAACAAGTAATCCATTACCGATCCGAAATTATTTTCTGATCTACTTTTGAGCAAGAGGGACTCACTCTTGTTGGAACGCACTTTTGACTGTGATTTGTTACCTATACCCTCTTTACAATTTCTAATTTACTCAATAATATTCTACAAAAACTTATTTCACCTCTTCAAAAATGAATCGTATTTACTTTTAGATATAATTTATCAGATTTAAAAGTATCGTCTGAAGAAAAATCCCTAATTATTTTATAAAAACTCGCACATAATGCTATGTTTTATCTATGAAATAAATAGTTGAACAGAAATCCAAAAGAAATTATATATTTTAAACTAAAATGAAGATATATAATGCTTTGCATTCTATATTATACTCTATTCACAATTTAAGCCTCATGTTCAATCAGGTTTTTTCAGAATCAATAGGCTTCATCCCCTTATAAAGCTTGATTTTTCCTGACGATTTCAATTTGATTTCGTTTTTTGTTTCTGAGTTAGGATTTTTTTATCCTTCCATTTTTATTTATCCATTTTTTTTTTTTTTCAGAATTGATAGGTTTCATTCCCTTGTAGAGCTTGATTTTTTACTAAAAATTTCATGTTGATATCGCTTTTCGTTTTTTTTTCCTACCCCATTACCCTCCACATTTTTAGTCAGATCTTTTTCAAAATCAAAAGGCTTGTTCCTCTTATAGAGCTTGATTTTTGTTAAAAATTTGAAGTCGGATATCATTTTTTGTTTTTGAGTTAGGATTTTTTAAATATTTCAAGCCCCCGTAACCCCCCATTTTTATTCTGATTTTTTCAAAATCAATAGACTTAGTCCCTTTGTAGAGCTTAATTTTTCATGAAATTTTGAAATTGATATCGTTTTTCGTTTTTGACAAAAAACGTAACATCGGACGGACATAACCAGATGCATAATACTCTTACAGACTACTGTGTGAAGATTATAATAAAACAATCTTCATATGCGATCTACGCAGACTCAAACTGCTAATCCAAGAAAAGTATAAACCAGTCTGACAGTTTGATCCTGATCCGAAATTCGTCAAAATATTTGTTGGAACAGTGGACTTATCAGGTATTTGGGTTGAAGTTTGTTAGAACGCTCAAAGTAACAAAGCGCACGAGTCTGTCGGTTATGATTTGTACTCTTGTTGGAACAAACCTAATCTAACTTATAGTGTTTTCCATTAGTGGCACTCAGGCAAATTTGTGTTCCATTGGTAATACTGTGTTAGTTTTTCGATTACCATTGGAAAACTGGCGTACTAAAAATTGCATTCAGGGCAACTTTTTTAGCACGAACTCAAGTATAAAACAAAGTTGGCTTTTTCTTTATTATCATCTTTGTCTTCAAATGAAAATAATATTGAGCAGCTTTTGGAAGCTTTGCAAAACAAGAAATCAAGCTATAAAAATAAAGACAAAAGAAAAATAGGAACTTTTTTTAAAATCATGTTAGGTAGTACATTTTTATTATTGACGGTTATTTTTTTTTTAATTTAAAGGTATTTTAGACTCTAAACAAACTATTACCTATCTAAATTTAAAGAAATTGTTTCCTAATAATAAAAGTTAGGTATGTAGTAAACTAAAAATTATTTATTAAAAATTAATTTTTATTATTATGATGGCGAAAGTTTGCACGAAATTTGAAACAGGCCTGTTCCATTTACAAATGTATGGGTTAAATTTTTTGTGCACCAGCATCTGGCACCATACAATTTCAGTTTATATTCAGTGGATACCAATGGAAAACGCTATTATTGTTTAATCAAATATAAAATAATTAAACCTCATTTATAAAAAACCCAATTTATTTATACCTTTTATGCTTGCCAGCCCAGTACATAATAATCATTCATTCTAATCCATTATATTTATTTCGATATATCAGTGCAACGTACTTCAGGTAGCAACAGTGTTATTGCTGTGTGTACAGTATATATCAGTCAACACTATTCGCAATTCAAATTAATTTTCCCGAGCTGTGTAAGTAGGTAAAACAACCAATTAAATCAAAGTACGACTCAAGTCGCCATTTTGATTACACTTTTCCATCACGCTAAGTGCGTCCACCCGTCATATCGCAAACTAGTATTTATGTCGTCTCTACTTAATTCTATCTCGATGATTACATGTGGTATAAAATGTACTCTCCGTGGGCGAAACGCTTAGCTTGAATCGCTAATGGCCGAGAAACTGAATTATTTAAGAATCATTGAGCAGGAACTATACTTATTTATGTAAAATAATAACTATTACACATTATCTAAAACTTAAAATACAACCATCAAATTTTTTCAATATTATACTTACAAGGTTTCTCAAAAAAATTTGTGTAAGAGTTAAGTACTTTTATTTTTGACAATATCGAAAATTGTAATAAAGAAAAAGTTGATCAGAATTTAAAACTACGTTCTGATATGCAATTACATCCATCTGAACTAAAATATAAGATTCATTATTTTTACACATTTCTTTCTACAACAGCATTGAAATTTTTCTCTATACATAGATATTTAATCGGATGTAACTGCATATTAGAACGTGACTTTAAATTCTAAACAATTTTCGATTTTTATGAAGAATAACTTTTTTCAATCAATAAAAAAGTTTTCCTTACAATTCCAACTTAAACATGTTAATAATAATATTTTTTATAAGCTACTTTTTTTAAATGTTTGATGCAATTTTTTCAAGGAAGCAAAATTAAATCAAAGAATAAGAAAATAAATGTTTTTTTTGGATTCATTGTGTTAAAAAATTTTAAATCAAAATTTAAAATTTGCCATAAATCAAAAAGTCATTTTTAATAAATTTGATCTACCAAGATTTTGTCAAATTCATGAACTATTAAAATTTTGATACTTGCCTACTACTTAGATTAGAATTTAGAAAAATTGAGACGTTACAAACTATCTAAGTACATGAAGACTTTTGTTTAGAAACAATTTTTTTATTTTTTTAACTAAAAAAAAAATATTCCTGTCGCGTAAAAAATAGGGGGAAAAGTTGCCGCTAACCTTGATAGCGCACCTCTGGTTAAATTTTCAAGAGTGTGTGTCAAATTTTACTTTTATAAAGAACAGATTTGTCACCAATTTTGAAAAAACATATTTAAATAGTTTTTTTTTATGGCAAATTTTGAATTTTGATTTCAAACTTTTAACACTGTATCTCACGGTAGCTAAGCCTTTAAGGTTTCATCATAATAATACAGTAGAGACAGTTTATTGTTTTGTGGGGTCCATATTTTTCGGCGCATGTCCGTAAATAAGCGGCAAATACGCCAAATAACAGGCATATGTTGATTGTCAATGGATTAATGGTCGTTTATTGTTTTGATTATTTGATTGGTTGTAATTCACATTTTATTATATTTAGACTTAGTTTTATTCTTTCATTTATTGTGTGATATTTTATTCAAACAGACAAAGGGACAAGGTATATCGAAGTTACTATTCTCAGTGTAGAAATAAGCGGCAAAAAGGTCAACTGTCAATAGAAATCTGACCACTCCGACATCAAAGGAATCGACCCAAGCTTTCGGTACTGTATTATACTCGCGTATCGGGGACAACACTAATCATTTGTAAGTGGGAGGTGTTTGTATGTGAATGCGTCTTGTTTGTTTTCATTTACGCCGTGACTAGCAGTGCTATTTTATAAACCTTAGAAGCAAATTTCACATACATGAACAAATAATAATAATGCCATGACAACAAGAAGACGAAGCAACGACTTCTCGTAGGGTGGCGGCTTCGCCGCAACTAGAAAATTTTAATCCATACCTGGCTACGCCGACCGGCATAAACACCAACGGCCTGAACACAGCTCACCTACTCTGTCAAAAGGAGACCGATGTACAAATAAAACGCGTACGACATGCGCACTACAAATGATTAGTGTTGTCAACGATATGCAAGTCTGTATTATTAAGCTATTGCATAGATTTTATTGCGGGCTTTGAGCGCGGCGACCGAATCAAGAAATTCCGTAACAAAAATAAACCTAACACCCTTGAAAAATCAAAAAAGAAATTCCGTAACGAAAATAAACCTAACACCCCCACTCCGACCAGCACAGCGGTGCGGCGTTGAAAGCCGTGCATTGTCTAACGTCGTTTCAGTTCGGCAGACTTCGGCACGGTGCTTGTGTGCGTGCGACTAGACGTATGCGTGTAGACTAGCTGCTAAATGCTCATAACTGATTCTATCTCTTTTAGACACAATTTCGGAAAAATTGAATTTGAAAATGAATAATGATCCACAAGAATCCACAACAAAATATGGGACCACCATTGACGAGGTATTTTCCAGATATTTAGAGGATATCAAGTCTCAAACTTATGTTTCTTATTTCAGTTACCATAAACCTATAGTTTCAATGATAAAAATTCCTGAATAACCTACATGTATTGTAAGATAATAAAAATATTTTAAACAATATTAACTTCTCATTTATTCAATAAAAGAAAAAAATTTGTTTTCTTATCGGTCACCACGCTCAAAAAGTGTAACTTGAATTAATATCAAAGAAAAAAAAATACTGCATAAATAAAATAAATAATTATAATTGCATAAGTTGATAAAAAATGCTATGCAATAGCTTTACCGCGGCAGTCCCCGAGTGCCACACGTATTTTTAATTATACTGTGGTCATTAATTTAGTACTAAATTTAGAACTAAAAATATTTTTTCCGTTTGCAACGATACCAATTTTTAGTACTAAATTAACTATATGCGCATTGACGTATTAATACGTGAAATAAGCAGAGAAATGAAATATTCTGGGTAAAATAGACAAGTGAAGTAAATGGTGTTTTTATTATCAATTTGACATGACAACAACCAAATACAGCAATACTACTATAAACCACGAAAAAATAATAAAATCTACAAAATCAAACGACCGAACTTTATTCAAATCGATAATGCAAAATTTTCGCTAATTAAAAACAAAATGGTACAAAAAATACCGTCGTGTCAATTTTTTCTGTGAAAAACTTCTGCGCAACATTTCGACGCACTTTTTAGTACTAAATTTGCTGTTTGCAACGTAAATTTTTTTAGTACTTAAAAAATGCATTAATTTAGTTCTAAATTTAGTACTTTATTTAGTATCGTGACATACAGCCTTAAGACTGGGCAGAGACAAGACTGGGGTATAAGGAAGAAGTAAATTAGGGAAAATAAAGGTGGTGTAATTTACACTGGTGGACACTGCATCAACAGCGAACGAAAGAACTTACAAGATTAATTTTGACATTACATGTGACATATGACATGACAGTCGTGCCATAAGTACAAAGTTCAACTTTTTGTTTATTTATTATTATTGCGATTATGTGGCGATTATTTCACTAATCCTCGATCTGGATCTGACTGAAAATTGGAAATAATAATATTAGTTATCAATACATAAGGATTATTTTTATCTATTTATAGTGTTTGTTAGATTAGATACCTTTAATGTCAGCATCAAACGATAAAGGTGAGTCTTTCATTATGCATTTACTATAAATAACAAATGAAATTCTTTAGATTCGGATATTAAATCTGCCAAAAGTGCCGAGCCACCAATAAAACCAAAGCCTGAAGCAAGCGCTTCTAGTAGCAATTCTGACTCTGACAAAGACACTGAAGAAATGGAACACATACTTCAATTTTTCAAAGACAAATTGAACTTATTCGGTGCCGCAAAAGAGGAAGCAGAAAAAGTAAAGGTAATTAACGAATAATTGGTTTCTAGACTGTATAGAAGAAATGTTTTTCTGTTGCTTCAACACTCATGCTGAGGTAATAATCAGTTTTCTAATTATTTAAATTTAGATTAGTAAGAATCAACTAATCCAAATATATATAGTTTTATCTACTTCAGATATGTATAAGATTTAGATACAACTTTAAAAACATTCTTTATCGTAAAAATATAGATACATTATTTATCATTAAGTCCAGGGCAAGGTACTTATTAGATCATTACCCATAAGTCTTATTATTGGTTAAACAATTTTGAAGCATAATTATGATTAATGTTTTTAGTTGCATATTTTGATTAAAACTACTTATGTGGAAACTATTCCACTAATTAACATATTGTTAATGAATTTAAAACTTACAAATGGAGAAACAATTACTTTTTGAATATAAATGTTTGAAAATAATTTAAATCTTTGTCTTTACAAGCTAAAAATGAATTCTTATATCTGTATCAAAGGGATTTGTGCAGAACATACAAATACATGAAGGGCAAGGGGAAAAAACCAATGATGTCCATTGTATAGGAATTTTTAAGTAATGCACTTGTTATGTTAGTGATACCGAATCCCAAATTGATGGTGGATTACATGACCAATAAATGGCTGATTGCTGCAAACTTGATTTTTGTCTGATGAAAATTATTTAAGAATGTGTGACATTTGTGATTTTGTAATCTTAACTGTCAAACTGTCTTTATTTAATGAAAACAAACAATTTGAACACTTTTTGATAAACATAAAAACTAAAGACAAGTATGGCCAATACAATAATTGAAAAAATATGTACTTGCATTCATTTGCTTGCTGTATATCTAACGCTGACAATATATAAATCGTTTATTTAGTCAAAAAAACAATTTTTTACATGTTAATACATCTTCACATTTAAAATATAAAAAATACATAAGTATAGAATCAACATGCATTTAAAATACAACAAAAAAATACATAAGATACAGTACACTTACATGTCAACTATACAAAACATAATAAAAGAATGAGAAAAAAAAATCAATTGGTCAGCAAGTACTCACACAGTTTTCTTTTAAATATTGCTGCATTTGAAGAACATTTAATATCTTCAGGCAAATTATTAGAAGCCTGTACACCTTTAAAAAACACTGAATTTTGTGTACATTTTTTCGTGGCCTTATAAACTCTAAAAATTGTCTTATTTCATGCATTGTGTTCATGAACAATCCTGATTACACCTTAAAATATTTTGTAAATATACTGGGGAGATTCCTGATTTAATCTTAAATATTAATAGCAGGGAATAGAATAGCAAATATTTTTTAACAAGCAACTACTGAAGCACATTTAACATAGAATTGATTGGTTCCAATCTTGAACAGCTCAGTATTATCCCCATACCTCTATTCTGCAACTTTTGCAATCGTTCCAACTCATTCTGGTTGAGTAAATACAATATAGTGGCGCGATAATTAAAAAGAGGTAATATTAGAGTATTATACATTATTATTTTAGCCCATTTGCTGAGATGTGGAGAACAGCGCCTCAAATAGTTTATTTTAAATGATATGCTTTTGATGACGTTATTAGCATGTTCCTTAAATTGTAAATTTGTATGAACCATAACCCTTAGTTATTTAAATTTTTCAATTCTCTGAAACTTTATTCCATCAACAGAAACACACTGCGATGCTACATTTAATTTTTTTAAATTTCCACTACTCCCAATTAACATCCACTTTGTCTTTTCGTAATTTATTTTCAACGAGTTTCTGTTACAATAATCATATATTTTACTTATAGAACTATTAATTTCTTTAAAACAAGTTTCAGTGTTTTCATGGGTAAAATATATCAGTGTATCATCTGCAAATAAGTGTATTGAGCATCTTTTGACTACACCAGCAATGTCATTATTATAAATTAAAAACAGTAGCCGACCTAGAACACTACCCTGTGGCACCCCCATATTATTCTCTATAGTATCTGAAACACAATTACTTACCTTAACCTTCTGTTTCCTATTTTCCATATAATGACCCAACCAGTACAGTGCACAAACCCCCCAAACCAATAGCTCTTAATTTAATTAATAATCTACCCCTATTAATAGTCTCAAATGCCCTCTGTAAATCTAAAAACACCCCAGTGTAATCAAATTATTTTCATTTGATAACTTCCAGTCATGCAACACCAACTGTAAAGCAGTTTCACAGTTGTGTTTACTACGGAATCCTGATTGCACATTACTTATCAAACTGTTCCCCTCTAAATAATCAATCTTATTTTAAAAGTTAGCCCACTTAGAGGTTGGTTTAATAAAACCCAGTGAGTTGGCATCGATGAATATTAGAAAATGGCTGACATAAGAGAATAAAACAAACGAGGGCCGAATAATAAGACATTTTAAAATAATCATAAAGGTTAAAAACTGACGTTTTCCGCGCCCTTCTGAAAAAAAAGTTTTTTTAGGCTAAATACAACGATTTGCAAGTACAAAAACGATTTTGTCACCCAAATATGAATGAATTTTGTGAAACATTGTTATACAGGCGAAAATCTCTTTATTTAAGTAAGTTTTAAAATTAAAATCACTCCTTTTTAACAAGTTATTTGTAACATGTTAACTGTACGTTAATTAAGTTAAAAATATTAAGGTGCAGTTTTATTTATTTCCATGACTGTAACATAAGATTTGGTAATAATATTAATTATAAACTCAATTTTCTCAGTAAGTCAGTTTTGTGACATCGTCTGTTTTTCCCCTTACCCTTTAAATATTATATATTAATTATATTGCTATGCTTATGGGAAAAATTGGAATTCATTAGTTTTGCTTTATTTTTTATTTATTTAACAACATATCCCTCATTTCAATAAAAAAAAATCATTTAAAAGGTAATACATTCATTTGCAATTTTTTTAAAAACAAACACCAACACTTAAGTAATTTAAATGACAAGTATTAAGTAATATAAGTCAAAGATAATTTTTTAATTATTATAAAATATCAAAAATAATTTTAAATGATAAAAGTATTCAAAATATCAAGAGAGTCTATTGCTTGTAGCTTTTCTAAAGCTATTAAAATGTATAAACCAATAATTTGTATAGTTGAAAATTCGTAGATCTAGTTTTCTATATACAGTAGAAACTAGATTATCCGGGTCAGTTGGGACTGAGACTTTGCCAGATAATCCAAAAAAACACATTTTTAATTATTTAATAATATATTTAGACAAATACACATGTCAAAGGTACAAAAGAAACGTGATACATGTAAGAACCACTTTACAGTTCACAATTCTTCCTGCTGCAAGTAAAATTATAGCAAGTTTTCTTGATGCAAGATAAATTGGTGGCCATATTACACTTCGCAATTCATTGTAAAACATTGCCAACTTAACTCACTGAACATGTACACCAACTTCCAACTTAGTCACATACTTAGTTATGGTCAATGACTATATCTACGAGTGGAGGATAGCCAAGTTTCCTATTTTCAGATGCAGGATTTTTTTTAGTTTATTCACTCAAAAACTATTGAAAACAAAATATTACGTCATCAACCCCACGGTAAAATGTGGTTTCTTACGAAACTAATCATCCTTCTAGTATGTACTTAGTCCACTCACGGATGATAAACTTAAAATGCCGCACAGATAATCATGGTTCTACTATATGATTTATTACATCTTCCACTTTCTATGCATTATATTTTTTTTGTATTTTAATATATTGTAAGATTTTCTAGTTTTGTTAATTATAGGTATGTAGGTTTCTCTTTATTGAAACAATTGAAAAATTTACTCATCAATTTTTTACCTATTTAATGAATTCTATTTTTCTTTATTATATACATATATGAAAATTTTAAGTTATTAAATATAGAACCATTGTCAATCCACCAGTTTTCTGTACTTTGCAGTTTTGATATTTATTTGCCTCTGTATATGTAAAACGTTATATTTTGAGCATCATGTCATAATATTACAAATATCTGTTAAGTTAAGAATACTACTCTTGTAAAAAGCCCAGCAGGCCTGTTTTTGAAATTTGATAATAAATAACGAATTTTTAATAGGTTTTAGAAAATGTAACTGTTGATGGAATTATTGATTATATTAGAGAGAAAAAATGTAAAAAAATAATTACAATGGCTGGAGCAGGAATATCCACTTGTAAGTATTTCCATTCAAATATATACAAATATATAAAAAATAGATATATATTTTAGCTGCTGGAATTCCTGATTTTCGATCACCCGGTACTGGCCTTTACCACAATCTAATGAAGTACAACTTACCTCACCCACAAGCAATTTTCGAGCTTGACTTTTTTATGAAAAATCCTAAACCCTTCTTTGAACTAGCGAAAGAATTGTATCCAGGATCTTTTAAACCAACGATTTGTCATTATTTTATTAAAATGTTAGATGAAAAAGGTCTCTTATTAAGACATTATACGCAAAATATTGATACTCTTGAAAGGATAACTGGTTTGAAAGATGATAAGCTTGTAGAAGCTCATGGTACTTTTCATACAGGTCATTGCTTAAAATGTAGGGAGCAATATACTCTTGAATGGATGAAAGGTATTAGTTTATTAATAAGTTAAAATGCTTTCTTTGTTTAACATTTGTGAAGATTGTAATTATATATTCTCTTTCAGTGCGCATTTTTAGAGATGAAATTCCAGAATGTGAAAAATGTGATGGGGTCGTTAAACCAGATATTGTATTTTTCGGAGAAGCTTTACCTAATAAATTCCATAGAGCACTATCTGATTTTGGGGAATGTGATTTGCTCATTATATTAGGATCTTCTTTGGCAGTACAACCATTTGCATCCTTGGTTGACAGGTAAATATTTAAGAGTAATATACCAATACCTTGATAAATCTCGAGAATATTTTAATATCAATTTGATGAGACATATTTTTGCCATTAATAACCTGATTTTGATTCTTTGTACAGCCTATCAGTAAGATATTGTTTATTTTTGTTAAAATATACTTTTGTGTTATGTTTAACTGTTCTATAAAGGATTTTGATGCAGCCCCCCATGCGGTTATGCAGTAATTTAGTATATATTCCACTAGAGCTAAGTATATTGTTTTTAACATTTTTAGGTCCATGATTTTTCTTAGTTGGTAAAATTTATAGACTAGCTTGCGATTTTATTAGAAATTTGGTTTATGTGCTCTATTGGTCTATTATTATGCCCAAGTACTTAACATTCTTTGATTCTTTAATTTTAAAGGTACAATCACAGGAATTTCCTCTTTGGCAACTTTGCGTATGTACAGTAATTTCAGTGATTGTTAAACTTTTCACCTTATTTACAGAAAAGCATACAAGCGTTGATTTATCAGCAATAAGAGTCAAATAATTTTTGTCAAACTATGATTTTACTTTTGTTATAGCTATTTCTGCTTTAAGCACCATTTCTTTCCAATTTTTTGCTTTAATTATGATGGTAGAATCATCTGCAAAACAAACCATGTGCCCCTCATCAGAAATCAAGTTTAATAATTCATTAACATAAATTAAGAAACAAACCGGTCAAAGCACCATCCCCTGCGACACACCAAACTCTATTGACTTAGGTGTACTTATGCTATTATTGATTTTAACAGTTTGGGTTCTTTCACTTAGGTATGATTTAAATAATTTATAAGGTAATCCTCTAATTCCCAGAGTTTCTAGTTTGGTCAGCAGAATTTGGTGTGTCACAATATCAAATGCGTTTCCCAGATCCAAAAAGATGCCCATAGATACATTGCCCTCGGAAAGTCTGTTAAGCAGATGACAGCGTCCTGTGTACTTAAATCTTTGCAATAGCCAAACTGATTGTTGGAAAGTAATTTTTTTTGCAACGTATTGAGTCAGTCTAAGTTTAATGCATTTTTCAATTAGTTTTGTCAGGTTACTTCTTAAGGAAATGGGTCTGTAATTACTTGTTACTTTTTTTTATCTCGCGATTTGTGTATTGGTGTTATAATTGCATGTTTTAAGCATTTTGGAAAGTCACCTATAACAAAAAATATTAAATTTATCAGATGAAGGAGTGGGGGTCAGCAACTATGGGTGGTTGTCTTTAATTAGTTTTCCTGTTATACCATCTTCTCCTGGAGCTGCATCATTTTTTGGAGTTGTAATTTGGGAAATAAGTGATTAGGCCCAAAATATTGATTTTTTTTGGAATGTGTTTTTCAACAAAAAATTGAACATTAGGCGGATTTATTTTACCAGCCATTTTTCCCCTATTTCACTAAAATATTTATTAAAAGCTTCCGCCACTGAAATTTTCCCTATGCCCTGTTCATCAATCACCAACTTCACTGTGCTCTTTTTACTCTCTTTTTCGTTAGTTGCTTGTTTTATAATTTGCCATGTTTTTTAGGATCAATTTTTGTTGTGTGGAATTTATTTGCAAAGTACTCATTTTTTGTAAGTTTTATCAAAGTACACAGGTGATCTCGATATTCCTTAAAATTTTTGTAAGCTTCATCAGTCTTTGTTATATTACTAATTTTTTGAGTTTATCCCTATGACGAATTTATTTAATAAGACCTTGGGTTATCCATGGTTTTATTTTTCTATCTTTACTTTAAACATATTTTTACTCAGTTATTGATTTTATGTTATTGTATAATTTCAATAAAATTATGAGCACATTCATTTACCATATTGCTGCTTATAACATTTTCCCAAGTTTCTTGTTTAATTAATTTAATTTTTTTTAATTTGTTTAGAGATATATTTATTATTCTTTTTTATTTTTGAAAGAGTAAAACCAAATTTGGTAGATTTTCACACTTTTATTTTAAAAATATAAAAATTTTTAAAAACACTAACATGACATATATTTCGAAGTACAACTTCTTTTTCAAATGTGACTAATTTACAAATCGGTATCCAATATATATATGAAATAATTTAACAAAACAAAGTACTTAAGAAAAACATCAATGACATTACAAAATAAACTAACTATTTAAAGTAAATAAGGGTACTTAGGTAATTATAATATCAATCAGATAACAATAAGATAGCACATTACCGGGATTATCTCACAGAAAACTAGGAAAGAGATTTAATAAGGGTGAATTATTAATATCTAATTGATCATTTAGTAAGTTATCTGAATTTTTAAATCTATTTATTTCAAGTGTTTCTAAATGGTTTAATTTAAGGCTCTTATTTTCTATATGTAAAATTTCAAAGTTGTCTGTAAAAGAATGATTTTCAGCTAAAATATGATTTGAGTAAGTAGAATTATTTTTGTTTTTTGTATAGCTATTATAATGTTCGGAATAGCGTTTTTTGAAAGTACGGCCTGTTTGACCAATATACAATTTTGGACAACTACCACAATTTAATTTATATACCCCCGATTTATTATTAGGATTAATTTTACCCTTATTGTTTTTAATATACTTCCCAAGCGTATTATTGGTTTTAAAAGCTACGTTAATATTTTGGTTTTTTAAATATGATGATACCTTTTCACTAGGAGCTCCTATATATGTAAGACTCTTATATCTGCAATTTTGATCTTTAATTATGGGATAAACTTGTTGAATAGCCTGTTTAAAAAGTTTTTTCTCTAAAATGTTGTCTACTAACTTTGAATTAAAATTATTATTTACTGCGATTTGTTTAATGATATTTAATTCTTTTGTGAAGTTCTCTTTGGTAGGGGGAATATTAACTAATCTATGGATCATACTGTTGCATCTTGACAATATGGCATTCCATTTGTAATTTTGTTTTTATAAAGTGGCTTAATTAACATTAATATTATGAGTTACTACCCTGACCGATTTAACAACATTTACAAAAAATTGTATTTTTCAGAGTGAAAGATAATGTTCCTAGATTGTTAATAAATAGAGAAAAAGCTGGCCACAGAGGGGCATTCGTGTCCATGCTTGGAATGGGTGGTGGCTTGGATTTTGATAGCAAAAACAACACTAGGGATGTTTGTTGGTTAGGCGATTGTGATGAAGGATGCCTACTATTGGCAGAAAAATTAGGATGGGGAGTAAGTATAGAAATAAGTCATAAACGTATCTATCAAAACACTTTTATAAAATATCTTAAAGAAAAAATAAAAATTCTCATACAAATTATATGCACTTTTACAAAATACATAAAATAATTATTGTTTAGCAAAGAAATTTCCACACAACTCAAACAAAATTCAATTCGCATTGATATGACAAGTGCATTTTGGAAAGCAAATATTTATAACAAATAATATGATTATTAACTATGACTTATCTAACCAAATAAATAATCATTTCTATTATAATACTGCATGTATTGCACACAGAGTGCAATAAAAGTATAGAATCTTCCAATTTTTTAAATAATATACAAAACTGGGATGGTTTAAGCACATTCAGATTCCTTTTTTACTTTCCCGTCTGTATACAGATAAGGAAAGTATAGGAATCATGATTTTTTCTACCTCGAATTTTTGAGATTTTTACGTTGTGGAGTCCCCTGAATCCGTTTTGACTATTTTCGCGATGGTTTCTGTGTGCGTGTCTGTATACTCGATAACTCATGAACGGATACAGAGAAAAACACCAAATTTTAAACTTAAGCTTTATTCAAGCCTGCGGTGAACTGATTAGATTTTTGGCAGCATCGGAACATCTGAGGGTTACCTTATACAGGGCCATTTTTATATTTTATGGAATGTTATTTACGTTTGTAGAAGGAAATTCTTCAAATAAAAGTTACTTCTAATATTATTCTCTATAATGTTTGCCCTATACAAAATTTTCCTAAAATGGCCCGTATTCGAGAAATTTGACAAAATATACAGAATTCGAATTTTTAAGAAAATAGTTTAAATAAAAGTTGTTTGAGATATTATTCTCTATAATTCTTGTCCCATGCACAATTACTCTAAAATTGACTGTATTCGAGATATTTGAGAAAAAGTGTAATTTCGAATTTTGAAAACTCAAAAACGGATAAAGAGAAAAACACTAAATTTTAAACTTAAGGTACCATTTCGGTAGGCGCGTAAGGCGACCGCCGACACGTCCGAGAAGTGTCGCTTCACATCTAAAATACATACAATTATATAACACATTTCGCATGACGCGACACGACCGAAAAGTGTCGTGGAGACCCTTCTCGGTGCAAAGTATCTCACTCGAGGTCACTGTCCTCGGCATTCGGTCGGAAATTTCTTTCGATCTAGGCAGCGTTGCCAGTATGGGTAAAAAAAAACCGTAGATCTGAACAGTAGATTTTAATAAAGGGGAAAATAATTATAATTTGCCGTGTAGTAAATAAAAAAAACAAGTATATAAGAAACGAAAAATAAACTTTTTTCTACCCAAATTAGAAAGTAAACAAAGAATAAAAACATTTTTAATATATACTTAACGTACGGGAAAAAACCAATGAAAAATAATAAGTACCTACTTCTTTTAGATCAGTCTGAATTGAATAATTCAAAATCGTAGTGTTTGGCATATGCATGTTCTTTTTATGATGCCCTATTAATTCTTTGTTTCATTTTAAATAAAAACAATGATTATCTTGATGTTTTTTTTTATGGAGCCAACCTACAGTAGTGGATGCTTATTACGCTGCTTTTACTGCAGAAAATTTACTAGAGAAAATATTGTTTACCCATTTGCTGAAGAATGAGGCAAACTTAATAAATTAAGGGGACAATAGCACCTCGCAAGTTTTAGATCGGCTTCTCTCTTGCAAGAGTTTGGAGAGAGATAGACCAAGACCCTTTACTAGGTATACGTAGATATATCCGAATGTAAAAGTAGGCCTGCGTGCAGTTAACACCAGGTGAGTGAGAGGTACATTCCGAACACCAAACAACAAATAATAGTTCTTTCTACACAGTTTTCATGTTTACAAAACTAATTGATAAAAATTTAAATTACTATGTATTTGTTTTAATATTGTGAATTTTGACTAAAGGGCGATTAGTTTTATTTGATCTATAGTTTTGAGAATATAAATGAGGTGTATGAACCAATATTTTGAAATTATGTTAAAATGTTTTGGTACGTGTTTAGATGATCGTTTAAGAATGTTTTAAATTTTAACTTATTTTGTATCTATTGCTTATTAAGTCATTTGGAACATATTTCTGACTCCTTTAGAATGCTTAGCATATGTTTACTATTTACAAAGCGTTTACATACGACTTTTAACAAGGAACATTTTTTTAATTGTGAAAATAGAGAAAAATCGTTATTTATTTTTTTATATTTATGCGCACAAAAGATACATATGATTTTTATGAAAGACAATTAGTACGAGTTTAAATAAATCAAATATTACATATTAAAGTAATGTAATTCTGCAAATTCCATAAATATTTATTTACAACCAATGCTAAAAGCATATAATAAATTACAAGTTATATCTATATAACTACCATATTTGACAATATTATAATAATATTACAGCATGATAATAAACAAGTAATTCAATTTTTTTTTTAAGAGATATACCGCCAAAGTCAAAAAATAAATAATTTTGCAACTTAATACTAAATAGTCAGAATAGAAATTAAATTATCAAACAGTACCACACATTCAGTTAAAACAAAGAAAACAATATTTTTGTCAACTTCTCAAAAAAATTACGATATTAATTGCCTAATAACAAACAAATAAGCCGCGGCCATAAAGAGTGTAAAGAGCATCCGCCTATCTTATGTATTATGTATTCAATGAAAAATATTATTTAAAAGTTTCTGTGAAAGAAAAACATTTTTTTGTCAACAAGTAATAGTTGCATATTCTGAGCGATCATTTTTCAAATGTTAAAATAAATATTTGAGATCGACTATTTCAGACAAAAGGCTCTTAAATGAAGGTATACCTGATAGTAACTAAAAATGATAAGTTGGCGAAATCTAGAAAACTTTATTATTAATTTTAGGAAAAATGTTTTTTTCTTAAAAAGGTCTAAAACCCACAACACAAACAACTGATATTAAATTTTATCAGTCGTATACGAGGTTTGTCAAAAATAAAGGTACTTGTGATGTATCTCGCTGTAACTAAAATACTAAAAATACTTATGATCTGTTTTATTACAGGATACGTATTTACACCGATTTATAACTAATTATTATGGCTACACCGGTTATTAAGCGTACAGGTAGATTTGGAGAATAATTATAAATTGAGGAAAAAGTTAATTCTGGGCATGTGCCCTGACAATTTTACCAACATAAACCATGTTGCATACGCCACATTAATCTTAAGTAAAATCATATTTTTTGACAAACCTCGTAGACGGTTGATAAAATTTGATATTAGATGGTTGTATTTTCGGTTTCAGGACATGCACAGCTTTTTATGAATAATACTTCTTTTTCTAAAATTAGTGCCTGATAAAAAAATTACCATATGCCGCAAAATTATGAAATAATTATGATACAAAAAAAAATATTGAAATTAAGGTAAGAAATATATAGGTATTTTATATTTTTTATTACTTCCATAGCCATAGAAGAAAAATAAAAAGATGATAATTTAGATTTCATATTTTTAAAATAGAAATTATCATCTTTTTCAATTACTTCAACATATGGAGATTGAAGGGGAGACCACACTACAAAATAACAATATTTTTTCCTGTTATATGTAGTTGCCCTTGAATCTGATAGTGATAATCATGATTTTTTTTTAAGTTCAAATTCTCCTTTGACTTCATTAAATAAAAGGAAAGTAACTTTTTTATTTTTTACGGCATCTTCTAATGTTGCATTTTTTAAAACATGAGGACATTTAATCTCCAAAATAGAATCTGGATCATTCTCGATTATACCGTCAGGACTTGCACCCAAAAAATATTCATTTTCCTTTCAAAAAAAGAAGCCACAACTACTAACAGTATAACCCGTTATGTCCTTGAAATCTTGAATGGCTACTGGTTCATGCTCTTGTCCGTAACGTGTTGCCTCATTACCCTTAAAAGTAGTGTATAAAAAAAATGTTTTTAACTAATTTTTCGGGATTTGTTGATTCTTTCATTTTACAAACACGCCCAAAATTGGAAGCAGTAATTCGGAAAGCTCTCTCCTGCTTCCACAGTGGATTTGAACTCTGGCCTCTAGTGTTAATTTCTATTTCTTGAATTTCTATTTTAGATTTTAGCAATAAATCTACCAGTTTTTGTTTTCGATGTAAAATTTCTTCCTCCGTAAGATCATAAATAACAGATATTCGTTAAAGTAAAAAAACGGCCTCCATAAAGTACCCCCAAATACTTCGAAAATTTAATCAGCTTAAAATTTGGTGTTCTTCTTTTTATCCGTTTTTGAGTTTAAAATTTTTACTCGTCCTCAAATACGGGCCATTTTAGGAAAATTATGTATAATATAACAAAAAATATAGAGAAAAATTTTACAAACAACTTTTATCAAAAAAAAAAATTGATTTCTTCTCTAAGCGTAAATAATAGATATATTCAATAAAGTAGAAAAACGACCCCCTATAAAGTACCCCTCAGATGTTTAGACTATGCCTAAAATCTAATTAATTCACCGCAGGGTGGATTAAAGCTTAAGTTTAAAATTTGGTGTTTTTGTCTTCATGAGTTATCGAGTATACAGACACATACAAACACAGACATCATCGCGAAAATAGTCAAAACGGATTCAGGGGACCCCAAAACTTAAAAGTCCGTCGAAAACTCGTGGTCGAAAAAAAAAACATGATTACTATACTTTCCTTATCTGTATACAGATAGGAAAGTAAAAAGTACGTATGTAAGGTAAGTTTTTTCAGGTAATGTCGCTTTTTTGCTAGTGTTTAGTTTTGACAGTTATTTAATCCTATTCATTATATTATTAAAAACAAAGGGACCTACAAATTTTAAATCAACCTGTATATTTACGCTCACCTAAGACTGCAGATATATTTACGTCCATCACTTCTAAGGCTTTATCTGTTTTAAGGGAATCTTTACTGCCGCACATTTTACATTCTATTGTAAATTTTAAAGAAAATCCAACTTTTTCTTCACCACTCATTTCACAGTCACTAATTGAACAGTTGAAAAATGGCATATGTTTAAAATGTTTAATTTGTTCCCAAAAGTAGGCAACGTCCACAATTCTCCGCCCCTGAATTTCAATTTTTTTTTTAATAGAAATATTTTCACACACAATTTCAATGTTTGCATCCTCAGTTTGTTGGGAACTTCCAGGAACATTTTCTATATTTTCACAACTTTTATTCCATCGAGAGTCGACCAAACTAAAATGTACAAATAATTCTCGATTATTTTTTTACCTCAATAATTTAAATATTTGACTTACCATCTACCTTTTATAGAACAACTTTTACGTCGATTACTTCTTCTGTTGCCCATCGCGACACCACTAATAAAATTAACTAACTATAAAAAAAACAACCTACTATACAAAACACCTCAAAATCTAAAACAATACTAATTTGCGTCGCCTGCATTTCGCAATCGCCTGCATTTCAAAATCGGATGAAGGTGTATGCTTCTTCCGAATGTACCGAGTGAAGTTACCGACAATATCCGCAAGGAAGCAGCAGTACCCAGAGGCATATAAATACAAAATTTTGAACAAGTGTTTTTTAAATACCGTTTGATATTAAGAAATAAAATTTTTATAGCGTATTTATTGTGACATTATCTAGGACATGACATATCCTTTTGCTAAAATTCCAATTTTATGAGGTCACCGAATTTTTTCCTCAGAAACAAAAAGTACTTTTCAGAAAATAAAAAATTGGGGCCTTCGATAACTTCCTACAATATATGATTTTAAAATTTCAGCCCATTTCATTGGAGCATTTTCGATTTATCGATGTTTAAAATTGAACTGAGGTGCTATTATACCCTTAAGAACAAAATTTGCTAGAGACAAAAACAGTAGATCTACGTGAAAATAGTAGGTCTGGCAACGCTGATTTTTTCCCACGAAAGGTTACGAAGGGTAAAATTTATGCACCTGTTGTGCAGTGGTCGCTTGCCGTCTGTCGTGCCTACCGAAATGGTACCTTATAGCTTTATTCCGGCATGCGGTGAACTGATTAGATTTTGGGCAGAGTCGGAACATTTGGGGAGGTCGTTTATTTTATGGAATATATCAGTTATTTAAATTTTGAGAAGAAAATTCTTTAAATAAAAGTTACTTCTAATATTATTCTTTACAATTTTTACCCTATATAAAATTTTCCTATTCGAGAAATTTGACAAAATGTAAAATATTCAATTTTTAGAAAATTATTCATATAAAAGTTGTCATATAATTCTAGTTTTATACATAATTTCTCTAAAATGGACCGTATTGATATATTTAAGAAACAGTTTAAATTTCGAATTTTGAAGAAAACTCAAAAATGGATAAAGAGAAGAACACCAAATTTAGGCCTTAATTCATTGTGCGGTAAAATGATTAAATTTTTGGACATACTTTATAGAAGGTAGTTTCTCTACTTTATGGAATATATGGGTTATTTACGCTTGGAGAAGAAAAAATTCTTTAAATAAAAGTTGCTTGTATAACTTTTGTCATGTACATAATTTTATTAAAAGGGTCCGTATTCGAGAAATTTGACAAAAAGTGCAAAATTCAAATTTTTAAGAAAATTATTAAGCCAAAAGTTGTTTGCTACTTCGATCTCTATAATTTTTGTTTCATACATGATTTTTCAAAAATGAACTGTAATGGAAAAAATTGAGGAAAAGAGTAAAATTTTAATTTTTCAGTATTTTCGTTGCCAATGAATATTATATAAAAAAATGTTTGCAGTAAGATGTATGTGAAAAATGTATAAATTTAGTTCATCCTCTAAACATTTACAAATGTACAAAATAACACAAGTATGTAATAACTAGACAGAAAAATCATGTGTTGAACAAATCAGATTTTTGTTATTGGCATTGTTGCCAGATTTTTCCGATTTTGATCACTTTATTTTTTTTTGCAAGATTAGTAAATATCGCCGTCTTTTATTTTACAGATATTATACAGTTATGTTACGTTAAAAATATTTTTTTCATATTTTATTGATGTATGGGTAAAGATCTTCCCACCGCCCCAAGGGTAAATTGGTTTTATTGTAAATTTCAAGATCTCGATCTAGCATGCTTTACTTGAAGCCGTTTTGTATTTAAAAATATTTTTTCCAACTTATTCTTGCAATGCAGAAATACCAAATTGTTTTCATTTTAATTTAATAAGAGTCTTTGTGGTCATGGGCCCTCCCTCTTAATGTGACAATTAATCCCTGGTAACACAGTTATGCATAATTATATGTTTACCAAAAGCTGATTCAGTATTTTTTTTTAAACTTCAGGATGAATTGAAACAGCGAGTTAAGCAAGAACATGACAAAATAAAAATTGAAGAGAAAAAAGAAAAAGAAAAGAAAGATGAAAAACGAGAGGAAGTTAGTACATCACAGGAAGAAAGTTCCAAAAAACCAACAGACATTGGCAATAAATATTAAATTACCAATTTTTTAGCTCAGCACAATTTTATTTACAAAAAAAATGTTAATAACTTTTATTTAATTTAAATGCTATAAATTACTAATTATATTAGTGATAATATTTTAGTAAAACATAATAGAGTTCTAGTTTTTTTAAGTTGTATGATTATTATTTAATTCGTTAATTAATTTTAATATAATTGTTAATAATGTTTAGGATTTTAATTCTATTTTAGTGCCTTGGTTATTAAAATGCAATGTTTTAATAACCCCATTAGCGATTGTCTGAATTTTGTTAAAATACAAAATAAAACAATTAAATTTTAAAACTTTTATTATTAAAAAAAAAAACAAAACATTTTTGTTAGTAATAATAATTAGAAACGATTAATAACTTCTTCCAAATAAGGTGTAATAAATTGGTTTATTCTTACAATCAGGATGGATACACTTATCAGATGGTTTGATTGGAGCAGGTTGTTCTAAAGGTATGCACAGCGATTTTGCACCCATAGATGGCGCGCCTGGTTCTACCGATTCGCTATCATCGCTAAAAAAAATGTGCAGCAAACTTGAAACATTGTGTAAACCAACTTTCATGTAATTTTGGGCATTCATGAATTTTTGCACACTTGTTTTCAAGACTTGCTCTCAAAATTGTATATTTCATTATGGGCTCAGACACCAGAGTTGGGTTGGATACAGGAAAAAGTATAGGAATACCAGAATGGATACTTACAGTGTATCCAGATAATTTAAAAAAAAATACTTTCACCTAAAAATGTACTCAGCCGGATACTTTTAAAGTGAGTTAAAATAATATATTTTTATGCCAATAGTTATAATTTATTGATAGAATGGGATTGAATACGAGTAACAGTACTAGGCATGTATACACATTGCCTTGCAAGGTCAAACCTTCGGTCCTGCTATGCTTATGTCCCAGTGAATACTAAATGGCGCGGGCGCAAGCAGGAAAAAAAAAACGACAGTATCAATGCATCCATTCACATAACGAGTCATAGGTCGGTAACCACATCCTTCCACCATTTACTATTCACTCAAACACAAGCAAAGCTGGACCGAAGGTTTGAGCTTGCCAGCACTGTATATAAAAAATAAAAGGCATATAATAGAAACAGGAACAAAAACTAGTAAAAAAAAGTCTTGAGAACAGTAATGAAACTATTCACCGAGTTTCATTTACTATAGTGTTCTTTTTGTTTATTGGAAAATCATTTAAATAAAGATTATTAATTGTTATGAATGATGTAATATTAACCGTTTTTGCTACAACAAATAAAACAAAACGGATAAACAACTAAATATTTAAATGTAAAAATTTATTGTTAGGGGAGTGCAAAAATAAATAAACGCCCAACTTTTTTCTGACTATTTACCTGTTACAAATTAAAATATTGAATCAAAAAACTTACCGTGTGCTATCAGCTTTTATTTTGTCTTCACAACTAATCTCGCCACAGAATGGTGCTAAAATTATATTTTTCTTGTCGAGTGCTGGACCAAATTTAGACCAATCGGTCAAGATGATCTTGTGCGTCTCCAAGTCATTACAAGCTCTAAAAATAAAAAAAAAATATTTTTAGTATTTTTTAATAAATTAAGAAATTCATATGTATTATGACATTAAAATTCAAACTGATTATCTTGTTTTTATTGTTAATCAATTTCTTATTTCTACTTACTTTTTGTATAAACTATTTTGGATGTCATTTAACAACTCTTGAAGTTTGATCACAGCATTCGCTCGAGATATGGTGATCTTTTCACCAGTGTCTCTTCTGACTGCTACAAGTTGATTCTTCTCGATGTCTTTTGGTCCCAATTCAATTCTCAGTGGTACACCCTAAATGTATAACAAAATCATTTTTATAATATGTGTTCTCTTATTATGTTTGAATTGTGTTAATAAATATATTATTCCTAGTTCCAGAAGGTTTATTATTTAATTTATATTATGGAATGATCCTCAAAAAATGTTTATAAAGTAGGTCATGAAAAAAATTAGGTAAATTCTTTTTTTTTTTTAATTACATTTTGGATATATATTTGATGCGTTCGTAGTTATCAAGGACGTGGCCTACTTTAGAAACATTTTTTTGCGGATCACCTGTTATATTTTATATTACTGCTTAAATAAGATTTAAATTGTATATCTTTTCCTCTTAAGTCAGAAACAAAATTAAAAAAGTGATTTTACCTTAAGTTCCCAATGATTGAACTTCCATCCAGGCGAATAGTTATCTCTATAATCTCCTTTCACTCTAATCCCTGCTTTCTTTAAATCTTCCTCCAATGCATCACAAGAAGATTGCAATTGCTTACGAGAGTCTTCAGAGAGATTTACTGTTATGCCACAGGGAACGATAGCAACTTGAATGGATGCAACTCTAGGGGGTAAAACTAACCCTTGATTGTCTGCATGAATCATTACCATTACACCTAAAAATAAAGAATTCATGATAAGTATTAAACAAATTGACTTGAAGGGAATTATTTTATTGATAGAACCTTCAAAATTATGCAACTAAAGGCCAAATAATATACTATGGCTGTCTGGAACCTATAATTTATAAGACACCACGTGGCCCAATAAAAATTTAACATGGGGTTTTGGGTATTAATATTGTAAATGTTAAAAAAACGCTCGGACAGGCCGATTATAGTTTGGAAGGAGACACTTTTTTTTTATTGCAGCATCGTCACTTCAACCTTCGAGCAGTGGGGTGAACTTAAACAATTTAAATAGGGAAAGTGCCATGGATGACCCATCATTGAAAAGGTAATTTGATGAACAAACAAAAAACAGAAAATATCACTTTTTACAGTCAGATGAGGGACTATAGTGAGTTCATTCAACTTGTTCAAACTAGTGCACTGTAACTTTGTCTATTTACTTTAATTCCTTTGAGAGTTTTTAATAAGAGCTAATAAGAGTTGCTGTGCTGCCAGAGTTCGCTATTGGGAGAGATAGAAGGAGAGGTCCAATTAGAAACATGAATAGACAGCAGTGAAACTCACTTGGTGGGAACTGTTTATGCCGATCTTTGCACTGCCACAGCTTTCGTAGGAAAACTATCGATTAGTCGCACGTTTTAGGAAGGATGCTTCTATTTAGAACAATGTATGTCAAATGAAAGAGGACTGGCTCCTCTTTAACAATAACTGGGGTTGCCATAATTTTTTTCAATTGCAATATTTTGAGGCCAGCTTTTAGTTTATTAGATGCCTTGCCAACTAATCCCATGGTCATTAAAATAACTTGTGAAATGTAAATTTTATTTGTTGTTTAATAATAATGAACAAATTGCCGAGAGACTTTTGGAGAAGAGACCAATTAAGCACGTTTTAAAAGTAGGAATAACTAGAAAGTAAAAAATGAGACAGATCACGGCCTAAGTGGCTCCAATTGATGGAAAGGGACTTAAAAGACTTGGGAATAAATGGACAAAAAGGAAAAAGCCCGTGGAGAAAAATGTTTTCTTGGCATACAGTATACTGTAAGGATGCAAAAATAAATCTTCAATACATTGTGCATAGGTGCCAAGAATTGTACCACTAGTTCGATTTACAATTTTTAACCTTGCAGTTCACTTGTTTCTATATTAAAAAAAAGACGGATACTGATATTATTTGCATGAACATCACAATTCACAGATCTACTAATCTACTTGCAGGTTTGATAAATATTGATCTCGATCACAACACTAAATCAGTAATCTAATAGTTTCTGAACAAGCTAGACAACATACTCTGAAAAGGTCGCGGTAGAGAAGGAGATATAATGTCCAACTTCTTTCGAATCTAATCTAAATTTAGAATAAACTATAATCAACAACAAAAATCTTTCAAAGTTTCCGGAAAAGTTATACTTCCCAACCTTAGAAATTATTTACGATTAAAAGTATTAAAAATCAACATGTCATGTTTGAATAAAAAAAAATCTAAAACAAACCTACCTATCGTTCTGGTTGTCACACCCCATGAATTTTGATAGACATAGGCTTTTTCTTGCGTCTCGGGATGTTCATAAATGATATCAAACATTTTTGAGAAGTTTTGCCCTAAATGATGCGATGTAGCTCCTTGAATAGCTCTACCGCTAGCGGAAACAAAAGCTTCTACAGTTAGAGTGTAGTCGCCTCCAGCGAATTTTTCTTTTTCAGTTTTTCGACCTTTCACTACAGGTATGGCCAAGAGATCAGTGTATATCCTAGCATACAAATCTAAAAAAAAAAAAATTTTAAATAAAACATCTGATAAAAAAATATTTAAAAGTTTCATAAATGTCACCTTACCTAAAATTGTTTTAACTTCTACATCAGCCTCGTTTTTCTCGGCAAAAGCCGTGTGTCCTTCTTGCCACAAAAATTCTCTGGTTCTTAAAAATGGTTGAGGATGTTTGAATTCCCACCTCTGTATGATTAAAAAAAACAAATTGTTAGGAAGGTAATACAATACAATCCTACATCTCAATGTAAAAGATATAACGAGCCATCGGGAAAAATCATAATTGGAGGTTGCAAAAATTATCCTGAATTCGTTTTTTTTTTCTATGAATAAGTAAAACAAATCTGAATATTTCTCTTGTACCATGACTATTCTCAACCAATATAGAATCCTTCTCATAACAGAGAAGGATTTCTCACACTTTGCACTTGAAAAAATGCACAGAATAAATGACAACTTTAATTTTTTTTGGTTATATATTTTTCGTGGAATCATAGCTTTTCGTTTAATAGGAGAACATAATTTAAGAATGCACAACTCGGGAGGTCGACTCCCCATTAATTACGCCGCTGCTGTTTAAATGTTATTAACTAACATAAGAATTACTTACAACAACATTGTTCCATTGGTTAAGTTTTATTGGAAGATCTCTGTAAGATTGAATCCATTTTGCATAAGCTGGGTACATGACAGTTTCAGAAGTTGGCCTAACAGCAATGGGTTCAGCCATATCAGAATCACCCGATTTTGTCACCCAAGCGACCTAAAATTATAAGTAAGATAAATATTGTTATATAAAGAATTTCTGTAATCTATAATAAAATGGTAGTAAAGAAATCAACTAATAGAAATTAAAAAAATATACAGTAATTACCTCTGGTGCAAAATCAGCAATGTGTGTTTTCTCTTTCTCCAACACAGCTTTAGATACAAAAATAGGGAAATAACAATTCTGAACACCCAATTTCTTAATTTCAGCATCAAACCAATCTCTAATAGCTTCCCAAACAGCAAAAGACCAAGGTCTGAGGATGTAACAGCCAGAGACGTCGTAATATTCAATCAGCTCTCCTTTTGTGATAACTTGAGAGTACCAGTCTGAGAGATTTTCTTCTTTTTTTGCTTCAAGACCCAGTCTCGTTTGTTTTTTAACACCACCGTCATCTCCCTATAGTTTTTTTTTTTTTTTTCATAAAAAATTAAGCAATACATTTTTTTGTTAAGAGCGTACCTACAAAATTTTAACGTTCGAACTCGAAATCGTGTAATCCATCCCATATATTATTTCCCTACCACGGCTGCCGACGTTCAGAGGTCTTAAGTGAGTCAGAGTTACCTGAATTAAGGAAACCAGAACCGCATTTAGTTGTTCTTGGTGCATTGTGAGATATTATTATAACATAGTTGGATTTATTATAGGGTGTTTACAATATTTTTCATTTTAATTTAGTGAATAGCTGTAGTTAGATTAAATTACAATTAGGAGTATAGAGTTAGTTTTTTTTTAAGTTGTTAAGTGTATTTTTGTGAAAGATGGGAAAAATAAAACCAACATACAAACGGAAAAATAAGCGACTGGCTCGATTAAGGTAATACCAATTTATATTTAAAATTAAATAATATTGATTTATTTCTTGTTCTATATATTAGGTACTTGAAAAAAAGAATGGAAAATTATTCTGAGGTGGAAAAGTAATCTTCCGGTAGTCAATACATCAGAGGACAACACGTAAGTAAAGCAAAATTTTACAAAAATGTTTTATGTTATAATATAGTCTAGTAATGAAAAGCATTCTATGTTCTGCATTCTATGTATATTATGTAAGAAGTGCGTCAAATTTATGCACAACTTTAATAGGAAAATATTTATAATGTACAAAAAAGCAAAACCAGTAGAGCCAACTACTCACTTTTAACCTGTACGTGAAATTCATAGGCTCTAATAGAAAAATTAGGGTAAAATTTGATTTTACACACTTGTGTGAATTTATACTTGAAATATTTTTTTTTTGTCATTCTGATGAACTAATGTTCTTGTCGATTGACATTAAATGTAACTTTTAGTGATATTTCTCGATTTTAGAAGTACCTAACACTTTTACTGCCTAGGCTTTAAAAAATTACTTCTATTTCTTTTCAAAACTTCTGCATGGGCATCCGGCCAAAAAAGGTTACTGTAATAAATTAAATACAAAGTTACTATAAGTATATTTAATCAAAAATCATAAAATACGATATATTAAAAATGCGTGAGTTATATCAGTTATACTTAAAAGAGGTTTTCATTTTAGTTCCATTTTTTAAACACACTGTATAAACAATCAGAAAAAAATAGATATTTCACATGGCAGAGACACAGATTTACTGACTTGTTTCATTGCCTCGGTTTCGCCTCGCCAATGAAATGCTAGCTGCGGTAATATATCTGTTACTACTCTGCCTAGTTAAACAAACAACTATGTTCTTGATTGTTAGGCATTAACTTGATGAAATCCATCAAAATTGTAACTATGCGATTCTCTCATATTATATAGAAACCCCCAGTGAAAAGGTTTCATCATACTTAAAAAACCAAAACATAACTTTCAAAAACAATAATACGCTTGGGATATTAAAAACAAAAAGGGCAAAATTGTTCCATTAATAAATTGGGAGTATATAAAGTAAATTATGGTAGTTGTCCAAAATTGTATACGGTAATACGGGCCATACTTTCAAAAAACCCTATTCAGAACATTACAATAGTTATATCAAAAACAAAAATCATTCAACTTGTTCAAATCATATTTTGGCTGAAAATTCAAATAACCTCTTAAATGCTCAATTAAGTATTAATAACTCACCTTTAATAAATCTCTTTATCTACGCCCGTCTCACTGCTTTTCAATCAATCAAATAAAAAAGCCAAAATGTCAAAATCTATTTAAATTTAATAACAAAATACTGTCACAATTTAAAGTAACAAGTAATAATAGCTTTTTTCTACGTTTAAACAAAAAACAAAACTTTATTGAACTATATTTAGTGAAAAAACTGGTTCTTTATTGCACTAGTGCAATAAAAATTGTATTGCACTCATCTGTCATTTTACTAAAGCGTTTAATGATCATGACAAACATAAATATTCAAATCAACGCCAAATATTTAGTCTATTTTCATTTTCTGTGTTACGTTTTAAAAACAATCGCATATTTTATATTATTTTCAATCATTTAATAAATAAATTAATAAAAAAATGTATTTTATTAAAAAAGGCATTACAAATTATGAACACAAAATGCCTCAAACAAAGGTACACGATCCGGCTACTATGATTTGGATAATACAACTGCAGTTCTATAAAACATTTTTTGGTTTTTGCATGAACGTAGAAAAAATATTGTATGCAACTTGTGCAAAAAGTGTTTATTGCACTTGTTGTATAAATAACTATTTAAGCTTGTTCTTCAATATCAGATGAAAAACTTTCCGAATCACTCATTTTATTACTAGAAAATGCAAAAATACGTTAAAAATGAATTATTTTTGACTCATTGTTTATGACAATATTATCGTTGCTAAGAAAAAAAAAGTTTTTATTCAATTGTTAGAACAGCTACCCAACATTTCGATGTGTCACCAATCGACATGTAGGTAGTGGTGGAAAACAATAACCCTAAAGTCTTAGACAAAAATTATAATTAGCGTTTATTTTTACATTTAGAGGCGTAGATAAAAATTTGTACAGTATACGTGTGATAACGGTTTATTAAGGTACTTCTGCGATTGCCCAACTCATGCTACGCACTCGTTGTTCAAATTTCGCATACGTACGTTAATAAAGCTCTTATCCCACTTATATTAGTTTACTTAGTATATATACAATGAAAATTTTCGATTTTGTCAAAAACAAACGTACTTTACTCTTGAGCAAAATTCATATTTTTTGACAAACCTCGTATACCACTGAAACAATTTGATATTTGATGACTGTATTCAAGGTTTTAGATAATGCAGAACTTTTTATGAAGAATAACTATTTTTCCTAAAATCAATAATAATTTTTTTTCCATATGGTTCCAACTTAAGTAGACTGTATATTAGGCACCGAAATGTAAATAAGTCACATTCGAAGAAGAAGTTGTACTTCGAAACAATTGTCATGCAGATTTTTTAATTTTTATTTTTTAATAAAAGTGTGTGAGAATCTACTGTTTGATTTTACTCATTTAAGAAAATAACTGTTTTAATACACAGACCGCTTAGCTTTTTTGATACACTATAATAGTTTTAGATAACAATTTTAAATAACAATATTTTTAGAATGCGTATTTTAGAATTTTTGTTGCATTGCAACATCTGCGAAGAAACGTTGTGTACGGTAGTAGAAAAAATATTGTATGCAACTCGTGTGTAAATTCCCTTTCTTGACTCATGTGATTGTCGCACAAGCCGTAGGTGAGTGCGACAACATTCACATTCGTCAAAAAAGGGTAACTTTACACACTAGTTGCATAAATAAATATTTTTTGTATCAAAGGAACTAAAACATGTAATTCATTCCTTTATTTTAGGGACTAAAGTGTCGTTTTTATTCCCTTAGGACTAAAATATTTCAGTCCCTTAATACATAACATGCTATATTTATATATTTAATTTTTATTGTTACACTGTATGTGGCATGGATTTTTTTGTTGCCTTTTTTGGATTAACAAAATATTATTTTAATGATTTAAAAATAAACTGTCAGTATCAATCTGTACCTAAACATATACAAAATGAAATCATACGACGCACCAAGAAAGCACCACATTTTTAAACTTTTTTAATCTACTTAAAAAAGTATATAATACATTAGATTAATTTTATTAAAGTACTATATGGGCTTATATACATTATATTACATTAATTTTATATGTAAAAATGTGGGTACCTAGTTCACTGCACATCCAAATTTATATTTAAAATAAAGAAAGTTTCAGGTTTAAAATTGAACACCAAGTTTTATAATAATACTCTCCCTAATTCACCCCCTTACGAGTGAATTTCAGGAATATCAGGAATAATATTTTCTTAAAAAAGTGACAATAAAAAGTGTTCAGGCCAGGCCAGGCTTTTTGCGAGACACTGTATATATATTTAGAGAGCAATCCATAATATATTAGAAAATAATTAAAAAAATTATAATCACATAAATGTGATTTACCTTTTAGAATATCGTATATATATACAGCAAAGTTTACTAATCTTTATAAAAAAGATTTATATTCTACAAAATCTTCCTTAAATTTTTTAACATTCACAAATGTTTTAATTCAAATGTAGTAACATGCACGTGTGAGGTACAAAATACCTTAATCCGTCTATAATTATCGATTTTTAATAAGATGGAGACCGGACATCGTGGAAGAAAGACAGCGAATTTAGTAAAGAATTTTAACTCGATTAAAAAGCGTTGTTTCTTTTTCCATTTTCTAAAAAAACTAATAGACCTTTTTGAAATCGGTTTTCGGTGATTTTCCTTCTGATTTATTACCTTGGAAAGTGGCAGATTTATATAAAAAACAAAAAAAGCTGACTTATTATTTTTATGAAATGAAAATTTGTTGTTATTTTCAGTTTTCAACCGCCCTCTGTTTCCATAAAAAAATTATTACGATGTTGCCAAGCCAGCACTTTTTTAGATATCAACACGTTCTTTATTGTACTTTTTAAATTTTTTTAAAATACTCTTTAGTTTTTTCATAATTTGGGAAAAAGAATAGCATTGAAACTCCTATACCCGAAAAATTGTACGTACGCTCTTAAGTATATTAATTTTAAAATTGTTATATTACCTCTACAGGAACAGGCTTCTTTTCTTTTTGGACAGGTTTTGATTTGGATACCTTTTCTTTAGCTGCAGCAGCAGGTTTGCTCTCCTTAGCCTTGGAAGGGGCTCGTCCAGCTACAGGAAAATCTATACCAGTTAAAGTTTTGTATTCCGACTTTAAATCTAAAAGCATTTTTACTGCAGCATCTATTTCATCCTATAAAATATACATAGTTATCTATTTGGAAACCTCGAAGAACAGAAATCTGTTTTTTAAGGCTTACTTTTGTGGCTTTTTTAGCTTTCAAATCTCTAACCAAATTTCCCTGGTCTGTTATTTTAGCTGTAAGTCCTTCTTTGCTATTATCTCCTCCGGCACTTACAGATGCATTGACAGATGGTTCTGGTTTCATATTTGGTTTCCAGTCTTTGCCAGTTAGATTTTTAAAATCCACTTTAAGCTGTAGCAATTTTTTAACTTCTTCATCCACTTTTGATTTATCTGCTTTATCTTAAAAATTTGAACAATTTACTACGATGTGAGAATTGTTAATATTTCTGATTGCCAATGAAAATCTCGAAGTGTTGTTCAAGAAAGATAATAATATAGGGTGTTCCTAAATGTCATGTCAATATTACGCATTCCAAACAAAAGAAAGTCGGTGGATATGTCTAAAGGATTGCGACATACGATGTATTCTATCTACAATAAGTAAACTCATCAATAATGGATTAAATTGCATTATTTTATGTCGAACATAATGAAAATATTATTTTTAAAAAGCCGCTTATATATTTTTCATAAATTGGCAGGCTTGGCGACTACTATTTAGAATAATAATAGCGTCCAAGATTGAAGGCTATATCGCACTCCCCTTAGATATACGAGCCCTTCCCATTGGCAGCTGTTGGTTGACAGGTCGTTGGAATGCTTAATAGGCTAGTTCAGTGATGATGTAATTATGGGTCCCCTGACAATTAAAGTGACAGTAGATTTTTTGAGTGCGTTTTATTCGTTCTGTTTACCTAAATTATATCGTTTTTCACTTTTATAAATATATTCCTAAAGTAAGTAAATAACATGCATCAAATATACAATCGTTTAAACTATTTTTTATGACCTGTAAACAATATTTAGTAAAAACGTATATGTCAAATTTATTGATGTTTTTGTTAAAAGTTTGGTTAGAATTAAATGTCAACGGAACCAAAATGACATTACACCGAACTAGCGTATTAAAGGAGATAGTTATTTGGCATAATTTTTCCTTTTTTTTTAAATACAGTGTGTTAATTTGTTTTAAAAGGTTGTCCGCTAGGACGCCAATGGACTCAATAATTGTAATCTAAAAAGGTTAAAATTATGCTTTTAATACTACGAACAAACCTGCCAAGTTTAATTAAAAACGTCAAAAAGACATTAATGAAAACCTAATTAAAAAAAATAATGACACCCTGTATATTAAAAAACAAAGCAATTTAGAACACGTTTATATGAAATTGTAGTAGGCCGAGGAATTATCACCTTCAATATTGACAAGCAGTTTAGGAAACGACACTAAAGTGCATCTTTTAATGGCGAGGGTGAAGACCTGAGGGATTAAAAGACACTTTAATCTTGTGGTATATATGCTATTTTTTACATCATGGGGCTAAAATCTCCCTAAAATTTTAAAGTATTTCACCTCAAATAATAATAATGATAATAAATTATTGTATTTGAAAATAGTAAAATGTGTTTAAAAATCGCACACTTCTGTAATAAAGTTATATACTACTTTATTTTCATATTGGTGCTCACCACTGAACTCCATAGCACTCACTGACAACTAGAGTAGGGCCAGAAGATGGAAAGGCTTTTAATAGAAGATGCGATGTTGAGGCGAGGACTTCTTGGATTTGATAAGATGCTTTTTTTAAGAATCTTCCTTTTAAATGGTATAATTTAAACTTTCAGTCAAAATCCTTATGATCAAAGTACTAAATGGTTCAATCGATGCTAATCGTCAATGAGAATGTCGATATTTTGCATTGCTAGGAGTTTTCGGAGGATGTAAAAGAGAAGAACTGAATAATCTAACAATACCATAGATGATGTAGAAGATATTGAATCTCAGCTACCCAGACAACACACCAAATTTCAGAGATATCCACAGAATATCTTTTGTGGATATCCAATATATCCACAGGATATCAGAAATATCCCGTGGATCTAATATGGATATCCAAATGTCCGTCTATATCCAGAATATAGAAGATATCCTATGGATATCCAGCAAAATATCTAATGGGTATCTCCCAGACAATACAAGAAATCCCAGAGATATCCACAGAATATTTTGTGGATATCCAGTGGATCTAATATAGATATCCAAATGTCCGTCTATATCCCAGGATATAGAAGATATTCTATGGATATTCAGCAAAATATGTTATGGGTATCTTTAGTAGAGATGGGATCCATACAACAGGAGGAACACCGAAAAAACGCAGATAGATACGAGTATACAGACCATTACTTCAGAAGAACGTCTGCAACGCTGTTGGCCAATGCTGGAGCGCATATTAATCTTTTAAATAGCCATGAAGGCTGGAAGAGTTCTGTAGTTCCTGAAAAATTTGTTGAGGATTCCATTGAAAGTAAAAATAAAATATCTAGATAGATATAAGAGGGCTAATCGTTCATACAGGTGCTGCAGCAAGTCAAAATCAATCATCATCTTCCACTTCGATTAATAATACAAATATACCTGCCATAAAAATTTCTGGAATGGTGGTATTATTGTTATTAATCTTAATAAATAATCTTAAGTATTAAATATAAAATATAAGAATTTGAAACTTGTTTAATTAAAAGTACTGATGTAAAAGTGCCATTTCCTGGAAATATAAAATAAAAGAAATATAAATATTTAAGGTCTGTTCTAAAATTGTACAACTGAGTTTTCCAGCTCCTTTATGAAAATTAATATGATTTCAAACTGGTAATTTTTTTATTATGGTAGTTTTTGTCTGTCCAGAGTAACTTACCTGTTTTTAGTTTTCTAACAGCATCACCCTGAGTAGATATATTTAACAAAAGACTATTTTCATCTATACTAAAATTTGAAGAATCAGGGGATGCAGGTGTTGCTGATGCAAGTGTAGGTAAGACAGTTACCGGGGTAGTAGCTACAGTTCCAGGTTTCCAGTCTTTACCTATTAAAAGAGAAAACACATTTGATAAATGTATTCACTTTATATATTCAAATGATAACATCTTGCATCAATGCCTAGATTCGTATTTATAAACTGAACTTGGCCATCGGCCCTGATGTAAACAGAGTAAAGCTACTCAAAATCTTCAGCAATGCACTGGAATTTAGGAAGAAAGGACTGATTTATAAATACGGATCTTAAATTTCTCTATTATTATAAATAATTTAATATCTAGTTAAATCTAAATTTTTCCCTAAGGAAAGATGGGAGGGAAGACATGTATTTTGTATTAAGTGTGCAAAATCGGTGTTTTTTTTAACGACTCACAAAATTGTCAATTTTTTTCATACTGTAGGTTTGTAGGACTGATTTCGCCATGAACGACAAACAATATTTTTGTCCAATTATTACTAACAATGCCAATGAGTCAAAATGTGTTGCATTTCAATATATTGCAGTAAAATTAATGTAAATGTTTGACTTTTATAAACATGGAAACGTCATAATTTTTATGTAGTCGTTTTGAAGATTGAATTATCAAACAATAACTTCAGTTTCAAGGATGTTCGATATTTTAATAACTGATTTCAGAAGAATTACGAACTTGAAAGTGATAGATACACTCCATCTGAGATAAAAGATATGAAGTCACCATTAAGAGGAGTATTTACTTGGCTCTAGAGCGGAGCATGCAAGGGTTTCGTAGTACCCCACTTTTAAAGTTTATTTTTGACTTATTCTGAAAGAAAAAAATATGTACGTGTAGGTAAAGGATAAATCTATGCTCCTCTGGAAACACTTTTTTAAAATTTGAAACTGATTTTTCTAAAAAAAAATACAAATCTCGACTTTTTTTACCCATTTTCTCAATTTTTTTTAGAAAAAACTAAATTGAATTTTGAAAAAGTGGTTCCAGAGGAGCATAGATTTAACCTTTACCTACACATATATATTTTTTTATTTTAAAAATAGTCAAAAATAAACTTTAAAAGTGGGGGTACTACGAAACCCTTACACTGCAAGATTTTTCGTCTGGAAAGTGGCGCCTCTGTTAGATTTTTAAGAAATTAATATTTGTGAATGAAAACAATTTATAATATATTTTACTGATATTTTACGAGGGATAAATAAATTTTACGTATTTGTACATCTTATGTTTTACGCAATTTATTTCTGTAATACTAAGATTATCATATATATATTATATGCAAGGGTTTCATAGTACACCAATTTTACGGATTATTTTTTAATTTTACTAAAAGAAATTTTATGTAAGTACAGGTAAAGGCTTAATCCATACCTCTCCGGATTTACTTTAAAAATATGTCTCTTTTGAAAAAATCTAAGAAAAGAAACGAAAAGAAATAGAAATGTTAAAAAATGCTAGAAGAGAAAAATATATTTAATTTTTGCCTACAGGAGCATTTATTTTTATTACAATAAAAATAGATATACGTTAAAAGCTTTTTCGTCTAGAAGGTGATACCAACAAAATATATATCTTTTTCTATTCTTTAGTGATTTGAAGTGATTTGAATTCATGTTGTTATTTTTTACACACAGTAATTTCGCTCAATTATATTAAATTAATTTTATCATTTATTTATTAAAAAATATATATATACGAAATTGGAAGGTATACACTGAGATGTGAATTATATGTTTTTGTTTAATGAATACTTCTTCGAGTCAACAATAATTATTAATTCCAGCATTTTAATATCTCTTCAATCCGTTAAAGTAATGTAAATTTTTTTTTTGCTTTCGCGCATGGCTTTGATCTGTCGCACCCTTTGAGGCGCGTTGCAAGAGAAAATTTTCTAAAAAGTTAGCCAATGTCTATAAATGAGAGAAAAACGACTGTAACAAGCTGATTGTGCATTGTGGTACAATAAAAGACTCTTTTCCACTGCTTTAAAATTTGGAATAATTTGTAAAAAATCTCCTAAAATCTTTTATTTATTTCTAAAGCCACCCGATATGGTATGGACCATAAATTCAGAGCAAAATAAGATTTGGAAATTTATTTGCAAGTAAAAGTTTTTAAATGTGGACATTTTATTGAATTCGAATTTGATTATGTTGCTGCCAGTCTGGATGGAATTAAAAAAAAACAAAACTCTATGATAGAGTTAAAATGTCCATATAGAGCAGAAGAAATATGCAGTAGAGAAATAACTTTTTGGAAAAAGAACAATTCCATTAAAGACAACCACTATTGGTATTTTCAAATTCAGGGCTAGCTGCACATAACACAAATGGATTTTTGCATTTTGTGCTTTTGGACTTCTGGAAGAATAAAAGTGGAGAAAATATCTCATATTGACAGCTTTTGAGAAGAAAAGATACAAAATAAAATTAAAATTTTTTATATGCAATATGTCTTGCCGGAACTTGTTGACAGCGAATCAATAGAGACATGGAAGTACGGGACAAAATATTAAATAATTCGTGAGAAATTTTGTTTAATGTTTATTAACATAACGCAAGGAATCTTATATTATTTTGAATATTTTTATTAATTTAAGAATTAAATTTTATTTATTTCTAAAACATGGTAGTAGGCGATCCATTTAAGATATGATTAATGTCTTATTATTATAATAGAGTATTTTAAATTTAAGATTTTACCAGTGGCAGTGGTAATTGATGATATATAATTATTATTTTTTAAAAGGCTACACCAACTAGTGGACCACGATTTTAAGTCCCCAAATAATAGTTTCAAGATTTTGATTCGGATTAGAAGTTTTACTATACAGGGTTTTGTGTCAAAGCCAAGTCATGTAGGTATTGTTATTGTAATACGTAGATGAGTAACTATTATCAATAGAAATTTAAAATTCAAACATAAATTTTTGTAACGACGTTATTTATAACTTTATTAACTTCATAACGGTCAAAAATGTTAGTTAACTTATTTAATTTTAAATATAAATTGATTTTAATTTAGAAATTTTCGAAAAGTTCACTATATTGTTTAGTTGTTGCAACTTTACTGTGCTTAAGTAGCGTTCAGATTAAAATATGAATTTATGGAGCTTAACTGAAAAACTAATGCTTTTATTCCAAAAAAAGTTTTATGGCCAATAAAAAAAATTTCGAATTGTGATATCTGCAAGTCCTTATTTAAAACCTTTAAATTTAATATTATCATTATACAAGAGTTATTTTTACAAATTGATACAAATATCGAACATAAGTTTGTCGACATAAACATTTCCATAATACAAATAAATATATCTCTGTTAAAGAATACTCATAATTTATTTAATATATTCATTTAAACATGTTTTTGTTTTTTGTCTAGATGATATTAAATACTAACTTTTTCTATATAACTTCTTATCGAGATATTGTGAGATAAAAAACAGACAATTAATTAAAAGCGTACTCACAATTTTTCAGGTATAGAAGTTTCAATGCTATACTGTTTACCAAATTATGAAAATATTAAAGAATATTAAAAAAAAAATAAAAAAACAATGTGTTAATATCTACAGAAGAACATCGTATTTCTTTTTTGGAAACAAAAAGTAGTCGAAAATTGTGAAAATAACATTTTTATTTCACAAAAATAATAAGTCAGTTTTTGTTTTTTATGTAAATCATATCATTTTCAAGGCAATAAAACAGAAGAAAAGTCACCGAATACCGATTTCAAAAAGGTCTATTAGTTTTTATAGGAAATGGAAAGAGAAAGAACGCTTTTTAAACGAGTTAAAATTCTTTACTAATTTCGATAACTATAAACGGATTAAGGTATTTTGTACCGTGTTAAAAAATTTAAGAAAAATTTTGAAGAATATTTCTTTTTTTTTAAATTAGTAAACTTTGACAAACATATAAAATATTCTAAAAGATAAATCACATTTATGTGTTTATACAAAAATTTTTATTTTTCTAAAATAATATGGATTGTCCTCTAAAATATATATAGTGGCTCGCAAAAAGTCTGCTTTTTATGTTACTTTTTTCAGAAAATGTTATTCCTGATAAAACTTGGTGTTTAATTAAACCTAAAACTTTATTTATTCAAAAAATTCTGTACCATAAATATAAATTTGGCTGCACAGTGAACTAGGTACTCTTCTAGGAATCGAACCCAAATTTTTACATACAAGATTAATTTAAGAAGATGTATATAACTCCACATAGTAGTTTTTTAGTTAATACAAATAATATAGATTATTATATCCTTTTTAACCTACTTCAAAAAGGAGGAGGTTCTCAATTCGTCTGTATATATATTTTTTAAGTATGTTCAGCAATAATTCTTTAACACAATGTCCGATTTAAATGATTCTTTTTTTCTGGAAAGGGGGTACTTCCGGGATGGTCCCTTGAAAATTTGGTCAAAATCTAATAAATGGGTCAATGGGAAAATCCTCAAACTTTTCATTTTTTATGTATGTTTAGCGATAATTCTTTACCACCTTGTCCGATTTCTATAATGCTTTTCGTTAATAAGGGGGTACCTCAGGGGTGGTCCCATATAAATTTGGTTCAGATGTGGTGATGGCATTGCAGATGCAGATTTTAAAGTCGGTTTTTTAAAATTACTTTTAATACATCTTACGTAAATTAAAAGTTTAATAATTTGGTGCTTTCTTGATGCGTCGTTTTATGATTTTACTTTGCATATGTTTAAGTACAGATAATTATTATTACTGGCAGTTTATTTTAAATCGTTAAAATAATATTTTGTTGATCCAAAAAAGGCAAACAAAAAAGCCATATCACATTCAGTGTAATAATAAAAGTTAGATATATAAATAGTGTATATATGTAACAGACTAAACTTTCACTTTCAATCTCACCTTTTGTCGTAAAAGACTTTTAAATTTTTACCAGTGACGTCCGTACCGGGTTTGAACTGAATATTTTTGAACAAAAATATGGTGCGCCACTGCTTTTTCTAAAAACCAAATTATCTTTAAAATCCTTATTTATTTTGGAGCAAATTTGGTTTATGACGTACTTTCGTACAAAGCACCCTTTTCGGGTAAGAAAATAAAAACCAGTATATTGAAACTGCTTTTGATATTTTGTTGAAATTTGGTAGGAACCCACCATGAGTGGAAACACTTTTTTTGGGCAAAATTTCATAAAAATATCTAGAGTGATAAGAAACTTATGATAAAATAGTTTTTTTTTTCTTAAAACTTTAACACCCAAAGGATTCACACCTCTAAGCATCGGCACTCAATTAATAAATACCCTGTATTAATTGATATTACCTTATTCGAACCAATCGTCTATTTTTTCGTTATTTGTATTTATATTTCACAACTCTATACTCTTAAATGTAATTTAATCTAACTAAACCTATTCACTAAATTAAAATATAAAAATAATGTAAAACCCTCTAAAAATCGAACTGCGTTATAACAATATCTCGCAATGCACCGAGAAAAACAAATACGATTCTGGTTCCCCTAATTTAGGTAACTCTGACTCACTCGGCAGCCGTGTTAGGTGTTTTCGGTTCTTTTTTCTTAATTTCGCGCGTTAGAGTTTGGAATACGTATCCCTCGTATCTACAGGCAATTGTTAAAATTATGAATGAATCCGGATTTTGTTTAGTCTCGGAAGTAATTTTGTAGTATTTAGGCTCCACCCTAAAGTTGTAATTTTTATACCTACTAAACTACCGTTGCCCCGCAGGTCTTTCAGTTTGTAATGTAAATTTTCCTCTTAAACAATTTTCTTCAACAGTAAAAACAATTTTTTTTTTTTGGGTTAAAAAAATAGCCTAGGAATTTGTTTTGAAAGGTAAAGTTTGTAAATTCCCAATTACTGTGTATTTTGTAGTGATGCCTTGCTTTTTTAATATTTAAAATTTGAATCAGCTTACTATTTTTACAAAACAATATGAGGAATATTATTTCAAATAAAAACGGATTTTTTTATGAACCCAGTTTTAAAAGATTTACAATTAATTAGAATAATTTCTTGTTAACTAAAATATAAAATTCCTATATTTACACACATTTCAATCGAACAAATAATTTTATGAACTTTACCTGTTAATTTTTTATAATCAGCCTTAAAACTTAACAGTGCTTTAACTTCAGCATCGACACTAGTTTTATCCGCTTTTTTTGTCTTTAAATCCCTAACTTTATCGCCCTGTGCTGCAATTTTTTGTAAAAGAGAGTTCTCGTCTAAAATTTGAGTAGCTTGGTGAGTTACTACCGCTGGTGAAGATACAGCTTGTTCAGGAACCCAATCTATACCAGTTGTAGCTTTATAATCGGATTTTAGAGAAAGAAGAGTTTTTACTGCAGCATCAATTGTAGCTTTGTCAGCTTTTTGAGATTTTAATTGTCTGACCTGAAAAAGAATGATTATGAAATCTCCTATAAAATATAAAAATATTTCAGAAATGTTTCAAATCTAAAGAATGATTAGTATGATTAATTTAATATAAAAAAAAGTAAACAAAAATAATTCAATCAATTATTAATATAGATTTAAAAAAATAAACAATGAAAAAAATTTTGAGCTCATTTTTTCTAGTTAGTATTTAGTTAAATAAATTAATAGTTTACCTTATCGCCTTGTGCAGCAATTTTAATACTAATATCACCAGCGCTATCACTAGATTTTCCCAAAGGAGTCTCTTCAGCAGGAGGTATACACCCTGGTTTCCAGTCACTTTTAGTAAGAGTTTTGTAATCGGCTTTTAATGCTAAAAGAGTTTTCACAGCACTATCAATATCGCCCTTTGCAGCTTTCTGTTCTTTTAATTTCCGGACAACATCCCCTTGTTTAATAATTTCGGCGTTTACGTTTATGGCGGATTTTGGTGTAGTTTTAGGCGATTCTTTACTAGTCTAAAAAAATATGTTTGTATTTAATTTCTTTTTATGTTCTAAAACTCACTATTTAAATTATTACAATTTCATTTTTTTATTAATGGGTCTGTCCGATTTTTTACCTCCGCTGCACTGGAAAAAATGAGATTTTTAACATATGGGATACTTTCACTTTACCACATGCATTCTTGCTCTTTATTAAAAATGACCTACTTATGATTTATCTTTCATTGCTAAAATTGTATTCCTATATTGTTTTTTTTTATAGTTGCTAATTGTTCAGATGTTGAGAGATCATGAAAATCGAATATACCTTCACATGATGTATTATTTTAAAAATTTATAAAATGTTTGTATTCGTCCCCATACTTTTAATAAATTGACTACACCAGAAAATAGAAAAATTGTATTTTCCGAAACATATGTAATGTTTAAAATATAAAAAAATTAAAACTAATTGACAGAAAAAATTTCGAGCATGTGCACAACTTTTTTTCCATTGTTAAAGTGTGTTTGGCAACTCCACTTTTCAGACTTGTCCGTCGAACACTATTGTTTAGAAACTAATCTTTTTTCGCAGGATGCTTGATTCAACCATACACTATAGTTGAAATTTTTAAAGCCTCAAATATGTTGTATCTAGGGCTATATAATTTTTTTATAATTTTAATTTTAGTACCTACAAAAAATTCTTAATCACACACCAACACCACATTAGATTTTCTGATGTTGAATTTATCATCACACTTATATTTATTATAGTAAAACTACTAATTTATTCTCACCTTTATATTACCATTTGCAGGTTGTGCTACTTTTCCAGGTATACTCTCTTTAGCATGTCCATCGGGAACATGAAACAAAATAATGGGTTGCTCTCTATAAGTATGTAAACTAGCTTGTTGATAAGCTACATCTACTCTGAAAAATCCTCTCCTTTGAAGTTGGATAATATCACCTGACTTTAATGATCTTAATTCAGGATCACCCAGCATTTCAATTTCTTTCTAAAAGTAATAAAAAAACTAAACTAAACTACTGAGATTTCGTTAACCATTATAGATACAAAGTTGTTAAATCGGAAAAAAGATTTTTAATAGGAATTTTTGTTTTTTTTTTCTTTTTAAAAATTAAAATATCAGTTCTAGTGTCCAAATATTTGGGCCAATCCGAAATTGACGATTTTCTTTGTATTTTTATGGAAAAAAGAAGTTATTACTTTTTCGTTGGTTTAATGCCAAATACTGCCTATGCACATTTTCAAAACAGCATTTCATCGTTAAAAGGGTTTCTCTTAATTTTTTTTGTTTAAATATGAACCTGTAAACCTTCCTTTTTATTTTCCTTACAGATAAGGAAAGTATAGGGATCCCCTGAATCCGTTTTGATTATTTTCGCGATGATGTCTGTCTATGTGCGTGTGTGCGCGCGCGCGTGTGTGGGTGCGCGTGTACTCGTGTACTCATGAACGGATACAGAGAAAAACACCAAATTTTAAACTTAAGCTATATTCCGGCCTACGGTTAGCAGATTAGATTTCGGGCATAGTCGAAACATCTGGGAGTACTTTATAAGGGGTCGTTTGTCTATTTTATGGAATATATCTGTTAATTACGCTTGGAGGAGAAGTTTCTCGTAATATTTTTCTCTATACAAAATTTTTCTAAAATGGTCCGTATTCGAGAAAATTGACAAAAAGTAAAAAAATCAAATTTTTAAGAAAATTCTTCAAATGAAAGTTGTTTGTGATGTCATTCTCTACAATTCTTGTCCTGTGCATAATTTGTACAAACTTTGAATTTTGAATATAACTCAAAAATGGAATAAGAAAAAACACCAAATTTTAAATTTTAGCTTTAATCCATCCTGCAATGAACTGAAAACATTTTGGGCATAGTCGGGACATCTAGGGGGTTCTTTATAGAAGGTCATTTTTCTACTTTATGGAATGTATGTTAAGCTTGGAGAAAAAATTATTTAAATAAAAGTTGCTTGTAATGTTATTCTCTATAATTTTTATTATCATAATTTTCCTAAAATGGTCCGTATTCGAGAAATTTGACAAAAATTGCAAATTTTTAAGAAAATTGTTCAAATAAAAGTTGTTTGCGATATCATTCTCTATAATTTTTATTCCATATATTTTTTCTCTAAAATTGACCGTAATGGAAAAATTTGAGGAAAAGTATAAAATTTTAATTTTTCAGTATTTTCGTTGGCAATAAATATTTACAGGGGTGATACAATAGGTTGTACAAAATAACCGGAAAAAGCCTGTAACAAGTAGACAGGAAAGTCATGTGTTGGACGTTGGACACATCAGATGTATCGAAATTGTTTTTTTTTTATGTTGTTATGAACAAATTGATATCATAACGGTCTCCAAAATATCCAGATTTACATCCAGTTGATTATTTTTTATAGCGATTTCTTCAAGACTAAATCAGTTATCCTGATAATGTTACAAAAATGATGCAGAGTATCTTAAACGCATTTAGTCTATTTCATTTGAGAAAACTACAAATGCATCAAACCAGTATGTGCAAAAGTGTTATCATGATATTTTAATTTTGAAAAATCAATAAATTACTTTTGAAAATATGCATATTTTTTCCTATTTAATCAATTTTTTATCTATAATGGTTAATAAAATCCCAATACTCTTCAATTCCATTTACGCCATCATGCTTAGATTTGACAGATTTTTAAATATGCACAAAACGAACTTACCCTTGTTTCATGGCCAATATACTGTTTAAAGTCTTCATCTTTTCCTAGTACAGCCTTATTGATAATGTGATCAAAATAAACACAATATGTTGGTGTGAATGGAGCTGCTTCAACTTCTGCCAAGAAGGTAAGTTTTAATGTCTTTTTGTAGTCTTTATTTTCCAAATTAGGTTGGGCTTCTATAGCAATGATTTTGCCTTTATCTCTAAAATTGGATAATATTAAAAAAGATTAAAAAACAAATTTTTAAATCATATTTTAGAAGAATATCATTCAGTGAATTATCACAACGTATCATAATGAATAAGCAATTAAATTTCACCTGATTATTTTATTAACAAGCAAGTTTCCCCAATGAATAAAAGTTGCGTTTTCTCCTTCTTTCAATGCTTCTGCATCTACTCTATCAATGAGCACTTTTGGACCGACCCAAACTTGTTTGTTTCCAACATCACCATTTTTAGGATGTTTAGGAACAATAAGGCACTCCTCTTTTACCCCTTTAACTAAAACCGGTACCGGATTTTCAATTTCAACTGCTGTATACCGAGGAGCAATAGGATCTATTACCTAAAAAAAATTATCATAATTTTCTTAAAAAGTGTAAAATTCTATTTACCTTCTTATTAAAGGACCAAATTTTGTCCCATTCCATAAATACAACTGACCTACTGGACCCTTGAGCTATAATGAATTCTTTTAAACCTTGCACTGTCATACCTCTCCTTAAAACTCCACGCACTGTTGGCATCCGAGGATCATCCCTAAAAATACATTATAAATAATAACTCAATTCCATAAGTAATTCTTTTTAATTTTATTAATTACTGACACATAAAAAAATACTTACCAACCATCTACTAAGCCCTCATTAACAAACCATGTTAATTTTCTTTTACTGAGAACAGTGTTCGTCATTGACAATCTACTGTATTCCCAAATATGAGGTCTTCTCAGACCCAAAGCTTCAATGAACCAATAAAATTGGTCATCACGATCATGATACTCCATTGTCCGTAAAACATGAGTTACATTTTCGATGGCATCTACAATTGGACAAGCAAAGTCATAGGTTGGATATACCCTAGAAAAAGGTTATTTAAAAAAATGTGCTCAAATTTATTAAAAAAAAAAAGAAAATAATTCCAAATTCAGACAAGATGTAAATAAAAAAGAATGACGTCCTTAGTAAGCAAAATCAAAGCTGGAAATGATGAAAATATTTTATATATCTCCTCTCTCCTTATAGATCTAATTAAATACCTTTTGAGTCAAATAGTCAGAGGAATAGTTGTTTTCTGGAAGGAAGCAGTCATTCGTATTGTTTTGTAACTCATGACTTTTGAGTTATTCTTCTTTCTTTTCAATTTATTTGCTCTGATAATACAATTTATTTAATTCAAATGCTTAAGAACTAATGTTCTATTCTATTAGATATGTACTGCACATTGCACAGTAATTTTAGATAGTTCAGGGAAATTGTATCTAAGATCAACAATGTTTTTATCATTTTTATATGCCAGGACCAGTTCAGCTCGTGACTACCATATACAATGAGGGATTAGAATTGTACAATAATTTAACATTCTATGTTTTAAGAAAAATTATCCTCAATACATTTGTTATTTAAATACATGTAACTTAGTAGCAAAAAAGGAATTAAATAAATATTTACCATACATTTTTATAATTTTTTTTTTTTAATTAACATCCTCTATCCTATAGATTATTTTTGAACAAAAAATTTTATACGTACTTGTATTTGTCTCCTGTTCTTGGATGGAGTTCATTTTTACATCTGTAAATAGTTGGGTCTCTCATACAACCATTGGGAGAATCCATAAACATTTTTGCTCTAACACAACATTTTTGACCTTTCTCTGTACCTTTTTTCATTTCTTCCCACATTGCAAAGTTCTTCTTTGCATCTAAAATATTACAAAACAGTTTCAGAATTATTAATAACAAAATTAAAATAATCCAATTAAAAATCTACCATTTTTTCTGTTAGCTGACTCAATCCTCTGTTCCCTCTGTGTCTTCATTAGTTCAGGTTCTGTGTCATCTACATAAGCTTTTCCCTCTGTTAACAATTTTTCACAGTATTCAATCATCAAATCAAAATACTGAGAGGTATGTGTAAATATATCAGGTTTGATTTGTAACAAAGCAACATCTTCCAAAATAACTTTTTCAAAATGTGCGTTTTCTTTTGCAGGATTTGTGTCATCAAAACGCATGATGAGTTTTCCTTGGAAAGCTTCTTGGTAATATTGGTTGAGTAAAGCAGCTTTAGCATGACCAATATGTAAATAGCTAACAAGTAAAGAGAAATAAGTAAATTAATAATATTCTTAGACATTGTACAAAGAGAAATTAATGTTTTAAAACAATCTATTTTAATGATTTTCTTATATATCAACATAATGATACTTTTGTTTTTGTTTATAACAAAATTGTGTAATATTTACATAAATAAGAAAAACATAAATATTTTCATTTACTTTAAAGAAGTACCATTAGGCTGATAAAGAAAATCATTATTCAAATGTTCTGATTTGTTTCAAATAATTTATTCTAAATATAATGAAAAATGATTAGTCAAATGCTTAATGTAATGAGAAATTAAAATAAATTATGTGTGCATTTCATTAACTATTAAAATGCCACAACAATTAAATTTAATAAGTTTAATTCAAGGTTAAACACATTTGAAACAATTAAAATATACATTTTTTTCTATTTTGGGATGTTATATTATTTATGGACACGTCTTATTATATCAATGTCTTGTTAATATAGTTTGTGCAACCAGAGCGGATGATGGCTATGAAATTTTAAAAATGATTTTAGGTTATTAGGATAAAATTCAGAGGCGGTTTTTCCATTGGTTCATTTGTGCAGTGAACACCCAGTTAAATTTCATAAGAACACATTTTAAAACCACATAAAAATATAAATTCAATTTTAATATTTTTATTTTCATACATGTTAATCTCTATTTTTTTGGTACGCCACTGCGCTCTGGCTCGATGCGTCTCTGTTGGTACACAATGTTGATTAAGCACCAGGTGACCAGAGGTTTCCGCAAATGCCTGTATTTAAAAAGAGAGGTAAAGTTTGTTTTATTAAATAAATTAGTAGTCATAAATTATTTTTAAATTAGGTATTTTATCTTAATAACCTAAAATAATTTTTAAATTTTTTAGTTTTGTTAGTGGGTCATAAAAAAATATACTATACAACTCGAGTGGATTATCCGTGTCGCACTCTAACGTCTTTGTGTGATATGGCCATCATACCCACTCTTGTCGCACAAACTACTATTGTAATTGCATAATTTTTAATGTCTCACCCTGATGCTTCTGGTGGAAATCTAACTATCACTTTTCCCATTTCAGCAAATGGTAAGTCTACAAATTTTCCTTCTTGTGCTCTATTACCCACTGCAGCTTTTTCATTTTTGACACTGCCTTTATCTTGTTGGTTTAAATTGGCTCTGACATCTGAAGGTAAGCTATTAAGTGTATTTTTTACAGCTTCTTGAGCATTTAAAAAGTTATACCAACGAAGCACATTTATTGGAGCTGATTTAGATTTCATTTGGTCTTGCCATTGTTTATTGACTGAAAGTATATCAAAGATGGTTATTTTACAGATTGATAAATAATACTTAATACATCTTAGAGGGATATATAAATAAATATCTACTTTTTTTAACAATAAAAATAGGTTGATGTGCCTACCTATATTTTTGTAAATAACTTTCAAAGAAAATATACAAGTACTTATAAATAAAATGCTATTTAAAAGTTATAGAACTCCACGGGTTTCACATTTCTAAGTCCAGAATAGAGTTAAGCAGTGTATATATACACACAGGGTGTGCATAAGTCCTAAAGTCCAAACAGCTACAAACAGCTTTAAACCTTTTTCTCTCTAATTAATTAAAAATTTGAAGTAATATTCAAATAATGTTAAGTAATATTCAAATATTGTTAAGTAAGATTCAAATAATATTAAGTAATATTTTTTTAAAGTGTTAGTATTTTTTATGTAAACATTGTTGAATATAAATTCTTGAACATAAGATTAAAAAATATCCTAATATTATAAAAATTATATTTGGGCTAAAGGACTTCGGTTGATGGCCACTCAATAAAGAAAGTTCATTTTTATTATTATTAATTTATTTTACTATTTTTTTGACTTTTTTATCATGATTTTTAATTTTATTGTACATGTACTTTATCACATTTAAAAGGACTGTATCCTTCTTTACTACATACAGTTAAAAACTATACAGGGTGTTGCATGACACACTGTACAAATTTAAATATATTTCTGAGCTCATTTCAAGCAAAAAATGTCCTATTAACAAATATCTAATGTTACATTAAAAGATCAGAAGATAAATTAACGAAGTAGGTATGTCATGTTTTGAAATTTTTGGTTATTTATCAACAATTATATTAAATGTTTTCTGTTTGTGATAAATTCAAATTTGCAATATGTCTGTGCTGTTTTCGAATGAAGAATATGTTGATATATTGTAACATTTATGAATTTTGTAATGGACATTCATGAGCTGCTTGTAGGGAGTACGAAAGATGATTTCTATACACACAAGTTTTAAATCACCAAACGTTCAGAGTTGTTTGAACATATTCAAACAAATGATAATTTATCTTCTTATCTTTGAATTCTTATAGCTAGGTAACCATGGAGAAGTGGATATTTGTTCATAGGACATTTTTTGCTTGAAATAAACTCAGGAATATGCTATTTAAGTTTTTACAGTACATCATGCAACATTCTGCAAATATGAAACAATAGGATGACCATTTTTAATATTTAATGCAAAACAAAATTGAAAATTGTTTATTCAATACAACCTTTCTTACCATATAAACTACCAAACACAATAAAATCTGCAATTGTTATCTTTTTAGCTACCAAATATGTAACAGGTCCCAAAGCTTTATTTAGTTTGTCAAGACTGTTTGGAAAATCGTTTTTGTTGGTAAGGGGCCCTAAAGCAAATGTGAGCCAATGATCTATTTCCGTTGTTTCTAATGCTGAGCCCCCATATATTTCAGGGTAAAATAGCTTAGCAACAGCTCTTGCGACATCATTGCTTGTCTTACAGTTGATTTTTTCCACAAAACTCTCTGCGTCCCAAGTAAGTTCAAGAGGAGTTTTATTCAAAATTTTCACATATTCTGCAACAAATAAACCACCTACAAAAAAAATATGTATTATTTATAGATAGGTATAAATAAGTAAATGTGGTTAAATTATTTATATTTACCCAGTGGAGGATTTGTTTTACTGGCAATTATCTTCATTGTTTATCTGGGACCTAAAAAAATCTGATGAAATATGGAGTATCCAGTGAAATCTCTACAGAAACGTCTGTATTCCAGTTTCCATTTATGGATTCCACGTTGTTAAAGGCACAGAACAGTTAAAGACCACTTAAAAAAGGTTATGTTTTTTCTCGTCTTATGTCAATACGTGTGGTTGAAAATTCTCTTCAAAACAGGCCAAATTTAAAAATTTTTGACTGATCATTTTTAAAAACAAGGCGGTAATGAAGAAAATTTTATTCAACATACAGGGGTGTCTATTCTGTAACAATTCCTTTATATTTAACGGCCTTTAAAAATATTGGCGGCCTTTAAAACATTTTCGTATTCGTTAATTTACTTCTGTTATTATTTAAACAGATTTATTTAAGATAGTCCTCTAATGTATTTTAAAAATCCGTTTAAATAATGACAGAAGTAAAGAAGAAAATATTTTTAAAGGCCGTTAAATATAAAGGAATTAGGCATTCCAACGACCTGTCCAAATGGCTACCAGTGGGTAATGACAGTTTAGATATGGCAACCCTGTTGTCATGCTGTCATTAACAGGGTCAATGATACATATATAGTTATATAGATTGCTCAAAGCTGGTCGTTTACGAGCGGCCATATTGCCTAGCAAATATTTATTAATTTGAATCGGTTTAGCAAAAATGTGTTTTAAAACCAATTTTTAGCCTTTAGATATTTAAAAAAAAATAATTACTTACATTTTTACTTCAAGGCATAAGCTTATGTTTATTTTGAAAAATATGGATGATCAATCTATGTAACTATCTATTTCATTGACCTTGTCAAATCACCAGGCCTACATCGTTGCCATAATTTTGCCATATCATAACCCGTCAAAACCCACTGGTAGCCATTCAGTTTGGAATGCCTAATTGTTACAGAACCCCATAGACCCCATAGACTGCTAAATATTGTATCAAATAGGTATACAGAGTAGGTGTCCTGTGATATATTTGTATACACAGGCTCTCACTATATTCTAAACCGTATCAGTGAGACGATTAAATGAAGAACACGTTTACTATTTTGAAAATATTACAGTGGTCGAGAAAAAAACCTACAAGAGTGAAACAGCCAAACCAAAAATTCCCCTATTTAATTAAAAAAATAAAAAACTGAAAAATGCAAAACTATACTCGGACAAAATATTGAAGAAGGTGATTCTTCCCTGTTCACGTACAACAATAATACTATACCACAGCATAATGAATGGAATCACGCGCTTAAAACTGCAGAAGTTATCGGTATCACGTGCCAACTAGTCATAAATGCATGTTTATTGCCAAAATGAATTACGCCAGTGGGCGTGTCGTATAAAAACTATTGGCAAATTAAATGCGGTAATAGTAAATAATATTATATGTAAGTGGGTTTTGTAGTAATTAATCATTTTTGTTTATAATTTTGTTTTGTTTATTGTTAAAATAAGTAAATATTATGCCAGTGGCGTAGAAACACTATAGAAAATTAAATGGGGTATTATACTAGAACAAAATATTGAAGAAGGTGCGCCTTAAAACTGCAAAAGGTATCGTTATCATATCGAAATCCACTCTTCCAGTGTCGCAGAAATACTATATATTGGCAAATTAAATGGGTATTTGTGAATATTACTAGATGCAAGTATTGGTTATCTATTTTTGTTATAATAATTCATCTATGTTTATAACTGAATTTTATTTATTATAAAAATATGTAAATTAAGCTTGGTATCACTTACTTGAATTCTAAATCTATGAAGTTTCGTAATCTATTGATTCTGCAGAACTATCACTGGAATCGTCTTTATCGTCGGACTTAAAGTTATGACTAAAGGTTCAACTACCGTTTCGATCATACCGTCCAAGCGCCACATATTATTTTCTTCCTTAATTACATGGGAAATAGCATTCTGCCAATCTTCAGGTTTTATACGTTCTATACCGGTTTTTAATAATCTTTGAACGTTTATTTTCTCGAGCTACAAACCCTTTCACTTGCGCCCAAATTAGTTCAATATAGGTTTGAATTCGCAGTGATAAGGGGGAAGTCTTAGTACCGTAATACCACAATCACGAGTCATTGTGTCGACAACATATATTGAATATATTTATGGAGGTGTTCCTCTTTATTAGGTCCATTAATTCCACTTTTAGCATCTCCTCAATAAATGTTAATTGTTGCTTTATCCCGCAGTCAGGTTTGCATATCCGCTTTCCTACTGGACATTATAGGAATGCGTTCAACTCGTCGACTGTGATAAGAAGCGTTATCTAGTACAATAACTGAATTTCATTCTACAAGCTGTAATACTTCAGTAAACCAGTTTTCAAAGAATTCTGCATTCATGTCCTCGTGGTAGTCTCTTGTTTTTTTTGATATAAACACAAGAGCGCTATTTTCCAAAAATCCACTGTCACTTCCGATATGGGTAACAATTAGGCGCTGTCCTTTACCTGATGGTGCTTTCAAACCTGTAGATAATCCCTCTCTAAAAGCTTGGCGATGACTAGTTACAAAAGTATCTTGTCATATCTTAGATACCGTGTGTCCAGCATTCACCTACGTTTCATCGAGATAGTAGGTATATCTTTTTTTTAGCGCCTCTAAACTCTTTAATATTTCGTAAATAACGCCGTTGCCAAGACACTATATCTGACCTCTCAATTAAAATTGATTTCCTACACCGTTTGACAAAACGAAATTTTAGGCCCCATAAAATTTTTCGTAAAGTTTCACGGCTCATTAATGGAATTTCTCCGTTTTCTCTTAATTTCGTAAGAACAACTTTAAGTGTTGGGGCTTTGTTTTCGAAAACAAAAAGAATGTACCGTTCTTCGAATGATTTGTTTTTGGTTATCGTCCAATTTCAACAATTTTCTACTATTAAATTGTTTTTATTAAATTTATAAAGACACCAATAGTTTACTATTTAATAAACTTTTAAAGTACATACCTAATATACTACACAATAAATATAACTCCTCGAATATGCACTACCGCACTACCAAATTGTAAGGCACAAACATGAACACCTACTCGTATATCAGAAAAGAGCACTTATACAAAAAAGTGTTTATAAAATATAAAATAATTATCGTAAATAGTTAAAGCGATACAAATCTAACTTCGTCGAAATTTAGTTTTCAACTGTCTTTGTGCCTGTGCTGACAATATTCAATCTGTAACCCGTCTGTCGTTTATTTACTTGAAACACATTTTAAAACCATTAAACACAGATAACGAAGTCATTAGGGAATAAATATATTCATTTCTTGAAAACTATTAAAAACATATATGTATTTAACGCATCATCTTTGTTTAAATAAAGATGTTGACAAACAAATTTAATAAAGTTTACTAACAAATACCTAATAAATAATAAATAATTATTTGGTATTTGATACGCCGCCTATATGCTAACTCTGTCGAAATTTTTATTCATAGACAACAGTGTTGATCATGCATATGACTCACCTTCTCTAATATTTTGTCCGAGTATATGAAAAATGTAAAAACTATGAAAAATGTAAAACACCGAAAAGGAAAAGTTTATTTGGTATGAAATTTTCTATGACAGCGTGCCATTAAATCATCGACTTTTTCGTTTCGATAATAGGGCTTAGACAGGGTTGCTAACACCGTCATTTGGCTCGGAGCCTCCGAGTTTGGCGTCCATTCGTCGAGCTCCGAGTTTGCATTAAAATTAACCAGGGGCGCGCCGCTAATCTGAAGTAATAAAACGCAGCTTTTCGCTCTAACTTAACGACACTGGCGACACTAGAGGGCATTCGGACCAACAGAGGTGGATTTGGAAAAATTGAACGTCGTTTAACCCAGGACTATGAAATTTGGAACGTGTTTTTTATATAACCAAGGATTTTTGAAATTCCTTTATATGATGCAAGGGTTCACACTCCCTCCCCTAATCTATGGATATATGAGGCTGAAAAAGTTTTATAATTATTTACCAAACCGCACGCTATCGGGATTTACAAAAAATATTGTAACATATATTACTGGCTATATTGTATATTCTCTTAAAAAACCTTATTTGCGTGCAGGCCAGAAAGACCTACAAATATTTTTGTTTGGACAAAGGAGGAAAAAGAAAAAAGCCTACATTATATCTCTCTATGGATGTGTTAGACGTTTGTCTTCAATGTGAGCAAATAATAAAAAATCTGATGTGTCCAACACATGACTTTCCTATCTAGTTATTATAGGCTTTTTCCGGTTATTTTGTACAACCTATTGCAGCATCTCTATAAATGTTTAGAGGATAAACTAAATATATACATTGTCCACATACATCTACCTCGAAACATTTTTCTATAGATATTCATGGAAAACGAAAATACTGAAAAATTTAAATTTCCTACAATTTTTTCATTACGGTCCATTTTATAAAAATCATGTATAAACAAAACTTATAGAGATCGATATCGCAAACAACTTTTATTTCAAAAACTTTCATAAAAATCAGAATTTTGCACATTTTGTCAAATTTCTCGAATACGGACCATTTTAGGAAAATTTTGCATAAAACAAAAATTATAGATAATTATATTAGAAGTAACTTTTATTTGAAGAATTTTATTCTCCAAACGTAAATAACAGATATATTCCATAAAATATAAAAATGACCACGTATAAAGTACCCCCCCAGATGTTCCGACTCTGTCCAAAATCTAATCAGCTCATTGGACGCTGAAACAAAGCTTAAGTTTAAAATTTGGTGTTTTTCTGTGTATCGGTTCATGAGTTATGCGTTATACAGACACACACACACACAGACACACACACACACACACACACACACACACACACACACACACACACACACACACACACACACACACACACACACACACACACACACACACACACACACACACACACACACACACACACACACACACACACACACACACACACACACACACACACACACACACACACACACACACACACACACACACACACACACACACACACACACACACACACACACACACACACACACACACACACACACACACACACACACACACACACACACACACACACACACACACACACACACACACACACACACACACACACACA